AGAGTTCTTCTTGTTTAAGATAACGAGCCATTTTTTGTGCGAAACCAAATCCAATTTCTTTACCGCGGTGTTCGTCTTGAGTCACTCAGCAACCTGTCAATCTATCCTTTTGTACAGATAGAACGAGGTGCCCAAGGCTTATCACTCCTGTCTACACGCTTGAGCTGAGAGACGGTGTAAACAGGATCCAACGTGTGTTACCTTGCAGATGTAAACGTGACCCTTGTAAACAAACCACGTGAATCACCTTAATCGTCTGGCTAGTGTGAGTCACTCCCCGCGAGCCTCCAACCCAGGTTTATACAGTGACGAATTTGGCGCGAAAAACATAATGAATTTGCTGGTTGTAGTTCTCATTCAGTTAATCTATAGTACACTCCTGGTAAATATTATTATCTGGTATATAAAGGACGAAAGAACATTTATAATTCTGTAAAAACGAGAAGGACAGACATATAAACGTTCTGGGTGAGAAATGGATCCTGAAGTTGTAAAAAGTTTACGTAACTTCTCACCGCCTTGCGCTATTTCTGGGTCGGAGGAGAGTCGATGTCCAACACCAAGATTTCTTTACTATTTCGACGCGATTCGGTGATACCTGGCCTTTAAATATTAACTGTAGTTCGAATTACTTTCAATAGGACGGAAATAAAGGTTGTGGGTATATTATTTCTGACACAAGGTATAAAAATATTAAACGGAACATGGAAAAAAAAAATAGCTGCTTGTTGCGCTACCAGACGTATGAAATCTTCAAAGACAACAACATCACCTTCTGTATGAGACGAAGATACTTAACATCACACACTTCACATCTCTCTCTCTCTCTCTCTCTCTCTCTCTCTCTCTCTCTCTCTCTCCTCTTTGGTGGCCAGCAGCACGTACAAGAATATCAACACCTCTTAAATCACTCCTCCACCTCACTCGGTCCTCTCTGAACTAAAACATTTATAAAACTTAATCATCTCTACCCAAGTGTGGCAACAAGTCAAGGAAAAACGACACACGGTACTGAGATCTTTCTTTAGTATCTGTATTGTCAACTAAAGAGTGATATCCTTTACAGAAGATAGCAAGATATAGATAGTTAGGTCCATAAGTTTATTGGCCATATTTACGAGCTCTAGAAATAGCCCAAAATCCTGTTAGAACGATGAGATTTCTCTAACTTCTCCAAAAGGGATATAAACGAGAGAGAGAGAGAGAGAGAGAGAGAGTGCTAAATAACCCATGGATACAACCAACATTTCGACTTCATATCATTGTTCTCTCTCTCTCTCTCTCTCTCTCTCTCTCTCTCTCTCTCTCATTAATATTCCCGAGTCTTTTCCTGTCTCTCTATGTGTTGCTGTACCCCCCCCACCCCCCCACCTCCCCCCGTCTCGCCGCCGCCGCCACACCACCATGAGCGTCTGTCTGTCTCTCCGTCTTCCTTCCACCTGGGGTGATTATGACATACAACACCTGGCTGTCATGTCATACTGCCAGTTAATTAAGCCCTCACCTCCTCTTCCTCCTCCCCACCCACCTCCTTCTTCCTCCTCCACCCCACCCCTCCCTTCTTCCTCCTCCCCAACCCCTCCCTTCTTCCTCCTCCCCACCAACCCCTCCTTCTTCTCCTCCACCCAACCTCCTTCTTCCTCCTCCCCACCCAACCTCCCTCCCTTCTTCCTCCTCCCCAGCCTCCCTTCTTCCTCCTCCCCACAGCCTCCCCTTCCTCCTCCCACTAGCCCTCCCCTTCTTCCTCCTCACCCCTACCTCCTCCCCCCTGTTCCTCCTCCTCTCAACCCTCCCCTTCCTCCCCCTTCTCCTTCCTCCTATCCACAAAGACAAGGTCGTTACGTTAAAACTCCTTAACAGCCATACAGGTAGTACAGGTGTAGTTAATAATGGATCTATATGCTTCAATAACTATGGAATCCCAGACCATACACTGTCTAACTGCACAATATACAAACGATAACAATTACTTATTAAAGATTTGCATGTACCTGTAGTCACTATTAAACTATGGGACATTTACCTGTAATTAATTAAAAGTCGAACAGGTAATAATCTTCTCATTATCAACAAACGTCTTAAAGCAAAGTCGCGTAACTATTTCCTTACGACACAAAGTTAAGCCACGACGATATTCTGAAAAGATCGTAAATTTCTCTCGTAAACGGTGATACAAAAACACATACTGACTCGTTTAAACTAAAGCATAAACGAATACCTTCCCAAATGGTTGTGGAATTACGTCAAGACTCTAACCTTTCACCAGAGACGCTCCCTTACAGCCGGTTATAGGACAAATTAACCGTGAGAATTTGTGTGAGTGAGGACCAAGACAAGGTTAACTTTACTGCGAGAGTAACGTCGAGTTGTGGGTTGTGTGGTGCGTGTGGGGGGGTGGGAGGTGTAGAATGAAAATTGTGTGAGGTGAGAACAATGTAATGAGGTGGGGGCTATTAATGAGGTGGGGGTGTGTGGGCAGGGGCTGTGTGGTGAAATTAATGAGGTAGAGGTGTGGGAGTGGGGGGTGTGGGGTGAGAAGTGTGTGAAGTAGGAGAGGTAATAGAGTAAGGGGGGTAGAGAGTGTGGTGGTGGGGTGGGGAGGTGTGAAGATGATGTGCAGGTGTAGTGGTGTGTGGGGGTGTGAGGTTGTTGCAAGACAATGTAGGAGACAGCGAGGTGAAGGTACACTCTCTTAAATATTAAAATGATTTAGTTCTTTGTTATTATTACAAGTGTGTGTGTGTGTGTGTGTGTGTGTGCGCGTGTGTGTGTGTGTGTGTGTGTGCGTGTGTGTGTGTGCGTGTGTGTGCGTGTGTGTGTGTGTGTGCATGTGTGTGCGTGTACTAGTTTTATCTATCTTTCTTTCGTTTTTTATTTTCTCTTCAGTGTTGTTTGTTTATCTGTGTCACTACCCTCTCTCTCTCTCTCTCTCTCTCTCTCTGCCCAGGGAGGCACCAGGACAGTAAACACACCACCCGGGTCAGAAATCTCACTCGTGTTGTGGTTGGCGAGGTTGTGTGTGTCCCCTGGGTGTGCTAGGCCAGTTCTGTCTCCTCCTCACCCTCCTCCTCTTCCTCACACTCTTCCTCACACTCTTCCTCCTCACTCTCCTCCTAAACTACTCCTAAATAAATCAAATACAACCAAACATCATACCTGGTAGACTATCCGAGACGTGTCATTGCTTCCTGTACCCCGAGAGTCGCGCTGGTTCACTCGTTCTCACTAAATAGCTTTACATCTGACGTGAACCTGTGAATGTTAGTCTGGCGTTGTTTATATATTATCCACATGTTTGATATATAATGTTTGTTTCTTATGGCGCTATATCAAGTTTATAATAACATGGGATATATGAATTCACGTATATAGGTCGGGCCGGTGCACACACTCGTCACAACATACTACAGCAGGATGACTGACCCTCCTCACACGGGGATATCAACACACTGACTGACTTGACAACTTATTCCCGTCTTAACAACAATGAATGGCAAGTTTAGTAATTATACCTCGTTAACGACCACTGGTAGTTAGGTCGTTCACGTATATATTACCCCTCGTGTAATGAGGATGGCCGGCCCAAGGGCCAACACAACAGCCACACCCTGAGTCAACGAGCTGCATAACCCAGTGTCAAGGAACACTCTGAGAAGGCCGGAACACTCCACTGGCTAACCAATACCCCAGAACACGATCCGCAAATCGATTAACATCCAATTACTGCTGGGTAGACAGAGACAAATGCCGTAAAGAAACTTCCCTATAGTTTCACCTTGTCCGGGGATCGAACCCGGTTCCGCTCGATTGCGAGGCGAGCAATCTGACCATTACACCACAGATAGTCACATACATTTATACATAACTAATGTTCTAAAGTTCTCTAAAACAACATCTGCTGTAGTGATCAGTACGAGGAGCCTTGTCCTAATCCACTTCTTATGCTTTCCTACAGGATTCACTCGACAAAGACCAGATCAACGGTAAGAAGTGACGACAAACACGTGCAGGGAGTAGTAGTAGTCGTTGTAATTCACTACTAAATGCCTGACGTTTTGGCTGCTCAGTAAATCTCTGTGCAACTTAACCAACAATTTTCCTGATGTTATGGAACTCGTGTGTTTATTTTCTCCACTGTTTTTAAGAGTCTCTGAACGAGTGTCTGAATGTTTGTTTGTAATCCCCCCCCCCCCGAGACAGTATCCCGTTTTCTTTAATATGGGATAAACAGAAGTAAACAGAAGACATTTTACAGTTTTGAGTTTAAGAATAAATTATATACTGTTATGCCTATCTGTAAATTAAATAATTATAGATATGTATTCTTCCCCTATAATCAGAATACTAGTCAATTATATACTACGATTTCACTGACGTATAATCTTAAAAATTAATCGAGAAGATACATAATTAATTTGGAGACTCTTACACACTGCATGGAGAGACGGTACACCTGAGTTTACCTGGACGGTACACCTGAGTTTACCTGGTTACCACGTTGGGTTTCTATTATCTCTCTACGTGTATTTATCTCTCTCTGTGTGTCTCTCTGTTCCTGCCACCAACTGACGCCGCTGTACTTATTTATTTATTTATTTTGACATGTGTAAGGTTACGAGATATATTGGTCTATGTTCTGTGTTATATGAGAGAGAAAATTATATCGTCTGCCTGGTATATGTTTATCAATGCCAATGTTATTTATTTATTTTTTTTAGTTTTTTTCTTTTTATTTGAATCTCTTTTTCTCTCTAGTTATCTCGGTTTATCTCTCTATTTATCTCTCAATCTCCCTATTTATCTCCGTGTTTATCTCTCACTCTCCCTATTTATCTCCGTGTTTATCTCTCACTCTCCCTATTTATCTCCGTGTTTATCTCTCACTCTCCCTATTTATCTCCGTGTTTATCTCTCTCCCACCCTACTTATCTCCGTGTTTATCTCTCTACCTCTCTATTTATCTCTCTGACTGCACGCTTAGCCTTCTTCTTCTGTTACAGGGAGGGCTCGACAAAGTCCAGGTCGAAGGTAAGTACGTTCAAGCCCAACCCCTGACCATCACTCCTGCTGCTCCTGCTTCGGCGCCTCCTCCTGTCTCAAGCCTTCCTCCTCCTCTCCCCCCCCCCCGTCTGCTTCAGCCTGACACACACAAACGCTCACCTCTCTCTAACAACGGCCGCCCATAGAGCATTTACCCCCACGCCCGTAGCTCTGTGGATTCATGGAGAGCTCTATCACGTGTCATAGAGTTTACCTTAATATGTGTTTTAGAATTTTAATTATTCTTCTGGGGTGTTTTATTTACTTGTCAGATTTCATGGGTTTTCTAATTAGATTACCAGAGCTCTAATCTTGCTGCAATGGTTTGTGTATATATGTTATCTTCTTGTTGTAAAATAACTAGAGTGTGAGTTGTTATGGTGTGGATGACAATGTGTTATAAGTTAAAAAAAATTATACCTTCTGTTGTGTTTTGAAAAAGGTGTTTACATTAATTTACCTAAGTCTTAAAATGTCTTCAATCTTGTTTTGTATTTTGCTGTGCCATGTAATGTGTGTGTGTGTGTGTGTGTGTGTATGTATGTGTGTGTGTGTGTGTGTGTGTGTGTGTGTGTGTGTGTGTGTGTGTGTGTGTGTGTGTGTGTGTGTGTGTGTGTGGTACTGAGGCCACTATACGTTAGGCTCCTTTGCCCTCTCTAGAATCGCCTGATATCTCTCTTTTCTAGTCATTTTCTAACTATTATCTCGCAAGGAACTATGACACGTGATGGTGAACTAGTTTCTTTCAGTGTACTGATAAGGTGTGAAATAATTGTTGCTATGATGTCTTGCAGAAGCATTTTCGTTGCAAGAAGTTTTGACCAGTTGAACTTTTTTTTTATAGTTTACCCTCAAGGATTTTTTTTATAGGTAATGAGTGAACGTTTTCTATGATCCGTTGCAAGTTGTCCCTTTTTCTCTTTATAAACAAAATGAGACTCTCTGCAACGGTGCATAGTTTACCTTAGCAATATTGTGAATTATTTATGTGACAATTATTGAATCACAGGTATTATAAGACGACCGTGTGTGTGTGTGTATGTGTGTGTATTCCAACCTATTTTTGACAACAATGTACTTGATGGTTCCATCTACTACTACTACTACTACTAACTTTTTTTTCAAACGTGGCCCCCAGCCTTCCCCAATAGACACACCTTCGCAGCCACTTTATTACCATAAAATCAACTATCTTAATACATAAGAAGCTACCCTGGCTGTGTTGAGTTAGTTGAGTCGCAGATCTATGCGGCAATCAGTGACTGTTGCCTCATAGTCAAAATCTGCGACTGTTGTTGGCTTTGGGGCCGATGCTCTCGTTCTCTTGAGGCAATGCAATGCAGACCTAAGCAGAGAGAAGGACAGTCGACATCTCAACCAGGCTGTAGCATAGCTTCTGGGCTGCTGCTTCTGTTCAGATAACACCTCCACGAGTCTGGCACAGAAACTCCTCACTACTACTTATACTACTACTAATAATAATACTTTTCTACTACTACTACTACTACTTTTCTACTGCTACTACGTGGCCTCCAGTCTCCCCCAATAGCCACACCTTAGAATCACTTGTTAAAAAAACCCACACTGTTGAATCACAATGTAAAATATTAGTGTAGAATCATCCTCAAGAGCATCACCTTTAGTAGTAAGACTCATTAAGACAAAGCTAACTCCCAACAACGAAGAAGAAGGAGGATGTAAAAAGAAGAACAAAAAGAACAAGAACACAAAGAACAATAACAAAAACAAGAAGACAAAAAAAAATTCAACCCTTTCATCTACCTTTAAAAAAATCAATCAACCAACTTTTTCTCCCCTTAACCAAAAAAAGAACACATCTCTCTTGCACATTTGTCCTCAGATAATTAAAACATCAAAATATAGAAACACCTGACATACAACACCTGCCGGCCACCTCGTTGACTCCTTCTCCAGGTATAAACTCAGAAGCTAATTAAGAAGAATCACCTGTACACAGTTCTCTATTTATATTCCTATGATACAAGCAGAAAAATGTTCATGTAAGAGTCACATTTAAATACATCTCACAGGTAACTGATAATTAAGGTATTTTTCAATGATATCATCAAGTTTTGTTTAGTTTAAGGAGTTAAAGATCATGTTTATCTCATCTAGTTATCACAAATAATAAAATAATTTTAATCACATCTGTAACCTTCAGGTCATCTCAATTACCTGAATATACCTGAAGATCACTCACGTCTACCATCTCTAGTTAACTCAGGTACCAATATGCTGTAAGGTTAACGTCTGTTTTGTCCTGAGTCTAAGTACCGAAAGATCTTGTTTAACCCCTTCAGTCATTACACCAGTCTAAGAAAATCAAGTCATTACGCCTGTCTAAACCAATCAAGTCATTACACCTGTCTAAAACAAATCAAGTCATTACCTGTCGAAAACCTGTCGAAAACAAAACAAGTCATTACACCTGTCTAAACCAATCAAGAACGTGTGTTATCAAAGAGGTACAGCTCATCTAGGGCGTCATAACAATATTACGTAAACCACCAAGTCACTATGTCACAGTCAGCTTCACATGTGAAGTAATTAGTCAATCAAGGAACAGGTAAGGCGTCTGTCAAACACCTCTACATAACGGTGCGAATGATCCCGTCAGTGACCCAATGTCCGAGCCGTCTATAACCTCGTGTCCTCTCCTCTTCTTCTCCTGCAGGTCTCCGTAAGGCTTTCGATGCCTTCGACACTGATAAGAAGGGCGCCATCTCCACCGACACCGTCTCCACCATCTTGAGGATGATGGGCGTCAAGATCTCCGAGAAGAACCTTCAGGAGGTCATCTCCGAGGTTGACGAGGACGGTAAGTGAAGGGGAAGAAGGGGGGGAAGAGGTGGAGGAGAGGGGGAGAAGGGGGAAGAGGTGGAGGAGAGGGGAGAAGGGGGAGGTGGAGGAGAGGGGGAGAAGGGGAAGAGGTGGAGGAGAGGGGAGAAGTGGGAAGAGGGGAGAGAGGTGGGGAGAGAGGAGGAGGGGAGAAGGGGGGAAGAGGTGGAGGAGAGGGGGAGAAGTGGGGAAGAGGTGGAGGAGAGGGGGGAGAAGGGGAAGAGGTGGAGAGAGGGGGAGAAGTGGGGAAGAGGTGGAGGGGGAGAAGGGGGAAGAGGTGGAGGAGAGGGGAGAAGGTGGAGGAGGGGAGAAGGGGAAGAGGTGGAGGAGAGGGGAGAAGGGGGAAGAGGTGGAGGAGAGGGGAGGGGGAGGGGGAGAAGTGGGGAAGAGGTGGAGGAGAGGGGGAGAAGTGGGGAAGAGGTGGGGAGGAGGAGGAGGAAGTGGTAGTGATAGCAACTGAGGAGAAGGAGGATGTTAGGAGAGGCGGTTGTGTTAGTGGAGGAATGAAGGGAGAGAGAGTGAAGAAAAAATAGAGGCAAATTCGGTTCTTGTAAATAATCTAATGTTTACATTGTGTGTATGTGGCTAGAATCATGATGATATTAAGTTATTCATATATGTCTGTCTGTCTTTCCTATCTATCTGTCTATGTGTCTGTCTGTCTGTCTTTCCTATCTATCTGTCTATGTGTCTGTTCTTCTTTACTCACTCTTGATCTCTTGACAGATTCCGGTGAGCTAGAGTTTGAGGAGTTCTGTGCCTTAGCGGCTAAGTTCCTTATAGAAGAGGACGAAGAATCCCTCAAAACAGAGCTAAAGGAAGCGTTCCGTATATACGACAAACAAGGTGAGGCCACGATACTGCTCAGGCCACAATACTGCTCAGGCCACAATACTGCTCAGGCAACAATACTGATCAGGCCACAATACTGCTCAGGCAACAATACTGCTCAGGCAACAATACTGCTCAGGCAACAATACTGCTCAGGCCACAATACTGCTCAGGCCACGATACTGCTCAGGCAACAATACTGCTCAGAACACAATACTGTTCAGGCCACAATACTGCTCAATCAATATTATTACTCAGGCTACGATGCTGCTCACGGTAGTCTTAATTCCATAGTTCTTTCGAGGCCATTATCAGAGGTCATTAACTCAAGCAGAGAAACAATTAACGTCACAGGTAATGGCTAATGAGAAACACCTAATGTCTTGCCTCACTGATTTATGGCTAAATTGACATGGCTATCAGACACCCAGATGACTTACGTGTCTATTAGTGATTATTAAGAAGCTATTACCATTTAGGTGTAGTTAGCGAGTAATTGAAGTTAATGATGATTTATTGTTAACAGGTGATTAGAGGTAATTGGGTGATTAATTAGTGGATACAGGTAATTCATTGTTGTTATAATGTAAAATTCAATAATTTCATGTAAAGGATCGTTACTGTTCACTACTGTATGTATATATAATGAAACCTCTATTTAACGGAGAATATAGAGAGGAAAGTCCGTTATATCGAGGTTTCACTATAGAGAAGACCTGAGTTAGTATGAAGTGGTAAAGTCCATAAGCTATTTGTGTTGTGTGTGAAAGTGGTACTCAGCAAGACCCTCTCCTCCCACAGGCGACGGCTACATCACGACGCAGACCTTGAAGGAGATTCTCCGCGAGCTGGACAACAAACTGACAGAGGAAGACTTGGACGGTATCATTGATGAGGTTGACGAGGACGGCTCCGGCACCCTCGACTTTGACGGTGAGACAGCGTTTAGAGATAGACAGGAGCTTCGAGAGAGAGAGAGAGAGAGAGAGAGAGAGAGAGAGAGAGAGAGAGAGAGAGAGAGAGAGAGAGAGACAGATAGAAAGAAAAAGAGAGAGAAAGAAAAACAAAGGTTTTAAAGAGAGAATACTTGTGTTAATTATTTAGACATCAAAGCTTCATTTGTTTAGTGTTTCGAACAGAGAGAAACAAGAGTTGGTGGAATATTCGAAGCTTCACAAACACTGAGAAGATTCGAGTTTTTTGAGCTTCGAACAGTCAAGACATCTTGACTATATTGATCAAGAGATAATTATGATGTTCGACTGAGTGAAAAGTTATATCATGGTTTGTTACTTGGAGGTGAGGCCAAATTTAATGGCTGAAAGGAAATTATACGTGAGAGAGAGAGAGAGAGAGAGAGAGTAAGATGGCTTTCAAGTAACATCATTCTTATCTATTTCAGAACTGCTATCACCTGCCTGGGATAATAATTGTACATGTTTTAAGTTATTTATTTATCTATAAACATTAAAGACATTATTCAGGTATAATATGTCTTAAAGCTTATCCTTGCAATAATATAAAATTAGTTAACTAAAAAAGTCCCGAAACTTATCAGAAATAATAAATAAAAGTAGAATTCTATGTTGTTATTTAATTTTATTACTTTTATTTACTATTCACTCTCCTGTATAAACAAATTGGATAAACTTTTGTCTTTCTGAAACAATTTTTTGTTCTGGGTGCAAAATACTACAACAACCCGACTCATCACTTCAACAAGAACCTGATTCCACTGAAAGTTGAATTTAAAGTCATCACTCAGAGCTGTTTGTTGGGTGTACGTCATTCAAGGGGTCTCAGTGGTCGTCATACAGCAACACACATGGGATAAACTTCCGTGACTCAAGTTTAGTTTATCAAATTTACTTAAAACATCAACATAAGTATAAGTTTCGTTTCTAAAGTATGAATGTTAAGTAATAGAGAGACTCTGGTGGAGTTGGTGCCTTAAATTAGGAATATTTAGATGGTAAACTGAGCCACTGTATAATGTATAATGAACACTGCTCAACAATGAATGACGTACTTACAATAACAGTAATGACTGACAATGAACAGATGATAAACACTTAGCATGTTCTTTATAACCTCTTTTGTTCTTCTCTCTTGTTATGTGTTATCAGATATTGATGTTGTAACTTAAGAGAAACAAAATTCTCATTAGATTATTATTCTTTTCCCTCATTGACTCGCCTCATACTGGTTATAAGAGATGAGGGCTTTAGTGTGTTGTGTGTTCAGTCAAACTCCTGTTATAATACGCAGACTTGGTTCTTGTTCTTCTTTTCTCTGATCTTCTGTTTCTCTTTGTTTCTTTGTTTCAGAGTTCATGGCCATGATGGCAGGATAGCTGGTCACCTTCTGTCTCCTTCTAACTCTTTTGATAAACAGTTTAAAATCCCTTCTAATGTCTCCTTATCTACCTAATGGCTTTTATCTATAGTGGCACTGATCATCCACCTATTAGCACTAAACCTCCTCCACTTATTGGCACTCCACCCCCCATCTACCTCCTTGCCACTCCATGCACCTCGTCCTTGAATTACTCATACTTGAGACAAATTTCCTTCGTCATAGATCTTTACCGCTAGCAAAAATTCCTCTAGCTTTTAATTCCCCCAAATCAAGCATGTTATGTTTGTGTATTCTCTTCGTCAACCTGAGGCCCTGCTAGCCCTGGTCTTCACCCCTCCCAACACAGCGAGCACTGGTGAAGTAATGCAGAGTGATAGACGCGTAGATATACAAACCCTTAGGAGATAATTGATCTTGTTTTACCCGTGTGAACTAGCAGCTGCCTAGTCTAGCTTGTTATACTGTCCTTGTGTGTGTGTGTGTGTGTGTGTTTGTGTAAATTATTCTCTATGTGTCTTTTCAGTTATCGTCGTCTATCTCACTTATGTGTTTCTTTGCAGTTCTCGTCTTCTTCTTCTTTGTCTCTCACTTATTCGTGGTCGTGAGAATTTCTTCCATAATGTGTCTCTTTACAGCCCTCACCGCCTACATCTCTCTCACTCGCTCGTATTCTTGTGGGATTTTTGTATTATGTCTCTCACTGAGGGGTAACGTCATCTGTTGATTCTCATTTTATTGTCTCTCAGTCTCGTGTGTCTGTGAGATTTCTGCCTAAGATAATTGTTTCTTTACAGACGTCAAGATGTATGTCTTAACCTGTCATACCTAACATAGCCTGTCAGTCTGTGTAGTAGCTGACTGAGATATCTTTCAGTCTATGTTAGTAAGATGTTTAACCTAACATCTTCGTATGTTTGTTTGTTTGCTTGTGCGAGTGTTATTATCGCTATCTATCTATTTTATCTGTTATCTGAGTTGTGTCTTTACCTCCGTACTATACTACTGTCTCGTCTTCCTTTCAGAATTCATGGGAATGATGGCTGGCTAACTCTTTCCTTCTCCACTACCTCTTCCTCCTCCTCCTCCTCCTCCTTATTCTTCTTAGTCTTCCTATCTCCTAACAACAACAACAACAACAGCACCTCACAACACTCACTCACCCACTACTCGCACCTGGTTCACTTTTAATTAATTATTGACTCACCTGTACTTACCTGTCGCCTCACGTACACATATTCTACTACTACTACTACTACTACTACTGCTGCTATTCCTCCGAGGTGTCTTCGTCGTCCACTCCCACATACACACTAACAACCTCCTCCTCCTCAATCCAGGCTCCTGTTTTAATTTTTTCAGAATTCATGGAGATGATGACCGGATAATATCAGCCTCCACCTCCTCCACCTCCTCCACCTCCTCATAAAAAAAATGAAAACAAGCTCACTGGCTTAACTTCTCGGGTTTTTTTTACATTTGTCTACTCCCCCTAAACACCCCCACCCCCTTCATCCTTAGACTGACATCATGGTGAACTCTCTCGTGATATCATCAATCCCCCCCTCCCCCCAACTCCTCTCCCCCTACTACCAAGTGTGTTTTGGTCAGTGACGTCAACACATATCTGGAGCCAATCATCGTAGCTAAACTAAAAGACGTCAAAAATGAACCAATCATCTTCATCAAAGCAACACAGCCAGTGTCGTCACACATTACATCAACCAATGAATCGTCCGTATTGAATGTGACGTCACCGTACGGAACATTCAATAGGAGGAGTGTAACCTGTAGTGTGTGTCCAGCATTTATGACGTCATGGGGTAAGACCATCGTTAAGAGCCGGAATTTACGTCAAGAATTACGTCATTGAAGAACAAGAACGTCGCCAGGCCAGGAAGAACGTCGCCAGGCCAGGAAGAAGAGGAGAGGGACAGGGTCAGGTGTGTCCTCCGAGGGATAAACAAACAAACAAAGACAAAAAAAATCCATCTAACAACAACAACAAGAGGAGGAAAACCCTGACTTTTATCCCTATCTATTTTTTATTGTCCTCAAATACTTTCTGGATCAACAAATATCTACTTATATATATAAAAAAAAAGTCAAAATAAAAGTTACTTGCCTACTTGTTTGTGCTTTTGTGTCTCTCTTGCACTGAGTTGGGAAGACTATTTATAACTATTATTATTATAACAACAATAATAATAAAATAATAACAATACTAAAGCTATTTGTTTTATTTATTGTTTATTTCTTCATTTCAGTTCCATTCATACTATAGAGTTTGTTTGTTTATGAATAATTACCGTTTGTGTGTTTCTTTATATTTTTTGGGGTCAATATCATTTTTTTTTAATAATTCCAAGATGTTTTAATTTTGTTTTAATAAATATAAATAATGGTCCTGATTTATTGTTTAAGACTGACAAATAAAAAGTCATATAATATCTACGGTTTTTGGTTTTAGCCTGTGGTTAGGTTAGGTTTGGTTGGGGTTAGGTTGGGTTTGGTTAGATTGGTGCTAGTCTAGACGAGGTTAGGTTAAGTTAGGTTAGGTTAGGTTTGGTTGGGGTTAGGTTGGGTTTGGTTAGATTGGTGCTAGTCTAGACGAGATTAGGTTAAGTTAGGTTAGGTTAGGTTCCAGTACATTACAAACAGTAAAGCTATGTCTTGTAATACCAATAATAATAGAACACAAACTAACAGAAACAGATGATGTGACTTAGCTACACATAGAAGCAGTAATCAATCCTCTACAACAAGACTGGGAAGTGAAATCGTAAATAAACGTCGACTTGAACAATAAATGACATGATTTTGTTTCTTCGCTGGATAATCGAATACTCTTTAGGTATAGGATCCGATACAAACAAAAGAGCATCGAGTACAATCCATAAGTGTTTGATTCCAGTTACAGAAACAAATGATGATGATGATGATGATGATGATGATGATGATGATGATGATGATGATGATGATGATGATTGCAGCACTATAATCTGATAAGTGTCAAACGATACACTCAAATCCCATCATAAATCCAACATGGTCGCGTAATGTAAACAAACATGCAAACTAACCATCAATATCTCCTTTCATAAACAACAAACAATGCTGTACAAACAAGATAAAGATGAGGCTTTCTCTGAGCAGTAAACAAATGAGACATAAACCACAAACAACATAAACAATACAGACACACAGGTAAACACAAGAAACAAATGAACGTATAATACAGTCAAAAAAATGTTGGCTGTGTGGGTGAGCAGGGGGACTTACCCCACCCAGGCACAGGTCACCCACCCACATCGGGGCCTGGGGGGCGAACATGTAATAAAAATAATAATACTAAATACATTTATAAAAAATATATGATATAATAATAATAATAATAATAATAATAATAATAATAATAATAATACACACTTAACGCCATTACCCTTCTTCCCCTTGAGCTTCATTTTCATAACCTTTTCTCTACAATCTTTATATTTTCTCGAATCAATCATTACTTTCTCTTTCTTTTGTCTTTTCTTTTCTTTTATCCTTCGTGTCTTTCTCATCTACCATTACCTCCCCTCTCCCCTTCTATTGTTCCGTTTTTTCTTTACTACAACACGACCCATGTCAAGTTGTTTTCTTCCATTTCATGAAGTTTGGTTTCTTGAATTACATTTTGGTTTTAAGTATTTTGTACTCCCAGTCCAGTATTTTGCGAAGTTCCCGGGCCTTTGGAGGGTGGGCGCCGAAGTTGGCCTGACTCAACGCCTTCTACAGCCCATGGGGGATATTTTTCATTTTTCTCAACCCATTTTTTATGAGCTTGTAGAGTTCAAAGGCGTTCTGGTTTTCCCTCTCAGGTGTCCATTGATCTTCGTCCAGACAGACCTCGTCCGCGGTTTTTATTTTATCTAATTTATCGGTGATATAAACAAATGTTTGACCATATTTATTTTTAGTTATAAGGAGATGTTTCTCCCAGTCCTTATTAAATGTTATTTGACGGGTGTGGGATTACGACACAAATGCTGCAACAAGGCGAAGCGCCTTCAAAAGTTTTTTATCAGTTGGGTTCTTTTCTATAAACTATCCCCAGGTTAATGGGGTCCAGATTTATGGGCTAAACACTTCCACTCTCAGAGGTTGTAGACGAGTCCCGATAAAAGTTATGCGTTCTTTCTCGGACAGAATATCTTCAGACTGCCTACCCTCGGGAAGAATGTCTTCAGAAGCCCTACCCTCGGGAAGAATGTCTTCAGAAGGCCTGCCCTAGGGAAGAATGTCTTCAAACTGCCTAACCTCGGAAAGAATGTCTTCAGAAGGCCTGCCCTAGGGCAGAATGTCTTCAGACTGCCTAACCTCGGGAAGAATGTCTTCAGAAGGCCTGCCCTAGGGAAGAATGTGTTCAGACTGCCTAACCTCGGGAAGAATGTCTTCAGAAGGCCTGCCCTAGGGAAGAATGTCTTCAGACTGCCTAACCTTGGGAAGAATGTCTTCAGAAGGCCTGCCCTAGGGAAGAATGTGTTCAGACTGCCTAACGTCGGGAAGAATGTCTTCAGAAGGCCTGCCCTAGGGAAGAATGTGTTCAGAAGGCCTAACCTCGGGAAGAATGTCTTCAGAAGGCCTGCCCTAGGGAAGAATGTGTTCAGAAGGCCTAACCTCGGGAAGAATGTCTTCAGGCTCGCCCTAGGGAAGAATGTGTCTAGAAGGCCTAACCTCGGGAAGAATGTCTTTCTGTGCTGCCCGTCCCCTAGGAAGAATGTGTTCAGGAAGGCCTAACCCGGAAGAATGTCTTCAGAAGGCCTGCCCTAGGAAGAATGTTCAGAAGGCCCAACCTCGGGAAGAATGTCTTCAGAAGGCCTGCCCCTCGCAAAGAAGTTCTTGAAAAACGCCTGCCCTCAGGCAGAATGTGTTCAGACTCTCTTGGGTGATCTATGGCGATATTTTAAGTTGTATAATTTCGAATCCCCAAGAGAACGAGGATCCCTAGAAAAACTGGAAATAGATCCATTAACTGAGACGTGATAGAGAATTACCTCTCACGGCTTATTCTTTAGTGCCGTAATTGGTTTACCTCCCTCAAGCAGACATTTTACGAACATGTAACGGCCTACGATGGGCAACTGCATCAAGGTGGAGTGACAAGCAGCAGGAAGGGCTCGGACTCAGGGCCCCTCATGAACCTCACCAGGAAGCCGCTGAATACCCCTGTTTATCACGCCATCGGTACGAGACCGTAACACACCTTTAGGTCATGCTCCAATTACATTTTTTCCATTTGTAGATGTTACTGAAATACAACAAACCCCCAATAAACCACCACTTGCACGCAGAAAATCAAAATCAAACTACGTACGTTGACCATTGTTTTAGCGCTGACAGTGAAATATGTATTACTTTAAAAGCAGCATCAATATATGGATCAAAGTATACATACAGCTTATTAAAGTCAGGTTGATTCTTCCCTTCGACAACATACCCTGTACATGTAGTACTTGTGTTGTAGAGAACATGTAGTGCTAGTGTTGTAGTGAAAATGTAGTACTAGTGTTGTAATGAATATGTAGTACTAGTGTTGTAATGAATATGTAGTACTAGTGTTGTAGTGAACATGTAGTACTAGTGTTGTAATGAATATGTAGTACTAGTGTTGTAATGAATATGTAGTACTAGTGTTGTAGTGAATATGTAGTACTAGTGTTGTAATGCATATGTACTACTAGTGTTGTAGTGAACATGTAGTACTAGTGTTGTAGTGAACATGTAGTACTAGTGTTGTAGAGAAAATGTAGTACTAGTGTTGTAGTGAACATGCAGTACTAGTGTTGTAGTGAACATGTAGTACTAGTGTTGTAGAGAACATGTAGTACTAGTGTTGTAGTGAACATGTAGTACTAGTGTTGTAGTGAACATGTAGTACTAGTGTTGTAGAGAACATGTAGTACTAGTGTTGTAGTGAACATGCAGTACTAGTGTTGTAGTGAACATGTAGTACTAGTGTTGTAGAGAACTTGTAGTACTAGTTGTAGTGAACATGCAGTACTAGTGTTGTAGTGAACATGTAGTACTAGTGTTGTAGAGAACATGTAGTACTAGTGTTGTAGTGAACATGCAGTACTAGTGTTGTAATGAACATGTAGTACTAGTTGTTGTAGAGAACATGTAGTACTAGTGTTGTAGTGAACATGCAGTACTAGTGTTGCAGTGAACATGTAGTACTAGTGTTGTAGAGAACATGTAGTACTAGTGTTGTAGTGAACATGCAGTACTAGTGTTGTAGTGAACATGTAGTACTAGTGTTGTAGTGAACATGTAGTACTAGTGTTGTAGTGAATATGTAGTACTAGTGCTGTAGTGAATAAGTAGTACTAGTGTTGTAGTGAACATGCAGTTCTAGTGCTGTAGTGAATAGTACTAGTGTTGTAGAGAACATGTAGTACTAGTGTTGTAGAGAACATGTAGTACTAGTGGTGTAGTGAACATGCAGTACTAGTGTTGTAGTGAACATGTAGTACTAGTGTTGTAATGAATATGTAGTACTAGTGTTGTAGTGAACATATAGTACTAGTGTTGTAGTGAATATGTAGTACTAGTGTTGTAATGAATATGTAGTACTATTGTTGTAGTGAACATGTAGTACTAGTGTTGTAATGAATATGTAGTACTAGTGTTGTAATGAATATGTAGTACTAGTGTTGTAGTGAATATGTAGTACTAGTGTTGTAATGCATATGTACTACTAGTGTTGTAGTGAACATGTAGTACTAGTGTTGTAGTGAACATGTAGTACTAGTGTTGTAGAGAACATGTAGTACTAGTGTTGTAGTGAACATGCAGTACTAGTGTTGTAGTGAACATGTAGTACTAGTGTTGTAGAGAACAAGTAGTACTAGTGTTGTAGTGAACATGTAGTACTAGTGTTGTAGTGAACATGTAGTACTAGTGTTGTAGAGAACATGTAGTACTAGTGTTGTAGTGAACATGCAGTACTAGTGTTGTAGTGAACATGTAGTACTAGTGTTGTAGAGAACATGTAGTACTAGTGTTGTAGTGAACATGTAGTACTAGTGTTGTAGTGAACATGTAGTACTAGTGTTGTAGAGAACATGTAGTACTAGTGTTGTAGTGAACATGCAGTACTAGTGTTGTAGAGTATCATCGTTATATTCCACTACATGTTCTTCACCTCTCGGTATTCCTTGCTGCTGTAATGGAAAATCACAAGTGAAAAATGGCAATGCAACTCGCATACACTGAGAGAGAGAGAGAGAGAGAGAGAGAGAGAGAGAGAGAGAGAGAGAGAGAGAGAGAGAGAGAGAGAGAGAGAGAGAGAGAGAGAGAGAGAGAGACTTTTAATCAGGTAGAACAGGTAAATGTATCACAGCACCTGGTGGAGGAGGAGGTTGTCTAAGAGGAACACTGCTCCGGGCTGATGGACGACACACACACGACTAACTTTACCCAGTGTGTTCGTATAATGTTTCCCTTTACTGCTGTTTAATCCTCAGGTGTGTTGGGAGTCTGGGCGGCGGCGTCTTGGTGTCGTATCAGTGTTCCTCGCCGCCTCCTGCCAACATCTCTTTTTATTGTAGTATATAGTGACGGGGCTTCACCTCCACCTGCAGGGGCCAGCACCACCTCACCTGCAGGGGCCAGCACCACCTCACCTGCAGGGCCAGCACCACCTCACCTGCAGGCCAGCACCACCCTCACCTGCAGGCCAGCACCACCTCACCTGCAGGCCAGCACCACCACCTGCAGGGCCAGCACCACCCTCACCTGCAGGCCAGCACCACCTCACCTGCAGGGGCCAGCACCACCTCACCTGCAGGGGCCAGCACCACCTCACCTGGGCCAGACCACCACCGCGGGCCAGCACCACCTCACCTGCAGGGGCCAGCACCACCTCACCTGCAGGGCCAGCACCACCTCACCTGCAGGGGCCAGCACCACCCCACCTGCAGGGGCCAGCACCACCCCCACCTGCAGGCCAGCGCACCACCTCACCTGCAGGGGCCAGCACCACCTCACCTGCAGGGGCCAGCACCACCTCACCTGCAGGCCAGCACCACCTCACCTGCAGGGGCCAGCACCACCCTCACCTGCAGGGGCCAGCACCCACTGCAGGCCAGCACCCTCACCTGCAGGCCAGCACCACCTCACCTGCAGGGGCCACACCCACCTGCAGGCCAGCACCACCTCACCTGCAGGCCAACACCACCTCACCTGCAGGCCCCCTCACCTGCAGGCCAGCACCACCTCACCTGCAGGGCCAACACCACCTCACCTGCAGGGCCAGCACCACCTCACCTGCAGGGGCCAGCACCACCTCACCTGCAGGTTTTGTTTTCCGGACACCTCAAACCGTCGTCGATATTCTCGTGTCGTCCTTGTGTCGTCCTGTTTGGGTCGTCCTGTTCGGGTCATCCTGTTTGGGTCGTCCTGTTTGGGTCGTCCTGTTCGGGCCATCCCTGCTTGGGTCGTCCTGTTTGGGTCGTCCTGTTCGGGTCGTCCTGTTCGTCATCCTGTTTGGGTCGTCCTGTTTGGGTCGTCCTGTTCGGGTCATCCTGTTTGGGTCGTCCTGTTCGGGTCGTCCTGTTCACATCCGTTTGGGTCGTCCTGTTCGGGTCGTCCTGTTTGGGTCGTCCTGCGTCGTTCGTCGTCCTGTTCGGGTCGTCCTGTTCGTCGTTCTCCTCGTGTCGTCCTCCTCTTGTCGTCCTCCTTGTATCGTCCTGTTTAGGTCGTCCTGTTCGGCCATCCTGTTTGGGTCGTCCTGTTCGGGTCGTCCTGTTTGGGTCGTCCTGTTCGGGTCGCCTCGTGTCGTCCTCCTCTTGTCGTCCTCCTTGTATCGTCTTGTTTGGTCGTCCTGTTTGTCGTCCTGTTCGGGTCGTACCTCCTTTGTCGTCCTCCTTGTATCGTCCTGTTTGGGTCGTCCTGTTCGGTTCGTCCTGTTTGGGTCGTCCTGTTCGTCTTCTCTCGTACTCCTCTTGTCGTCTCCTCGTGTCGTATTGTCGTCCTCCTTGTATCGTCCTGTTTGGGTCGTCCTGTTCGTCGTTCTCTCGTCTACCTTGCCGTGTCGTCCTCCTCTTGTCGTCCTCCTTGTATCGTCCTGTTTGGTCGTCCTGTTCGGGTCGTCCTGTTCGTCCTGTTCACCCCCCCCCCCCCCCGTGTCGTACTCCTCTTGTCGTCCTCCTTGTATCGTCCTCTTCGTGAACAGGGCCAGGTATCAGGGATCAGGTGTCAGAGGTCAAGGATCAGGGTGAAGACTTAGGGTCAGTGATCATGGGTCAGAGGTCAAGGATCAGGGTGAAGACTTAGGGTCAGTGATCATGGGTCAGAGGTCAAGGATCAGGAGTCAGGTGTCAGGGATTAAGGTTCATATTGATGAAGTTCAGTAGACCAGGTAAGGGAGGAACACAGGTGGTGGGCCAGTGTTTCCTCCCGCACTAACACAGAACCCCAGAGTGTTGAGCATTAAATTATGGAAGGTGGGTTACCTCCTATTGAGGATATGCGCGCGCAGAGATCCTTGACAATGTGTAAATCTATTCACCATCTTGATAACGAGTGAAGGACCTAATTTGCATTCATTTACTACAATAGGGAAATCTATAAAACCATTCAATCCTAAATTAAATAATGTAAATTGTTGGTATGATCTGATTAGGATGTGTGAAAAGAAAAGGAAGATTTCTATTAGTGGTGGAAAATAATATAAGATGTCAGTGTATTATATTAGTTCTGGGAGCCTCACAGCCTCCTCACAACACGGGAATGGTTGCAGCTGAAATAACAATGATCACAAGACCACAAAAACAACAGTAAACACACACACACACACACACACACACACACACACACACACACACACACACACACACACCCACAGAACAGCTGCGAATATCCGGGTTATTGAAAATTTTTGGGGCTGATATATTTTGGTCAGGAAGGCAAGCTGATTATTGCATCACCACCAATACCACCACTACCACCATCACTCATGTTGCCAAGACACTGTGTTGGTGGTGGTGATGGTGGTAGTGGTGATCATTGTGATGGGGATGGTGGTAGTGTTGGTGGTGACTGTGGTGGTAGGGATGGTGATGGTGGTGATTGTGGTGAGCGTTACTGTCCCGCAATAAGCACTATTAATCTCTGTTACTCACTCACTCACTCACTCATACACTCAGTTTCGCCCCACAGGTAAATCCTACAGGTGAGTCAGGAATTCTTTGCCAACAGAGATAAAAGATTATGCATCCCTCGCTGTGCATCTTCCTTCCTCTCGTAAAACTGTTCAACGTGATGTTCATTCCTGACTCATTCATCTAAATTCATTGTGATTTAGTAATAGCTGAATAAAATACTTGATTATTGTTATTCATCGACGGTACAAAATCATTAAACAATAAAATTCAATGTTTATTCACTTTATAAAAAAATAAACATAACTTCAGTTCTTTGGTGTTTATATATGAACAAGTGACAGTCGTTCTTCACTGATCCTCTTTATATGTTAAATAAGAGGATCCAAGACGATGCAGGATAATTCTTCAACACTCACAAGAGGAGTGAATTCTATTTCTCTGACTCGATTTTGATCTTTATTCTCTGGGGGGGGGTTTGGTAATGCATCAATCACAGGCAAAAATGAACAAATATTTATTCACAGGAATATTTTTAGTTTTTAAATGGGAAGTTTTGGACGAAATATTGAAGTATTGTTCTAGCCACGACTGTCAACATGAGATAACATAGGTGAGTCGGGCCCTTTTTCAGATGGTCCCTAGTACTGACAGGCTTCAACCTAACCTAACCAAGAGCTAGAAGGTTGGGGGGCTATTGGGACGGATAGATGGATGGATAGAACGATGAAAGGATGTGTATCTATGAATGTATGTATGTATATATACAGTATATGAAACAGTATTCCTACATTATTCTTAAAATGCAAAAAAATGATAGTTGTAGAGAGAGAGAGAGAGAGAGAGAGAGAGAGAGAGAGAGAGAGAGAGAGAGAGAATACCTTCCCTCAGCTTCATTATACACGAAAAGGTAAACTGAGCAGGTAGGCAGGTATCTCCCTCCATCTCCTACGTACAAATATAACACCTTTGGAAAGCGACTGTATGCTATTATGTCTGAGTTTTGTGAAGTTGTGGTTGGGGGAAGGAGGAGGAGGGAGAGGGAGAGAGAGAGAGGGAGGGAGAGAGGGGGAGGGGAAGGGAGAGAGAGAGAGGGAGGGAGAGAGTGGGTGAAGGAACGAAAGAAAAAAAAAGTTGTCAGGTTAGGAATTTTGCATCATGTAAAAATAGTGAGGGATAAAAGGTAGTGGAGAGCGGGAGGAGGTTCCACTGGGTGTGTGAGCTCCAGTCGTCTAACACTCGCGTCAGGTCCGCCCGTCACACTACCAGGCTTACCTGCCTGCCTGACTACCTGACTGTCACTTGTCTGTCTGTCTTCTCGCCTTCCCCGCCCCCCGACAACCACAAGTTAAACAACATGGTGAGTTGATTTTACCTGTTTCCTATAATAACACCCTTCCCCCTTCTCCTTAAAACCTGGTATGTACTATTACTACTATTGCTACTACTACTACAACAACAACTACAACTACTACTACTACTACTACTACTACTACTACTACTACTACTACTACTACTACAACCATAACAAATACTACGACTACTATTCGAATATTGTTTTGTGTGTGTGTGTTTGTTGTGATTACGGTAACGCGAGTGTGTGTTTCCCGCCGTCAACGATATGTGTTTATGGAGAGTGCCACCCACGCTGTCTCCCTTAATGAATGTCTCCCTCTTAATGAGTGCCACCCACGCTGTCTCCCCTTAGGCGCCATGTTCCAGTGCCACCCACGCTGTCTACCTTAATGAGTGCCACCCCGCCGTCTACCTTAATGCGCCACAACCCGCTGTTCACCATAATGAGTGCCGCCCACGCTGTCTACCTTAATGAGTGCCACCCGCGCTGTCACCATTAATGAGTGCCACCCACGCTGATGCCCACCATAATGAGAGCGCCACCCACGCTATCTACCATAATGAGTGCCACCCACGCTATTCCACCATAATGAGTGCCACCCACGCTCTCCATAATGAGTGCCACCACGCTATCTACCATAATGAGTGCCACCCACGCCATCACCATAATAATGAGTTGCCACCCACGCTATCTACCATAATGAGTGCCACCCACGCTATCTACCATAATGAGTGCCACCCACGCTATCTACCATAATGAGTGCCACCCACGTTATCTACCATAATGAGTACCACCCACGCTATCTACCATAATGAGTACCACCCACGTTATCTACCATAATGAGTACCACCCACGCTATCTACCATAATGAGTACCACCCACGCTATCTACTATAATGAGTGCCACCCACGCTATCTACCATAATGAGTGCCACCCACGCTATCTACCATAATGAGTGCCACCCACGCTATCTACCATAATGAGTGCCACCCACGCTATCTACTATAATGAGTGCCACCCACGCTATTCATAATGAGTGCCACCCACGCTATCTACCATAATGAGTGCCACCCACGCTATTCACCATAATGGTGCCACCCACGCTATCTACCATAATGAGTGCCACCCACGCTATCTACCATAATGAGTGCCACCCACGCTATCTACTATAATGAGTGCCACCCACGCTATTCACCATAATGAGTGCCACCCACGCTATCTACCATAATGAGTGCCACCCACGCTATCTACTATAATGAGTGCCACCCACGCTATCTACCATAATGAGTGCCACCCACGCTATCTACTATAATGAGTGCCACCCACGCTATCTACCATAATGAGTGCCACCCACGCTATTCACCATAATGAGTGCCACCCACGCTATCTATAATGAGTGCCACCCACGCTGTCTACCTTAATGAGTGCCACCCCGCCGTCTACCTTAATGCGCCACAACCCGCTGTTCACCATAATGAGTGCCGCCCACGCTGTCTACCTTAATGAGTGCCACCCGCGCTGTCACCATTAATGAGTGCCACCCACGCTGATGCCCACCATAATGAGAGCGCCACCCACGCTATCTACCATAATGAGTGCCACCCACGCTATTCCACCATAATGAGTGGCCACCCACGCTATCTACCATAATGAGTGCCACCCACGCTATCTACCATAATGAGTGCCACCCACGCTATCTACCATAATGAGTGCCACCCACGTTATCTACCATAATGAGTACCACCCACGCTATCTACCATAATGAGTACCACCCACGTTATCTACCATAATGAGTACCACCCACGCTATCTACCATAATGAGTACCACCCACGCTATCTACTATAATGAGTGCCACCCACGCTATCTACCATAATGAGTGCCACCCACGCTATCTACCATAATGAGTGCCACCCACGATGTCGTATAACTTTCTCATTAGTGAGGAATTCGTTAAGTGTAATAATATGTACCGTAGCTAAAACAACTATGTGTGCAGGAGGGGATCGATATGCTCCCAAGTTTGACGTGTGACTAGTGACGGCCCTCATATACCAAAATTCATCGTCCATGGTCTCATATTGTTTCCCACAGAGTATGCAGATAGTTGTTTTAGCTACTACGTACATGAACCAGGGTTACGTTACTCTCAGGTGTGTGGAAGCAACTCAGGTGGACGTCTCACCTGTTTGATGTGGTTATGGTATCTGGTGCCTCAGGGCTAATGGTGGTTGAACTTAATGATTACCTTGTCGAGTTTTGTGATTGTTTGTGTTGGTGGTGTGGTGGTGTGGTGGTGGTGGTGTGGTGGTGGTGGTGGTGGTGTTGGTGGTGTGGTGGTGGTGTTGGTGGTGATGGTGGTGGTGATGGTGTTGTTGTTGTTGTTCTGTTTATCTGGATCTAACTGCTGCCAGCTGGGAAATTAAAAACCAAACAAGAGAAATTCATAGCGAGATTATGTACGACGGTGGAACTTAAAGGAAAAAAACTTGTCTTCATATAATGGACTTGAGGACTTGATTATGAGTATCTGATTATTAAAGAGTAATTCTCCTTTATGTTGAGTCCCCCTGATGTTATAACCTTGTATTATTCACTCACAGTCAGAAGTTAGCGTTGAGGAAGAAGTCTGGCAAAGAGATCCTAGACACCTGAAGAGGCAAATTACCATCATTAAACAAAGAAAAAGGGGACCATATACTCTCTCACGTATGATATAAGGTATGCGGATATCAGGGGTTATCACATACTAACGAGATGGCGACCACATGAACCACAGACACCCTAGCATACCAGACAGGTCATAAGAGTAGAGGTCTCAGAGTTAATAAGTGAGGCCAACATACCGCAGTTACCCCAACCATAAACCCTGTCGTGTTTTATAATGATGGGTGAGTGGGGTGGTAGACGGGTGAGTGGGGTGGTAGACGGGTGAGTGGGGTGGTAGACGGGTATGTAGGGGTGGTTATAGTGGTGCCTTGCTAGGATCTATATGGCGTACACACACACACACACACACACACACACACACACACACACATGTACGTAAGGCTTTGTTATCAATGGTAGTGAGTGGAGGTCCGCGTCAGGCACACATGCGTACATTAGGGCGGTGATAAGATGGATGATACCTGGCAAAGAGGGCGGCTGGCAGGTATTAACCCCTGGTATTATTATCTTACACGTGGCGAGGTAACGTGAAAGGGTGGGAGGGAGGGGAGGTGGGTGGGTGGGTGGGTGGGAGGGGTGGGTAGGGAAGGAGGGTTGTATGATTGCATAGTAAAGAAGAGGGAAGGAGGAGTGTGTGAGGGAGATATGGATGATTGGATAGAAGGAGAGGGGGAAGAGGAGTGTATGAGGGAGAGTGGGTGAGGGAGGGAGGGAAGGTGTCACAGTGTACATCTCACAGTCACTTCTCCAGCTCGTGATACTGTCATATTATTACTTACCTAAAGTGTACTGTATCGGGTAGATTATGGCACTGCCTACTACTCACTTCCCAGACAATGACACTCCCTCACAGTCACTTCCCAGACAATGACACTCCCTCACAGTCACTTCCCAAACAATAACACTCCCTTACAATCACTTTCCATGCAACCAAAACACCTCCCTGAAACACCCTCCAATCACCTATAGTTACACACTCCAGCGTGGGGTTCACCAGGGCAGCCATCCTCCTCTGTTTCAAGACCTTTACACATACAATATTCACAGAGAAAGAATATCACTTTTTTTCATTTCACTTCGTATTTTTATTTATTTTCTATTTCCTGGTCTTAGATCAGCAAGAATCGGAATAAAAAAGTAATTGGAAAATGCTTAAAGTAATATGGATCATTAATGTGGTTTTTCTATTTTACTTTTATCTTCTCGCTTTTGTATGCCAACATTGTGATAATAATAATAATAATAATAATAATAATAATAATAATAATAATAATAATAGTAATAATAATAATAATAATAATAATAATAATAATAATAATAATAATAATAATAGTAATAATAATAATAATAATAATAATAATAATAATAATAATAATAAAAAATAATAATAATAATAATAATAATAATAATAATAATAATAATATAATAATAATAATAATAATAATAATAATAATAATAATAATAATAATAATAATAATAATAGTAATAATAATAATAATCTAGACCAACAGGTAAGAATAGGTAGACAAAAATAGAAAATAAAGATGAGAGAAGCCGGAGAGGTGAAGGGTGACGTTGATAAATACCTTGTTATATACAGGTGGTGGTGGTAGTGGTAGTAGTTATAATAGTGGTAGTTGTAACAGTTTTAGTAATGGGGGTGGTAGGGAGGGAAGTGGTAAGGAGGGGGAAGCGGAGAGGGAGAAGGGGGTAGGGGGAGGGGGTGAGGAGGAGGAATATTTCGGCGTATTTGGTGGAGCTGTGAGAGTTATTTCGGGTTAGTCAGGACGGCCTGGCTGTGTGTGTCTACTGGTACTGCCGCTTGTTACTCTGGCATACACCTCCCCTCCCCTCCCTCTCTCCCTTTCCCTCCCTCCATTTCCCTCAATCCCTCCCTCCCTCCCCCCTTTCCTTGCCTTCTTCTTATCACCGATTTATTCTACAACTTTAAGCGTGTTACGGGTTAATGTATCTCAATAAAGTTACATTGTGAGTTGTATATTTTAGGGTTATATAGTGTTGTTATAACGTTAGAGAGAAAGGTAATAGTGGTTTTAAAACAACAGAAGAGAAGGAAGGAAGAATGGGGAGGAGGAGGAGGATACGTAGTTGAAGAAAAGAGAGAATAAGGAGGAGAAGGAGGAGGAAAAGGAAAAGAAGAAGGAGGAAGAAGAGGAGGAGTAGGAGGAGGAACAGGAGTAGTTAAAAGCAGGAGAGGAGAAGAGGTAAGTGTACTCAGGTAATTTAGCCCAGGTGAGTATTATAAGTTGTCTTAAATTTCTAGCTGGTTGTGGACACGTGTTGATTTACCTGTTCCTCCTGTTGTGGTGAGATGAGTCAGTCATTCTAGCTGGGCAGGACCCTTAGGTGTTGGTGAGGGAGGAGAGGGAGGGGTGAGGGGGAGATTCTGGTGAGTGTGTTGGAGGGAGGGAGGTGAGGAGGTGTGTTTGGTGAGTGTGTTGGAGGGAGGAGGAGGGGGAGTGTGTTGAGGAGGTGTGTTTGGTGAGTGTGTTGAGGGAGGGAGGTGGAGGAGGTGTGTTTGGTGAGTGTGTTGGAGGGAGGTGAGAAGGTGTGTTTGGTGAGTGTGTTGGAGGAGGGGAGGTGAGGGTGTGTTTGGTGAGGTGTGTTGGAGGGAGGGAGGAGGAGGTGTGTTTGGTGAGTGTGTTGGAGGGAGGGAGGTGAGGAGGTGTGTTTGGTGAGTGTGTTGGAGGGAGGTGAGGAGGTGTGTTTGGTGAGTGTGTTGGAGGGAGGTGAGGAGGTGTGTTTGGTGAGTGTGTTGGGGGAGGTGAGGAGGTGTGTTTGGTGAGTGTGTTGGGGGAGGTGAGGAGGTGTGTTTGGTGAGTGTGTTGGAGGGAGGGAGATGAGGAGGTGTGTTTGGTGAGTGTGTTGGAGGGAGAGAGATGAGGAGTGTGTGGTGAGGGGAGTGTCTAATGAGTGCGTTGGGGGTAGTATATGGTGTATGTTAGATACTGTTAAATAAAGTGTGAAGGAGAGAACACAAACACACTACTAATTTCACCACAATTACCAACACACACACGTAGAGGCTTGAGATATCACAGGTAAACACAAATTAAGGTATACCTACGTTAATATTTACCAATTTAACATTATATCACTTAACATCATAACTACTGGAGTGATAGTTAACCCATGATGACTGACGAGGATAATTGGGGATATATCGCGTGTACGAGTTTTGGCGAGTACATACAGTCACTTCCAATTATACCTGGTACAGTGACTGGTGAGTTTTGTGAGATGTGGCACCACTGTGTTTGTTTACATCGTATTAAAACTCCCGGAATGGCCTTAAAAAAAAACCTCGTATGGGTAAGGATGCTACATAAGTTTTCCACAGTGCTGGCACATCTTACAATACCTGTACATGGACTATTTGAACCCGAGGGTAACATGACATACACTCAGACACACTGTTGTTGATGCTTGTGTTATGGTCCCCAGGAAATATATTTATTTATTTTCTCTTTTGAGTTGATGTGTGTTGGTTTGTTGATAATAATTTTAGCTGCTTTTTAGTTTCTATTTATTTATCATGTATTTAATTTTGCTTTCAATATTTGTTTTCATCCACACTTGTTATTCTAAATCTTATTTCAATATGCATTCACAACAACAATAATTCGCCATTACTTATTATTTATTTTAATTCTAATATCTCTATGCTTGGATACCTTATCATTTCACGGTTATAATTATTGGTTCTTTATTTCACATTAACATTATTCTTTGCCTCAGAAACGCTGGTGTTCGCCTCATTAACACCCACACTGTTCTTGCAGGACTCACTAGAGGCTGATCAGATTGAGGGTATGTATAGAGCGGGTAGCCTGATCCACCCCTCAGTGTCGAGACAACCCTCAAGTGAGAGAGGCGGCCGTTTGATGTCTCTCTCTCTGTCTCTCTCCTACTACTCCCTCGCCTCTCTAGTTCCAAGGAGGGAAACTTCTCTCTCTTTATCTCTCTCCTTTCTTTAGTTCCAAGGAGGGAAACTTCTCTCTCTTTAGTTGTAGGGAGGGAAATATCTCTCTCCTCTTAGCCTAAGTAGCAACTATCGATTTATAGTCTTAGTGGGGGATGTATCTCTCTTCCCCTCTCCTCCTCTCCCCTCTCCACCCCCCTCTCTATCTTAATACATCACCCCCGTCCCTTTCCCTCCCCCCCCTCTGTCTCAGTACATCCCCCCCCCCACCTATAGAACATACCAACTATTGCTTCTGAACACCAGGTAAAAACTTCATATAGCTCTTTAGTTAATATCTCCTTCTTTTAGGGTTCTAGAATTTAGGAGAACCTTCCCTTAGTTTTTTGTGAATGATAAACCAATCCCCTTATCTCTGCCCGTCACCCCTTAACCTGATATGAAGGTTAAGTCGTTGATAATTCCAGGTTGATATCTATACCCCCTTAGTTCCAGCCTGTCGTGTTTCCCCTTAGATCTAAAAGGTGTTATCTTGTATCTCCCACGCCCTTTACCCATTAGTTAAAGTTGGTCATGCGTATCTCCCCTTAGTTCTTTATCTATCCCCCTCCCCTTTACCCCCCTTAGTGCAAGTTGTTAAACCCATTCACAACTCCTAGAAGAACTATTAGACTTGTTGGTTTACCTGTCGTTATTAAACCCATTGTCACCTCCATAATTACAGGTGTAGAGTTGTAACCCTTTGATGACATATGTGTTGTTCTCTGCATCATCGTCACTACTTAAGTCTCTGAGGTAGTGGTGTTGTTACTCTGACTACATAACATGATAATCTAAGTTGTTTGGCGTTTTTCTTCACTTATGTTCAACGTTATAATAATTATCTATTTAGTAAAAGGATTTGTGATAATTCTACTGGATTGTAATATAGAAGTCAAGTTATGATGTTAATTTTTTGGCTTATTATACACAAAAACATATACCTAAATACACACACACACACACACACACACACACACACACACACACACACACACACACACACACACACACACACACCTAAAAACACACACACAACTGGCAGTCAGATTCACCTTATCAGCCTTATCTCTCAGTCTCTGGGGTGACTTACCGAACACAAACTGACAGACGTGGCTTCCCCTTACAGCCCTCCAGAAGGCCTTTGACTCCTTCGACACTGATGGTAAGGGCGCCATCACCACCGATACCGTCTCCACCATCTTGAGGATGATGGGCGTCAAGATCTCCGAGAAGAACCTTCAGGAGGTTATCGCCGAGACTGACGAGGACGGTAAGTGGCGACTGACGAGGACGGTAAGTCTCGCTGGTACCTGAGAACATTATTTATCTCGATGTTAATAGTATACACAGTTAAACCTCCATCTAAAGGCCTGTATAAAGAAGTAAAACCACTATATCGAAGTTCGTTATATACCAAACCTCAATTTAACGAACACCAATTTGCGTCAGAGTTAAGACGTACCTGTTCCTCCTCCTTCAGGTTCCGGGGAATTGGAGTTCGAGGAGTTCGTGGAGTTGGCCGCTAAGTTCCTGATTGAGGAGGACGAGGAGGCGCTGAAGACTGAGCTGAAAGAAGCCTTCCGTATATATGACAAGGGCGGTGAGTAGTACCTGAGTCTGTGCTGTGCTGGAGAGAGAGAGAGAGAGAGAGAGAGAGAGAGAGAGAGAGAGAGAGAGAGAGAGAGAGAGAGAGAGAGAGTCAGTCAGTCAGTTTAATCATAAAAATATTGATGTTTACAGACAATTTTCTACCAAGAAGACTATTGATATACTAATTTCAAACTTGATAAACAGCGTTAAGACATCCAGTAGTGTCCACTGTAGTTCATAAAATTTCATACAAAGGCAGAAATGCATCAGTCTCATCACTACTACACACGATCTCTCTCATTACCTGTGTTACCTATGTCTCGCCTCCTTCAGGTGACGGCTACATCACCACCGATGTCCTGAAGGAGATCCTGAGAGAGCTGGACAACAGGTTGACTGAGGAAGATCTTGACAACATCATTGAGGAGGTGGACGAAGACGGCTCCGGCACCCTCGACTTTGATGGTGAGAGAGAGAGAGAGACTGAGAGAGAGAGAGTGAGAGATTGAGAGAATGAGAGACTGAGAGACTGAGAGCAGGAGATATAGGTATAATGAGAGAAAGAGGGGGAGATAGCTTTCAGAATTTGACGAGTACAGAGAAAATTACTATTTCATCAATATATTTATCTAAGGATAACTAACAGAAATATGTCATCTCTCCTTAAAGAACTATTGTTACAGTCTACCTTTTTGTCAACACTAGACTTGTGTCCATTTTGGGTAACTTAACAAGTCGTGGGTCAAACAGTGTCTTGATGAAACTTGGATGTAAGATTATTTTTGACAATCCTCACTAAAGAAGACAAACCGATTTAGAATTTATGTTATATTATTAATGCTGTAAGGATGAGAGGTTAGAAAGTATGTGTTGTACAGATAAGTAATTATTGCCTGAGTGTTTGACAGCTGTTAACAACCTGGTAATAACCATGGGGATTTATATATCTTATGAGTGTCCATAGTCTGTAGCTGTGATTCTTAAGGGTGATATTTGTCGGGATATTTACCTAATTTATTCTATACAAACATGAAGACTACTGAGGCTAGGTGATCATCCACACCTCACATGTACAGTCGCCTACACTTACAGTATACCTGATACAGTAACTGGCGCGTTCTGTGAGATGTGGCAACTCTGTGTTTGTTTACATTGTATTAAAACTCCCGGAATGGCCCGAAGGAACATACCAAAAGTATTCCTAGATAAACATTCCACAGCCTTGCCACATCTTACAAAACGCACTAGTCACTGTACCAGGTATAAGTGCAGGCGACTGTACCTTCTGTGCTATTGTCCTGTAGCCGTTTATCACTAGTTAATAAAGTATTTACCACCAAACTCCAGTCACCTGATTTCTGATATTCTCCTCCAGAGTTCATGGAGATGATGTCAGGGTAGGCGGCCATGTTGTATCGCTATGCTGCGTTATCTCCCCACCGCAGCCTCCCTCTTTGACCCCGAGCTAAGGGCGGGGTGCTCCAGGCTGCTCTCTCTCCCTCCTCACCACTGTTCGCGTCGAGTCTCTTCCTTCACGACATAATAACTAAATATCCTCATTCTCATCTGTGTCAAGTGTCGCCTCATTTTCTCTACCAATGTCCTGTTAAGAATATATATAATCACTTTGTAAACTGTTCTTATTAGAGGCAAGTTTTATGTTATGTAAAGGATTATATAATAGTGGTTATAGTTCCTAGTGAGTAAGTGTATCAGCTCTGGCGGCGGTCAGGTTTACAGAAGGCTCGTTTAGCTGCGGCCAGGTGTATACTGGCCACAGTCACTACAACAAACTCACCGTAAACTAAACCACACAGCCAAGAATGTTATAGTCACCACACACACACATCATCATTACTAACTAATACCACAAATCTCACCATATCTCCAAACTCCTTCAATAAAGATAAAAAAGAATTAAATATCTGTTTTCATTATCCTCCTCTGTGTGTGTGTGAAGCAATGCGAAGAATCTAGTCAGCCATTGAACTAAGAGGAACAGGCCATTAAGTTAACGTAAAACACAAAGATTAGTGTAACGTTACTGACAAAATACACAAACAAACAAAGGTATTTTTAGTTTTATATAACACAGCAAATAAAGTCTAGTGTGTGTGTATATCTGTCTTGATCTAAATGACCTAATTCTCTGCCATCAGTTATTTTTAATTGAGTCACCCGATGATTAGTCCCCCAATACAATTTATTTCATCTTAAGATTAACCACTCTAACCTAACCTAACCTAACCTAACCTAACCTAACCTAACCTAACCTAACCTAACCTAACCTAACCCAACCCAACCCAACCCAACCCAACCCAACCCAACAACAACATAAACGACCTAATTCCATCCATTTCATATTCATTTCACTATGAAGACCGTAAACAACATTCACAACCGGGATTACCACTGCCAACACAACCAAACACAATGCACTAACTGCCAACACAACCAAACACAATGCACTAACTGCCAACACAACCAAACACAATACACTAACTGCCAACACAACCAAACACAATACACTAACTAACACAACCAAACACAATGCACTAACTGCCAACACAACCAAACACAATGCACTAACTGCCAACACAACCAAACACAATGCACTAACTGCCAACACAACCAAACACAATGCACTAACTGCCAACACAACCAAACACAATGCACTAACTGCCAACACTAAATTTCAAAAGCACTTTCCTTATATTTTTAAGTGTTTCTCGTCTCTCAGTACGCGACGTCACTAGTCGTTTAAAAGACAGTAAATTCTTGTACCTGGTAATTAGTCGCTTCCTGTGACTCAAGTACACGAATAACTTTATGTATGTGTGTATGTATGTATGTATGTATGTATGTATGTATGTATGTATGTATGTATGTATGTATGTATGTATGTATGTATGTATGTTAATCCCTTGAGTACGTTGACTAAACTTTCTGAGTACAATGGCATTCCACTGATAAAAAACTATCTTGATCATCTGAGTACTATAACTTAACCTGTCCGTCTGTCTATCTGTTTTTCTGCTTCTGTCTCTCTTTTTCAAATATTCATCCTCTCTCTCTCTCTCTCTCTCTCTCTCTCTCTCTCTCTCTCTCTCTCTCTCAACTATGCGTCCCCAGTAAACAGCTCTACACACCGGTCAACAACCCAATCATTGTTGCTAAATCCAAGGAGCCGACCAGTGACTCTCTCTTGGCACAGGTAAACACACAGGTAAACAGAATGTTATTGAGGTAAATATTCTGGGTTATGACGTCATGTTTTGTCTCCTATAAATGTAAAGGGGGAACTTGATGATTAGTCCTTATTTCACTTTAAGAATAACCTAATCTAACCTAACCCTGCCAGATGACGTGACCAGGTGGAGAGAAGTATTGGTGGCAGCTGTGGCATTCAATAGGGTGACGGGACAGGTGAGATATGTGTTCTTACCTGTTGTTTAGACATTACCACAACTGTCTGACCCCATTAACCGAGGTTCTAAGTTTATTCGGAAGGTGTAATTGGTTTGTGTGAGTACTCCTGTTAGAAGTGTGAAAGAGATTTTGGTAGATTCTGACAATTATCGAGAAATAAAGTTTTTTTTTATCTATTCATCAATCACGTTATTTCTTTCATTATCTTCTCTATTATTATTTTGTTTTGTTATCGTGATTGGTAGTTGTTTTTTGATAGATACTTGGCCCTTAACTGTCTGATTTCACACCCAAAATGTTCAAAACTAATTGAGAGGAAGAGTTCGTGGGTCTGCTGAGTGTCTGGTGGTGAATTGTGTCATAAGTTGCACATACAATCTGTGTTTACCTTTAGGCAGTGGTTGGGAGGAGCTTACGGCCCGCGAGACACATCCGGCCCGCGAAACAGACACATCCGGCCCGCGAAACAGACACATCCGGCCCGCGAGACAGATACAGCCAGCCAGCGAGATACATCCGGCCTGTGAGACATCCAACCCATGAGACACTGGTATTATCTCTTATTCGTTGTCTGGGAGAACTTATAGAGGCTCATGATCAAAACTTGTTGGCAGAAGTTGTAAAGTTATGAGACAAGAGAATCATGTACCAGGGAGGGTTAGTTGTTAGTGAATGGAAGTTATCATTCTCCTGACCCGCCTTTAGTGGAATGGGGATCATTATAAAGGGGTTATTACTGTGGAAGGAAGTAAAGTTATGACCGAACTGACTTTACCTTGGCTCAGGCACTCTCCCACATGGCACTGGGATCGATCCACCGATTTGTCTCACGTCACAGGTGTGTTTCTCTGTGTGAGTGAGGAAGATCTCAAACGAAGGTGATGTAGGAGAGATAAATATAACTCTATCAGTGACTCGGAAATTATTAGCAATTAAGTCGTGACACCTGGCGCCTTCACAGGTATAGACGGGCGGTCACTTCACAGTCGTGTTGATGCCAAGGTGTGCAGTAAGTTCCCGTACCTCACGTGAATTTAATTAACCTAAGACACACACCTGTACTCCTCTCAGAGACATACAGTCGTTTGTTTACTGTTATTTTAGGGAAGATTGAAGACTGGTACGAGTGTATCAGACAGTAGTGGGTTAAGACTCTCACTAATTGATCAACCTCAAGATCTTTTACTCCCAGGATTAAGAACGACTCTCCCCAATTCGTCCTTGGTGCCTCAACTCACTGGACCTTCCTATAGGATTAGTTAGCGTGGGTCAGCGCCGTCAACTCGGGGTCCAGATAGTGCTGGTCAAGGACGCTGATGGACGTGTGAGTGCGGGAAACGGCTATAATGTTTTGTGTCTATGTTGGTGTGGGCTGTGAGGAGCCGAGGGAAGAGAGAGAGAGGGGGGTGGTGGAGGGAGAGAGAGGAAGGGTGCAGGAAGAGGCACTGGCGGAGGGGAGGAGGAGGGGGGGAAGGGTAAGTCAAAATCTGAAGGAATGAGCCAGCCTCGTCCGGAATTTGTGCTCCGAAATAGTGAGCATAAAAAGGGTGGGGCGTGCGAGCGGACGATCCACTAGCTGAGTGTCTCTCAGTAGTGTACACACCCGCTCCGGCTGCTCCCCTCCACTCCTTCCCTCACACTCTGTAGCCATGGTGAGTGTTCCTCTACTTTTACTACTACCAACATCTACACTCCCTCATCTTCACTACACCCTCTCCATACACCACCATCTGCTACGCTACACCGTTCATTACACCCTATGTGTATTCATCCGAGTGGGAACCGAGACTACTGTATGTGCCTGAGCGTGGTGTTGGAATGGTGAAGTGTCATCGCATCACTGAGGTGATACCAGCTGTGAGGCGGTGCACACTCTGGCCATCCTGAAGCGGTGGATAACACATAATGATGGTGAAACTATCTCGTGAAGGCTGGGGAGTGCGTTAGTATTTACGGAAGGTGTAAAGAGAGTACATTAGGGACACCGTAGAGTGTTGAGAGTGCGTTAGACCTACCGGTGAGTGTCATGGGTACGTTACAATACTTAAATAGCACAAAATAATGGTTAGGATCAGTACAAAAAAATACTAAGATTTGTGTTTTAGATTTAGGAAAAAGTGCGATGAGTGTGTTAGGAGCACCAGAGAGTGTGATGAGTGTGTTAGGAGCACCAGAGAGTGTGATGAGTGTCTGTCATGAAGCTGTGTTAATACCAGCTAGGAGGATTCTAAAGCTGCACACACACACACACACACACACACACACACAGACAGTTCATCTCTGTGATCAAATTCGAAGTCAACTTTTTTGTACGCCAAACATCCGAAAAATCTATGACGCAGAGATAGAGACAGAGAAAAGGAGAGAGAGAGAGAGAGAGAGAGAGAGAGTTAAAGTAAACGTCATCAGTAATGCTGTTGCGTTCCCAGGCAGTGAGTCATGTGTCCTAGTTGTACTTAATACTTGAGTCTGTAATTCTACTGATCATAGTCAATTTTGTGGACCTGTCTGTCTGTCGATCATACAAATAAATGGAAGATGAGGTAGATAATTCTTCAGGATAGAGTGAGTTAGTATATTATATGGTCTAATTATGTACTACTACTACTACTACTATACTACAACAAATACTACTTTTTTTTTAATGTGGCCTCCAGCCTCCCCCAATAGCCATACCTTCGCCACCATTTTATTACCTTAATATTAAATATCCTAATACATAAGTAGCTATCCTAGCTGTGTTGAGTTAGTTGAGCCGCAGATCTATGCGGCATTCAGTGACTGTAGCCTCAAAGTTGATATCTGCAACTGTTGTCGGCTTTGGGGCCGATGCTCTCGTTCCCCTGAGGCAATGCAATGCAGGTCCTAAGCAAAGAGAAGGACAGTCGACATCTCAACCAGGCTGTAACATAACTTCTGGGCTGCTGCTTCCGTTCAGATAAAACCTCCACGAGTCTGGTGTAGAAGTATCTTGCACTTGGTCCCATCCCGCCAGAGGTTGTGAACACCAGAGGAGTGAAGCTGCCCTGATCGACGTTCTGAATTCTCTCCCCGTATTCCCTTATCTTGGCGTTCTCGTTCCTCCTGTGTGCAGCATCGAGAGCTAGGTTGCAGTGACATGCGGCCATGGGATAAAAAATCTTTATGTCAAAAAAGGCTCGCTGTCCCCGCGTCCAAAATCCTCGACCATTGACGTCCACACGGGCTTCGTTGGGTGTGTTTGAAGTCCTGTGACGGAGGTTCTCACCGTCCAATGGAAGGAGGGGCGGTTCCACCATGACGTCGTGGCAGATTTCCCTCAGTGGAGTTGCTGTTAGGTCCCTTACTTCGTCATGCCTCATGCATACGAAGCCCCCTTTCTTGCACACCATGGCGTGGTCGATGTCATAAGATGAGCCTCACACGCATTGGGAGGGCAAACCTTCTACTGGCCTACCGTACCTTAGAGCAATGGCATCTGTGAATTCTTGTTTATTAAGGATGAAGTCCTTTGCCCTTATCGGTAACATTGTTAACCAGTTTGAGGCGCCACCTCCTGCGCTATAGCTACTTTTCTTTTCACGTTCTCTGGTACTTGCTGCAACAGTTGTTGCAGTCTATCAAAACCACTACTACTACTACTATTAATGACACAATTTAAATCAATGGTGAAATATTACATTACAATCTAAGTTCACCATTTTGGCTGAGTCTTTTTTGAGAGGAACACTACAGGGAGGTGTAGGTGATGGGGGTGATGATGGAGGGGGGAGGAGAAGGGGGAGAGAACTGGAAAGGGTTACTACTGAAGAGGAGGGGAGAGAGAGGGCGTTGAAGTGGAGGTTAAGGTAAGGGAAATTGAAAGAGAAGGGGGAGGAAGAGCAAGGAGGAATTGGAGGATGAGAGGGGAGGATAAGAGGGAACTTGATGAGAGGGGAAGGAAGGTCACGAAAGAAGAGGGAGGGGAAAAATGGGAGGAAAGGGAAAAAGAAGGAGGAGGAGGGGGAAGAAGAAGAAGAGGAGGAGGAGGAGGAGGAGGAGGAGGAGGAGGAGGAGGAGGCTCAGGGGCAGAAGAAGGAAGAGGAGGAAGACGAAGAAGAGGAGGAGGGAAGACAAAACAAAACATCGCCTGATTCAAACCTTCCTCCTCACGCCCATCGCCAATGTCCTCCCGAGACTTTCCTAAATAAACGAGGCGCAGCTATTTCAGAGGAGTCCACTGCACCCTGGGCGGCCTGCGCGGGGGTGGGGGGGGGGTGGGGGTGGGGGTTGTAATGGGTAGAGGCCATGTGTGCGTGTGTGTGTGTGACTCTTTGAAGTAGTTTCTTTAGTTAGATTCTTAGATATACACATATACATTTATACATACATACACACCTTTGGAGTAGTTGTTAATGTGACTATAGTTACGTTTATTACCTGGAGGTTAAGTAGTACTGTACCTGCTGCGTCGTCGTCATATTAGGCAGTGAAGATGGTCCAGGGAAGAGGAACTGATAAGGTCGGTGGCGGCGCTAATGTCGGGAATCTGGGACACCGCTACTGGCTGCCAGGACCACAACCTGTTCACGATTTATCTCTGGCACCTCTTGTCTCGCCTGGTTTCTAAGCCAATGGGGCATCTCGGTACTTTTTTTTTTCTTGATTTTGATTGGTTGATTCACGACGACTCTGGAAGTTGAGGAAGATTATCAAATAGACTTAGTGGTTATAATTCGAATTTATTATTTTTTTAGGGTAAACTGAAGGAATTTAACGAATGTGACAATTAGGGTTAGATAGAAGAGAGAGAGAGAGAGAGAGAGAGAGAGAGAGAGAGAGAGAGAGAGAGAGAGACTTGCCAGTTTCGTCTCTCGTTATTGCTCGTTCATGTTCCTCATCGGTCCCGTGAAACACACACACACACACCCTGAGAGACCACCCGTGAGGTTAGCTATGCCTCTATTGATCTTCTGTTGAATTTCATTTGTTTTTATAAGACCAATCGGTGCTAAAGCAAACGCGCTGCTCACACGCACGCGTCATCACCTCTCAACCTCCATCACCACGTCATCACCTCTCAACCTCCATCACCACGTCATCACCTCTCAACCTCCATCACCACGTCATCACCTCTCAACCTCCATCACCTCCTCTTCTTCCATCTCTTCTTCTCGTCATCTTCTCTACATATCCTGCTTCTCTATGCTTGATGAAGCTGCCACCGTCATTAAGCTTCTCTATGCTTGATGAAGCTGCCACCGTCATTAAGCTTCTGTATGCTTGATGAAGCTGCCACCGTCATTAAGCTTCTGTATGCTTGATGAAGCTGCCACCGTCATTAAGCTTCTATGCTTGATGAAGCTGCCACCGCTATTGCTTTCTATGCTTGATGAAGCTTGCCCGTGCTGCGCTGCTATGCTTGATGAAGCTGCCACCGTCATTAAGCTTCTGTATGCTTGATGAAGCTGCCACCGTCATTAAGCTTCTCTATGCTTGATGAAGCTGCCACCGTCATTAAACATCTGTATGCTTGATGAAGCTGCCACCGTCATTAAGCTTCTGTATGCTTGATGAAGCTGCCACCGTCATTAAGCTTCTGTATGCTTGATGAAGCTGCCACCGTCATTAAGCTTCTCTATGCTTGATGAAGCTGCCACCGTCATTAAACATCTGTATGCTTGATGAAGCTGCCACCGTCATTAAGCTTCTGTATGCTTGATGAAGCTGCCACCGTCATTAAGCTTCTCTATGTTTGATGAAGCTGCCACCGTCATTAATACCCGCCGTGTCATCTAAGAACAAAACATATAGTGAATGTTTTATAGTTTTATCGTCAAACCAACATTTATAAAATGTTTGGGCCAATGGTTGAGGCAGTAAGAGAGAGTTTCTCACACAGGGAGGTGGAGAGTGTGTTTAGTGTTTACAAGTGAACAACAACTCGAGTCTCAGAGAGGAACATCCACCATAGAATATATTAACACCACGATTAATGTTTACTTAGTTTAGTTTTATTATTTTATTTTGCTTAGCTAATGTTTATTGTTGTAATATCTCAATGTTTTTTATTTTATTTTAGTTTATGTTGTTGTTGTTTTGTTTGAGCTGAGGAACAATGTTATGTGACGCGACTAACATGAACACTACCATTGCAGGACTCGTTGGATGAAGAACAGATTGGCGGTATGTATGATGAGGTCCTGCCAGCCATCGTCCCAACCACACACACCACACACACACACACACACACACACACACACACACACACTATATACTTCAACAGGACAACCAATAGATCGTATGTGGGTTCTGTTTTAGTTATCCATATTGACCACCAACCCTCGCACCTTGAACCACTGTAATGCACACCACCCAAGTCCTTCTATAATGTGTCATTCTACTGTCCACAACCACCTTGACCTTGATGTAAAGTGAGAAGGAAAATAGTTTAAGTTCCTACACCTGTTTACCCAGATGATGAGTGTGACCGCACCTGTGAACACCTGTTTTCAGTGCGTCTTTCTCTCCTCGCCTAGTCTCACTAACATCCAAGTGTGATTTTTTTTAACCAACAACAGACCAACTTCGTTCTCCGGATCCTCTTATGGGGAAACACCTGTTGAGTGGTTATACAGGTGTTCTGAGAGATTGTTTTTGTATTATATGGTCGTTTTTTATCATTTTTTATTAACAAGTCTTTTAGGTGTATTACCTTCCATCGCCCCGTATGAGGAAACATGTTCACACCTTAATGTCATCCTCGTCTTACAGCCCTCCAGAAGGCCTTCGACTCCTTCGACACTGATAGCAAGGGCTTCATCACCCCGGAGACCGTGGGCGTTATCCTCAGGATGATGGGCGTCAAGATCTCTGAGAAGAACCTTCAGGAGGTTATCGCCGAGACTGACGAGGACGGTAAGTGGCGACTGACGAGGACAATAAATCGAGAACTGACGAGGACAGTTAGTATGGGCTGACAGCCTGCTAAATGAACCTAGAACTTTTTACTATTTAATACACCCTAGAGACAATACGGCTGCTTCACCTAAACCAATCTTGTTGTGTCTGACATCAACAATAACAATGTCCAATGTGAGTCATTCTTAAACTCGTGATATCCTGCTGACACAACTTTATAGCAAGTTCTTCCTCCTCCTTCAGGCTCCGGTGAGTTGGAGTTTGAGGAGTTCGTGGAGTTGGCCGCTAAGTTCCTGATTGAGGAGGACGAGGAGGCGCTGAAGACTGAGCTAAGAGAGGCCTTCCGTGTGTACGACAAGGAAGGTGAGACGAGACGCTGATTACGTTCTTCCATTCTCAACCCAATCTGTTTTTTTTTCCACTCGTTTATTGTGGTTTCTTATCAGGGCATTTACACACACGACGAATGGAATAGATATATAGATAGAGAGATAAAAATGAGAATAGATGTGATATTTCAACGACCTAATCAAGATACAGACGATTTGTCTTAATATTCATTCGTTAACAATTATTTTCCCTGTGCCCTGAGATCTAACACCCTATTACCCAGCTCTCAGTAGACCACATAAACATTCCTTTCATCGTGCACTAAGACCCAACACTCATGGGTAAAGTGAGAAAATAACCACGCATTACAAAAACACTTCTTGCATCAAGCGGACCAACAACCTTTTGCACAGCCATCTCTCTCGCCTCTCTACCCACACTCCCAGAGCTCTAGTCTTAGCATTACAAAGTCTTAACACACACGAAGTATTCTAAGATAAATATAATCGATGTGTCACTAAAATAGCCCAAAGTGAAAACAATCTTGATAAAAATAATGGTTTGCCCTCAAAATATACGCGTAATTTTCTGTTTTCTTTTATTTTCAAAATTTCTATGATTATGTTCACTTGCAACTGTTTGTTTTTCTTACCTGGGATAAACACAGCATATCTTAGAGTAGTTCCAACACCTCGTTCTTTACACCTGCTGAGATTCTGTCTTCCTCCTTCAGGTAACGGCTACATCACCACCGATGTCCTGAAGGAGATCCTGAGAGAGCTGGACAACAGGTTGACTGAGGAGGATCTTGACAGCATCATTGAGGAGGTGGACGAAGACGGCTCCGGCACCCTCGACTTTGATGGTGAGAGAGAGAGAGAGAGAGAGAGAGAGTCTAGATAATATAACTTAGTGAATTAATAAAAAAAATCTTATATTTGGAAAACTTTACATACAAAAACTAATCTGAAAATGACATGAGAATTCTTTAATATAAAGTTCCATTAAGACATTTTTAAACACCCTGGCATCAACCTAAACACACATGATACATTATGTCACGTATCACTAGATTAATAATTAGGCTGCGTATGATACTTGAGGTTAATTAATAAAGATACACCTGGATTGTTTTAAGTTTCCATGTGATACAATATAACAACGCTTCCTTCCTCTTGGTTTACCTGTACGGATTTTCAAAGCTAAAACAACACATTCAAATTCCTGTCAACATCAACACTACAACAACAAAATTCTCACCTCACTCACGCAGTCTACCATAATGTTTCTTCATCCCTACCATTATATAAACATTTAATTTCCTTCGAGCAATGTTTATTATTCCACACGAACCCCGATATAGTGGTACAGTATTTGGACAGTCAATTTATTTCCCAATCTTATAGTTCGTGGGTCAAGTGTTATATTTTCGTTATATATCCGTATAGACGTTATTCGTTATACGGTGTGGCCTAATCTGTACGTGGAAAGATTCACATACATTTGAATATTTAATTTTAGAAAGCAAAACCGTAAAAAAAAAAGATACAAAGAGATTTAAGAATATATTTAAGTTTGTGTTAAGATTATCACTTTTCTTTATTCTTCATTCCCATGAGGATTTTGTTCACGTTCAATGTGTTTAGTGTTCTTGTTCTTCGATAATTTGTTCTCCTTACCATGGCGTTATCCGACTATCTTCCTCAAGTGTTATTTCATTATAAAGAACAACTTATGTGCTGATTGGCTAAGGCTACATCACGTGACCTCCGTAATGTAAGATGATTGGTCCCGTTGACTGTAAAATAACTTAGCAATACAACGCAACATAACAGCATTAAACCATAATAACTTACCAACAACTATTTAATACTTTTTTTTACAATTAATATTTAGTTTTCTTTATTATAAATTTTATGAGAATTAACATTGATTTTTTAGTTCCATTTTCTTCGATACATTTTTTAATTCAATAAATTCTTGAGGAGTGACTCGTTTATTTTGAGATGAATAAATATATATTTTTTTTTTCAGAATTTATGGAGATGATGAACGGTTAAACGATGGGTGTCCCTCTCTTTCCTTCCTTCCTTCCTTCCTTCCTTCCTTAATTCCTTCCTTCATTCCTTCTCGTCAATCTTCCTTATTAACAATATATCACAAAATAACATGGGATAATTTCATTAACTCACGACTACAAGGAGGGGGCTGCAATGTCGACCCCCCCACGCTCACTTCACATTCACAAACTTTTTTTTTCATTCTCATTCGTGTTTTTTATCATCTCTTTGTTTTTCTTTCTATTTAACCTTTCGAATATAATTAAACAGTATTTATTTTCTCATGTAAACACCTCCTGACCTTATCATCCAAGGACTTGACCCGGTACCTCTGGTTTTGCTTATTTCTGCGTTTTCTTACGACACGTGACAGCTAAGTATGTCATTCGCTTAATCTCTGGACACGTGACAGCTAAGTGTGTCACTCGCTTAATCTCTGGACACGTGATAGCTAAGTATGTCATTCGCTTATTCCCTTGACACGTGATAGCTAAGTATGTCATTCGCTTATTCCCTGGACACGTGACAGCTAAGTGTGTCATTCGCTTATTCCCTTGACATGTGGATAATCGCGTGTCAATCGCTTAAACTGTGTATGAAGGAAAAAATATCGCTTATAAATCCCTTATTGCTCGTTAGATCTTTTGTCATTCGCTTATATTATACACTCCTACAGTGCTTGTTGATCGCTTACTCCCTCATGCTCGATAAAACTCGCTTCTTAACTCGCTTAGCACCTGTTGTAATAATGCTTAATCTTATGAGCGCTTATACTATATCTCAGCTTAGTTATATCGCATACTCTTAGTTAAGCTGCTTACTTGTTTAGATCGCTTACTCTTACTATCGCTTAATACCTATCGCCTTACATCGCTTACTCTTTCTATCGCTTAATACCTATTGCCTTACATCGCTTACTCTTACTATCGCTTAATACCTATCGCCTTACATCGCTTACTCTTTCTATCGCTTAATACCTATCGCCTTACATCGCTTACTCTTTCTATCGCTTAATACTTATTGCCTTACATCGCTTACTCTTTCTATCGCTTAATACCTATCGCCTTACATCGATCACTATCGCTTACACGGGACCTCACCTCGCTGCCAAGACAAAATCGCTCTTAAAACAAAACCTCTCCACTCAGTTCTTCATTAACACTACGACTGTATTAAGAAATGCCAAGTTAAATCTCTAAGTTTGATTCATATCTTACAGCAAAGTTCAAAGATCTTTACATGGTCAAAACTCTATGTCTTTCCGGGTTAAGGAAATAGAACCGTAACTTAAACTTAACAACAATAACTGATAAGAATAATTTTTTCATTTTAATTTAATATATACATCAAAACTTTAATCTATTTGCTGTCTGGTTTAACATACAGTATTATGTATATAAATATGTGTATATATGTATGTATTTATGCATACATGTCATAAATATACATAATTTAGTCAGTATTAGTATTTTTCTCGATCTAAATGATTGGAGTATTTCTTATACACAATGTACTGTTTACGTGAGTTTATACACCTGATCACTTTATGTTTTGGTTCTTCTTCCTCCTTCTCCAGACATTATTGGTGACTACTGATATTTACTCTATTTATTGTGTGTTACTCTGCTTCTTCTTCTTCGCGGTGTTTTAATTATTTTCCAGCATAAATAGTTTATATTTTGTTTATTTATTATGTTTATCCCTTCTTATACTGTCTTATATTTTTGTTTATTCTCTAATAGTTTCTTATTTATCTTTATTTATTTCTCTATTCTTTACTTATTTTTTCTTTTTAATTTAGTCTTGTCTCTCACTTATTCACTTCCTTTCTTTCTTCTTTCTCTCTATTGATGAAATTTCAACTTTTTTATTCATTTACGCATTTCCATTTTGCAGAGTTCATGGAAATGATGGCTGGGTAAAGGAGGACACACACACACACACACACACACACACACACACACACACACACTCCCAGCTAGAGGGGCCGGAGTGTGTCAACAACTCCTCTCTCTCTCATCTTCTCCTTACGTTAACATTATACATATTTACAGATTTTTTTTCTATTTCTCGTTTTTCATCTTTTATTTTTTTTCTTTCTCTTCTTTCGTCTTAAGATAGAATCATTCATCTCCATGGCAGAATAATATGTAATTCTTTCCTCCTCTTCCTTCTCCATCTCCTCCTACTCCTTCTCCTCCTCCTTCTACCTCTTCCTCCGTCTAGTCTGTTTGCTGTTCTTCATATTTTTTATCACCTGAAGCTCATTAATTTACCTGGGCTGTGTCATCTGACCAGGTAATCGGTGGCCCAAACACATAATAAAACTAATAATAAAAAAATACAAATAAATGTTTACCTGTAGCCGGATCATTACGGAAGAATACCTGGCCGTAACAGTGGACGGTAAACACCTCATAAAAGTCTTACTGTTGACTACTACCACCATTACCACCACTTCTACTACTACTACTACTACTACTACTACCAGCATCACCACCGTCTCTCTAAACAGCTGTTCATCTGAGCTGATTCATAAATATAGAATAGAGAATCTGAACATAGTGTTTTTCTTTCCTTTATATATGTGACGTTATATTAAAATTCTTGAAAAAAAATTAAAAAATATATGTATTGAAAATTCCTTCTTTATGACGTCATCCTAAGAACTGTTAAAATGAAAATATTAACAAAAAAAATAAAAATTCTTTATGTATGACACCATCTCAAGTCTTCCCCTAAAACAATAGGAACAAAATATTGTACTTTCTCCAAGACATCATCCTCAGACTTAAGACATTAGAAAAATAAAAATAAAAAGCTTCAGCTGGCACAAGAGCTTTATGTAAACACACTGTACTAATATAACACGTAACTACTCCTGACTCACTGCAAAAAATGTGTGTTTGATTTTATTCCGAGAAACAGAAACAAACACACACACACACACACACACACACACGTATTTTATATTGATCAAGTTATATCGATCAATATATATATATTTACTTACCTATGTCTGGAGGACGGCGGTCTAGTGGACACATCTGCTCGGTTCCATATTCCAAGGTTCGGTGGTTTAGTTCCCAGGTACTCCCAGTTCACCCAGCTGTAAATAAATACCATTGAGTAAGTTAATAAGTTGGGGAAGAGAAGGCGGTCGAGTGAAGTACAACTTTCACCTATGTCTATCAAATTTAACTACCTATCACTATAATCTATCTTCTCTATCTATCCATCTATCAATCTATCTGTCTTCTCTATCTATCCATCTATCAATCTATCAGTCTAATGATACCATGGGTTCAGAGTGGGCAAACAGGTGTAGATCTCACGGGTCTTACTAATCAACAGGTAAGCAGGTTACCTCACATCTTGGTTTGGTCCACCTTCGTCAAGTGTACCCGACAATTGGTCTATTTTACAGCTACTGTACAAGAGGGAATCCAATCCCCTTATTCAGTTGGAGAATCGAACCCTTGACTAACTCGTTTGTGAGGTGATTGCTCTGCCACTCATCTCATAGTGCTGGTATACACGATAATAATTCCATCTGCTTGGATCCATTTTTTCAGGGTCATATAAACAATGTGATTTAAACCTTATCTAAACATTAAATCTACATCTAACGATCCCTATATGTGTAGAATTATTTTCTTTTTAATATCTTAAAATACAACATGAAAACATCTATTTTTTATAACAATTAAAACAAAATTAACTATGATATCGTTTATGAAAGCTGGAACGACAAGGGAAGTGACAGATCTCATACAGCAGCGAGTGTGGCTGTATTTAGTTACGCAACACAGATATGACTTTGATGAGTAATTTGTGAGACTTCCTCCTCTTTGTTTTACGATATCAGTTGTCTTAGGTTGTTGTTTTTTAGTTTATTACACCGTTTTAAGTTATACAGGCCAGGTAGGGATACATAAACAGGTAAAGATACATACATAGGTAAAGATATTTCATTACACAAAGACATATAATCGTCGATTTAGCTGGTACACACACACACACACACACACACACACAAAGTACAAATTTAATTCACCTGGTAATTTAAATACTCAGTCTGTCTGTCTGTCTGTCTGTCTTCTTGCTAGTTTTATGTTTCTGTGTTTTTGTTTTTATTCGAGATTTATTTTGTTAATCCGTTAAGAAAAGTCGAAAAAATGGTTTATGTGTTAATTTTGTGAAAAGAAAATTATGTGAATATAGTGTCCATGCCCCACCAAATGCCCCGCCAAGTGCCCCTGCCCCATAAAGTGCCCCGTCAAATGCCCCCATCAAGTGTCCCTGCCCCACCAAATGCCCCATCAAGTGTCCCTACCCCACCAAATGACCCATCAAGTGTTCCTGCCCCACCAAATGCCCCATCAAGTGTCCCTGGCCCACCAAATGCCCCATCAAGTGTTCCTGCCCCACCAAATGCCCCTTCAAGTGTCCCTACCCCACCAAATGACCCATCAAGTGTTCCTGCCCCACTAAATGCCCCTCCAATTGTCCCTGCCCCACTCAATGTCTCGTCAAATGCCCCATCAAGTGTCCCTGCCCCATCAAGTGCCCCGTCAAATGCCCCATCAAGTGCCAGGTCGAAATACCCCATCAAGTGCCCCGTCAAATACCTTCACCAAGTGTCCCGTCAAATGCCCCACTAAATGCCCCGTCAAATGTCCCGTCAAATGCTTCCTCAAGTGCCCCTGCCCATCAAGTGCCCACCAACGTTAATGGTTTCATCTGTGCCAGGAGTGAAGGCCGCGGGATCATCAGACACCTGCTTCAACCTGCGGTGTGAGCGACTCCCTCACCTGAACCAAACACCTGTGTGTGTGAAGTGAATTTTGTGTATTTAAGACGATACATAAAAACATAAGAACATAAGAATGGAGGAAACTGCAGCGGGCCTATTGACCCATACTGGGCAGTCCCATTTACACCCAACCCCTATTGCTCATATAAGCATCCAACCTATGTTTGAAGATATCCAGCGTATTCGAGTTAATGATGATATTTGGTAACTTGTTCCACTCATCCACTACTCTATTTCCAAACCAATGTTTACCTATTTCGCGCCCAAATCTAAATTTGTCTGATTTAAAACCATCGTTACGAGTTCGCTCCTCGTTGGATAGTTTGAGTACCTTTGTTATGTCCTCTTTGTTCAGCCCTGACTTCCATTTGTACACCTCTATCATATCTCCCCTCACTCTACAGTAAGTCTCTCGAGGGAGTGCAAAGTAAGATGCTTTAACCTGTCTCTGTACTCAAGGTTCCTAATGCCCGGGATTAGTCTTGTCATTTTTCTCTGAATTCTTTCTATATCCATCCTGTAATGCAGTGACCAGAATTGAACTGCGTAATCCAAGTGAGGTCTCACAAGCGCAAGATATAGTTTTAGGATGACATCGCTAATCTTGTAACTAACACTCCTTTGTATGAACCCAAGTACTTTGTTAGCCTCGTTTCCAGCAAATACACATTGTTTACTTGGTTTAAGATTCCTACTTATCATTTCTCCTAAATCTTTCTCACAGTCGGATTTCTCTATAACATCGTTGTTCATCTGGTATTTGGTTTCTCTGTTTACATCTCCTAGACTAAGTACTTTACATTTGTCCACATTGAATTTCATCTGCCATTTTTCAGACCATTCGAAAATTTTTTTTAGATCTTCCTGTAGCTTTACGGAGTCCTCGTCAGAATTACTCGTCCTATTTTAGTGTCATCAGCAAATTTCCTTATGTTGCTGTCTACGCCTATATCTATGTCGTTTATATATATATATATATATATATATATATATATATATATATATATATATATATATATATATATATATATATATATATATTAATGGTCCAAGTACTGAGCCTTGGGGCACTCCACTAGTGACATTACTCCAATCGGATTTACTGCCGTTAATGCTCACTCGCTGTTTCCTGTCCTGTAACCACGCCCTAGTCCATTTTATAATATCTACTCCAATGCCATGAGCCTCCACTTTTCTTATTAGTCTTTCGTGGGGTACTCTGTCGAAGACTTTGCTAAAGTCAAGATATACCATATCATAGTCGTGCCCCTCGTCCGCTGATTCGAAAATAGCTGAAAAGAACATTAATAGATGGGCATCATTTCTTGTTGTGGGGATGTAAGAATTAAGTCATGAATATACCTTTAGAAATGTAAATACAAATCTCTGGCACCATATACCTGCCCAGGATTACAGGGCATCTTAGGTTTCTCCATCATACAGGTGAGTCAATTAAGTGAGGGCATCAGGTGTAAAGTATTATCAATATTCTGACTAAGTTTTCAAAGGTTTATATGTTTGAATTATAATATGTGAGTGACGGAGGGTAGCGTGACGAGCCGTAGAGCGAATGCAAACTGTGTACTTCAGGAGACGTGGTGTGGAAAGTTGAGTGTTTGAGACGGTCACTTCCAGCCAGTGTACCACCAACTCGTTGCTCATACGTGTGTCTCTATACTTGGTTTGGTTTATCTTTGTCTTACATATTAGTAATTAAGTTTATAAAAATATTAATCCACTGAAAATAATGAAAAATTTTACCTGAGATTTTCTATGGTCGTCTTTTATCTGTATTGATCTTTTTCAGGGACCATTATCGACCATTGGACCATTAAGGTACAGTAGGTAATGTGTCTTATAGTTTGATTCAGCATGCAGTAACTGACACTCTTCTTCAACACATACTGTAAACTTTAAGAAGGCACCAAGCGGCTCCCCCCACCAGAGATACCAGGAGTTAGCTTATTGTTACAGCTGCTCACGTAGAGGGACAAGATGTAGGAATATTGTAGGTGTTGATCTATAAGCTCACTGAGATGATGGAGGGAGGTGAGGAGGGGAGGTGCTGGAAGAGGCACTGGCGGAGGGGAGGAGGAGGGGGGGAAGGGTAAGTCAAAATCTGAAGGAATGAGCCAGCCTCGTCCGGAATTTGTGCTCCGAAATAGTGAGCATAAAAAGGGTGGGGCGTGCGAGCGGACGATCCACTAGCTGAGTGTGTCTCAGTAGTGTACACACCCGCTCCGGCTGCTCCCCTCCACTCCTTCCCTCACACTCTGTAGCCATGGTGAGTGTTCCTCTACTTTTACTACTACCAACATCTACACTCCCTCATCTTCACTACACCCTCTCCATACACTATTATCTCAGTTTACTACTACACTTGTTACGTTGGCTACATCACCTCCCTCCGCCGCCCCCCCCTCATCAACAAGTGTGTGTGGGGGCGGGAACGCTGACCACTGATACAGAAGCCACAGTGAAAAACTAACTGACTGAAAACAGGTGTCGTATTGTGATGGTGTTACCTGGAGACTGCGTACCTGGTGACTGTTACCTAGAAACTATATTACTTGGATACTATATTACTTGAAGACTATATTACTTGAGTCTGCGTCATCGTCATCAGGTGTTCGAGTTACCACCTGGGGAAGGATTACTAAGGAAGGGAAGGTTGTCGTCTTGGGTGAATCAGTCGTGGTCTCACAGTTTGGTCATTACTCACACTATGTTAGCAGTGAGGTGAAAGAAGCCAGGGTTATACATGTGTTAGTAGGAGTTTTTCTTTGTTGACGTAAACGGAGGGCTGACGGAGGACTGACAGAGGGCTGATGTGTGAGCACCACCCGTCACTCAGGTGGCTGGGGGGGTTTTCATGTTAACACTCGCGAGGTTGTGATATTAAAAGCTTGACATATAAATAGAGAAATAAATAATATATAAATATATATACACCATAAACACGCACATATTATACTATACATACACATCCCTAACTGCTCAAAAAATATATTAAATCAACAGCATTACCTAAAAACTTAAGTTCATTATACGTGTAATGTCAACAAATACATTATCTGAGCCGTACAAGGTGACACAGCAGCCCGGGTCATGCAGCACACGTCAGGTAGCCGAGACATATGACTGGCGGGGGGAGGGGGGGGGGCTTCTCGTCTTACACCGTGACTTAATAGTTCTCATTCTTACTGACCATAATATTTACTGCCGGAGTGAGACAGTAAACACGGTTAATAACGCGCGTCACAGTCTGCCAGGGAGATATTATGCTCTCGTGGGTGTCAGTATATGTCTCCTGTCTTACCCATAATGCCTCAGTGTATTTCTCTCCTCTTCCTCCTCATCCACCTCCAACACCTTCCTCCAACCTCCAACACCTTCCTCTACCTACCCTCAACGTACCCACCACCCTCCATCACCAGCCTTCAAATTCCTACCCTGTACCTCCAACACTTCTTCCTTACTTCCGCTCTCCACCTCCAACACCAGCACCCACCCTCCATCTCCATCGCCAACCTCCCACCCTCTACTCACACTTCCCCATAACTCACTGTCACTTGTGATAACTGAAACAGATACACGAATTAGCGAAGGACTTGTTGGATCTGGCGCACCGTGTTAAGAGGTAGTACCAATTGATATTCCACGTATAATATTTCGTACAAATGAAGGCTTAAACTACGGCTGAACCACTCTGAAAACAACGTCAGATGATGATTCCTCTCCAATTCCGGACAGCTGCACTCCCTCACCTCCTGTCTGCAGAAAGCATCCTAAATAGATGAGGCTATTTTAGACAGGAGCGGGACAGGGTAGCGGAGAGGAATGTACCAGCACGAGGGTGAGCCTCGGGGAATCATCCACAGGAGGGCCCCCCCCCCCCCGGGTACACTTGAGGAGAGGAAGGGGAGGGGCAGAAGGAGCAGGTGTTGACGGGAGCGTGAATCCTGACGATGGTGCCAGAGATTCTAGTGTTGCAGAGATAAAATAAACGAGAATTGTGAGTGAAGGTCCGAGGACTCTCTGACCTTCAGCAGGAAGGTACTGACCACACCCCTTCCATACCAGCTCCTGCATCTTCAGAAACTGTTGACAATCTTATAATTATTTCCGTATCAAACGTGTATGATTTAATGGCCTTAATATGACACAATGGTTGCCAAGTGTATCAGTAGAAATATCTTAAACATACTGGACATAATCCCCTAGACACAACTGTATCCTCTTACAAGATTTCACTTCCTTGCTGGACATATTTGTTTCCAAGTTGCCGGGTAGCTGTTGGAAGTCTGCTCATATTATTTTGTTCACTTGAGTATCTCTGGCAGCATCAGTAGTGGTGATCTTGTTGGATCTAATTCGAGTTGATCAGCATCCTTCTGCCAGGGTCACACAACACCGAGCAGCGAGGGACTTAATCCACTTCAGTTATTTCTGTTTACTTGTACTCCCTGACTGCCAGCCCTCGTCTCCGCCCCCGCCCCAACCCCGCCCCGCCCCGCCCCCGTCCCAAAAATTCAATCACAAATTAATCTTTTCAAATTATTTTTTTTCCTTTATAAGCCATAACTCCTCAACTAACCAAATATACAACAGATTAACAAGAGATAAATTCCTGTACATACATATACCATATATGGGACGCCTTAAAACAAAGCGCGATTTATTCCACGTAAAATTGTGAACTTCAGTTAGTGTGTGGGTGTGTGGGGGTCACCTTAGCCGTACTCTGGAGGGAAACTACGTCTCATGTACCTGATGTATAGTAGGTGTGGGTCAGCAGGTGTGGGTCGGCAGGTGTGGGTCGGCAGGTGTAAGTGGGCAGGTGGGTTCTTTGTCCAATAGTGAAAGAGCACTAGGGGGGTGATGCTCCTTGGGGTAGGTAGGAAACGAGGATGAGGAAGAGAGAAGGAGGGAGGCAGGGAGAGACGAGGAGGGAGAGAGGAGGGAGAGAGGGAGAGGAGGCAGGGAGAGACGAGGTGGGAAGAGGAGGGAGAGAGGGAGAGGAGGCAGGGAGGGAAGAGGAGGGAGAGAGGGAGAGGATTCCTTGAGGTAAGATGGTTACAGGGACACTGCACACCTATTGTTGACATAATGATGATCTTAATAATAGTATAGTAATCAGAATTTGAATTATTATAAACAAATATTATATTGTTTTCATCTATAAAAAACAATACTAACAATGATAATAATAATAATAATAATAATAATAATAGTAATAATAATAATAATAATAATAACACACACACACACACACTCACACAGCCTGCCAACCTTTCCACATGCTGTTGCTAACGAACACATCTGTAACTAATTTAGGATGAGATACACAAGAACGCAAGATGTTTTATATATACATTACCACGAGCATCCTCCACCTCCTTCCCAAGGTAGAGGAGTGAAGGAAGTATTACAGACTGGGCATAGACGATAGCTTGGGTGTCATCTGTAGGTTCCAATATTACACCTAAATCAACATATCGAATGCATATACTCTTAAAAAAACTATAAACAAAGAATCTGATCCTATCTTAAGTTAATTAGATCCCTCTTGTGGAATCTAAAACAAAAGACGATCACTAAAAAGTATAAGGACAAGTAGATACGTTGTTGATATTCTTGGATGAAATAAGAGATAGATTAAAATAGAACGACACTCAGATGTTGATGATGTTGTTTTAAGCTGTCTTAGTGGTTAATCAGGGTCACTGTGGCCTTGACCGTGGGCCAACTGCGTCTAAAGCTGAATCACTTTATCTCTATCAGTGTGTCTAGTTACCTTGACCCTCATGTTACGGCTGAAAGATCACGCAGGAAAAAAAAATACATTCTGAGAGTTTTTTACACACACATACATACATACATACATTCATACATACATACATACATATATACATACATACATACATACATACATACATACATACATACATACATACATACATACATACATACATACATACATACACAGAAGGAGAGAGTAGACATCAAGACCTCAGTACACCTTGAGTCGTCGCTAATAAGGCCGTGACAAGTAGCAGGTAGTACACGGGTGCTCTTAATCTTGTTGCGGTTCACAGATTGGCCAAGACGCTGGCACCGGTGACCAATCAGGCACTTGGACTATTCTCAGTGTTTCCATCTTTTTTGTTGAATGTTATTCTTGTTTTGTGGTGAAGCTGTTTTGGCAACTCTTACCGTTCAGTAGCGCACTAAGGTTCTAAGAAGGGGATCTGTCTCTCTCTCTCTCTCAGTTTACTTAAAGGTGTATTAGTCTTTCTTGTTCAGTATATAATATGACAAGAGGTTTTATACCCTCGTTATGTGCAGTTGTGATGTTGACTCGCCTATATAACTTTATCATATGACTGTGTTTTATGACCGAGGTAATTCAATCCCTTAGCAAGAGTGTCATGTGAGCTTACTGTATGTGTGTGTGTATGTGTGTGTGTGTATGTGTGTGTGTGTATGTGTGTGTGTGTATGTGTGTGTGTGTATGTGTGTGTGTGTCCTGATGTCCGTTGTCGTTCTGACTTTCCCGCTCAATCAGTAATTATAATAACTCAAATATGTAAATAAGGAGGATTTTAATGGGTGTACTCACGGTATATTGTGGTGGAGTGACGCTTATAGGGAAACAGTTCAGCACCCGTGTGTATGTTAGACGAGGCAGTACAGAGATCAGGACACAGGGATGTTTTGTATCTGAAAAAGACAAAATACAAGAGTTTTAATAAAGAATATATATATAGTTAATTTTTGTGTCACCCTGTATATTAAAGCGAGAGAGAGAGAGAGACTATATATGTTCGTGTGTTTCTCAACCATAATTACGGTCTACAAAATTTTTTTTTTTTCTGGCATGAAACCTTTTAACTGTTTTTTACTAACTTTAAGGTGCTGAATCCAAATCTGATCTCAGATTTGCTCCATCACGTAACGTGCCAGAATTTACTGAGCTACCAGAGATTGAGGATATAGACCGGAATTCACCTGTTTCTACTGATGAAGATGAAGAGACTGATCTTTTCAAGCCATCTGGTGAAGATTGTGAAAAGCCAACGTTGTTTACTCAGTCAGAATTGAATGATCTGGTCAGAGATCTAAATTTGCCAAAACAGTCTGCTGAATTGTTAGCTTCCAGGCTTCAAGAGAAACGACTCTTAAAACCTGGCACGAGTGTCTCCTTTTATCGCAACAGAGAAGAGCAACTGCGGAAGTACTTTCATTCATATGACCAGCTTGTTTTTTGTAATGATGTAGAAGGACTTCTTCTCTCCATGGGACTACCAGCATATGATAGTAAGGATTGGAGACTTTTTATTGACAGTTCTAAAAGGAGCTTGAAATGTGTTCTTCTTCATAACGGAAACAAGTATGGTTCAATTCCAATCGGACATTCTGTACAAATTAAAGAAGAGTATGAAAACATTAAGACTGTTCTAGAGAGGTTACAATACCATGCTCATGAATGGTTAATTTGTGTGGACTTGAAAATGGTAAACTTTCTATTGGGCCAGCAAGGAGGGTACACAAAATACCCCTGTTTTCTGTGCTACTGGGACAGCAGGGCTACAGCAGACCATTGGGTGAAAAAGAATTGGCCACCAAGACATAGTTTGACGCCTGGTGACAAGAATATCATTAACGATCCTCTGGTTGACAGGAAAAACATTGTCCTTCCTCCTCTGCACATAAAACTTGGTATCATGAAGCAATTCGTCAAGGCTCTTGATCATAGTGGAGAGTGTTTCAGATATATATGCTCAACCTTTCCAAGTCTTAGCGACGAGAAGAAAAAGGCAGGGATTTTTGATGGACCTCAAATAAGAACACTACTCAGAGATCCACACTTCCTTGCAACAATGACTGAGGCACAGGCAAGAACTTGGAATGCTTTCTCTAATGTGGTGAGGAACTTCTTAGGGAACAAGAAAGCGGACAACTATCAAGAAATTGTGGAAGAGCTGCTCTTGAGTTTACAAGCACTTGGATGCAGAATGAGTATCAAGGTTCACTACTTACACAGTCACTTGGACGAGTTTCCAGAAAATCTGGGAGAAGTGAGCGAGGAGCAAGGGGAGCGCTTTCATCAAGACATTAAAGTAATGGAAGAACGTTACCAAGGTCGATGGGACTCGAACATGATGGCGGACTACTGCTGGAGTTTGATGAGAGACATTCCAGAAGCTGTACATAAGAGATCGGCCAAAAAGAGGAAGTTTATGTAACTGTAACTTGATCTTAATACTTGCACTATTTCTACCGTACATTAATTGTTTTTTTTCACCCTTCAATGTTACATTTAAATATTATATGTGCATTACCTTTCCAATTTGATATTAACAATTTTTGGTTATAGAAAAATACAAATTATAATGCTGAAAAAATTTATGTATACATGTTTAAACCGTCAATTTTGATCCAAAAGTTTACGTTTCCCAGCAAAAGTGCAATATAGTATATCTCAAAAACCTGATGTGATAGACAAAAACCAAAGTCATATTTGGATTCTGCGCCCCAAATTTACTTAAAATCCGTTTAAAAACCTTGTGCCAGAAAAATTGTGTTGACCGGTGAATCAGTCTACTAAATAGTTGTCGACTGTAATTTTAGGTGAGTACCCCATTAGCTTATAGAGTTTTCTCTGAATGGCTACATTACTCAGCCAGCAGTAACTAAACTAAATGGTCTTTAACTCTACATATTTGTCCGCGTGGTGTTAATTATCTAGGTACAGCCCCAGATTACACCCATTAGGGTTATTTAAGACGGTAAATACTAGAAATGTCTCTTTTGAGGAGTTACAAGGCAGTATATGTTATTGGTGTGTTCCAGCACGGGTGGTTAGAGGTGGTCATAACACTTAAGAGAGAGAGAGAGAGAGAGAGAGTATGTTACACTGTCCTCAAGCAACGTATGGGGTAACACTGACACACACTGACACTTGCCAAACAAACATTACTAAGATTTACAAACTTAGACAGTGTTTATTGCCACCCCCCCCCCCCACCGCCCCTGACCTTGAGAGGATGTTCACCAGCGGCTAGGGTAGCTGATGGTATATTCACCTTGATTCCGAGTGCAAAGGGGCGAGTGCACAAAGAAGGAATTCATTCTTTTGGTCACCATGTGGTTAAAAAGATAAGAAAAATACATATAAAGATTGAATTTCTTCTTTCTCTTCCTTCTTCCGTGAAAATTTCAATCAAGACTTGTCCAGATTTCTTCCATTTCCTCTTGAGAGTTTCACGAACACCTTCCTTCATCATGATCTTCTTGGTAAGGGACTAATGTTTCCCCTTTCACACACCCACACCTGTGATATTTTCATTTATTTACGACACATCTCATGATTCTTGATTCTCTTTCATAACTTTTTCATTTTTTTGATCATTTTATGTTCTCGTAAGGAATGTTGAGGTTATCATCTATAAGGTCATTCAGTGTCTCCTACAAGGTGGAGGGGGGTAAACCTGCCTTGGCGTCTCCGTAATGTTCAGACTATCGGTGTGGACGTGGGTGTGGCAGAGTCTTCTAAATCCTTCAGGAGAACACAAAGGGTCGTGTCGTCTTGGCACTTCTTATGTTATGCGGGGAATTCATTGTCCCATTGCCTTGGTTGTTCTGCTCGGCTGGCTGACTGTCCCGGGTTGATCAAGAATTTGCATTGGTGGAGGTGACAGTATCCCAGCTAGCCATGGTATTGTACCTAGGATCTTCCGCGCGTTTATAGACCCTGTAATGAGAACTGCCAACAAAAGTCACAATGCTAAAAGTTTATCTGATAAGTTGATATTTTCTGAAGGACGAGGAAGTTAATGTCTATAGCCTTAACCTATGAAAACAAACTTAAAAACTACTTGACTAATGTATTTCCAGGTGAGGACGTGTGTGATGCCACCATTTGTCTTTCTAATAAATTTTCACCGTTGTTGTGAGTTACTTCACGATGTCCTCTTTAATGGGACTTACACACTTGGCTGTCGCTGCTGTGGCCTCAAGTGGAAGGACGCAAACTGAGGTACTTGAGCTATGTTGTGTTGTATTGTTGTACATTTGTTTGATTTATCTCCGGGTTGATTGTTACACGTCTGTCTTCTCTTCTCCCTCGTCTGTTTTTTTGTGATGTTGTCAGTACTTGTCTTAGCCTCACCATCTGGCAGGTTATTCTTTCGTATTTTTTTTTACCTTTATCAAGTCTCTCTGTCTCCAAGGTCGTGCAGCTCGGGGCGTTAGTCATACACACACACATCTGCAATTTAAACATGCGAGACATCTTTAGTCATGAGAATTGCGGCATGTGTGTGGTCTTGTCCGCATTCTCACCAGATCTTAAGATTCTTGAGGGATCTGCTGTCTTGAAAAAGTTGCTGCTTGAGTTGAAGTTGTCATCTGGGTGTTGCGTTGCAGTTCCTCTTGGCGATAAGTGCTTGGGAGGATTGTGGCTGACGTTGTGGTTAAGGAAGGCAGATAGAGGTTTGACCGCTGAGAGTAATTCCTGACACAAATTTTTGATAAGGAACACTTCTTAAATCTCTGTCCATTCCTTTCTGTGAAAGCCATCGACGGCTGTATCTGCGACGAGACCTCCCAGGTTGTGCTCTGGCAGTCGACCTCAAGACCTGATCATCAGTGGGAACGACGACTTCAAAATTCTCTTTCCTGAAAAATTTGGCAGCGCCCCTGGTGACGCACCTCCAAGGTATAAGAAGAGAAAATTGTAAAGAGGAATGTTGCAGTCGTTTGTGTTCTTTGCTCTCTGGATACACTTGTGGTAGAGTCCGCAACACATCTTTTACATTCTCGGAAACACTTAACCAGCGACATTATCCGTACCTCGAGCACGTTGTGGCGGGTGTCCTTGTTACACTCAGCTGTCAGAACCGAGAAGAGTACAGTCTTTAGATAAAAAACAAAACGATCCGTCACACTGGTACGTCACCTTGGTACGTCAAGCTGATCCGTCACACTGGTACGTCACCTTGGTACGTCACGCTGATCCGTCACACTAAATTCCTAAGAGGCAGGTCTGGTTCACCCAAGTGACGCCAAAGTAATAAACATGAATAAAAAATAAGAACAATATTAAAAAGATCAACTTAGTAAAAGAGAGAGAAAAGCATACGGGGAGACAAGGAAATGCAAATGTCAACAACACAAGAAGGTCACCACAAACATGTTCAATACCTGAAAAATACAAGACCTGTCGACGGGATAATCCACAGGAAACCGAGGTAGTCCATTAAAGAAGGTTAATTGTCCAATTAGAGGGTTCGTTGAAGCGTGTGTGGGGAGGTACAGGTGGGTTGGCACTCAACCTTGTGTGGTGAGGAGGTGCAGGTGGAAGGTATCCTGGCACTGTGGCACTGTAAGGACTAAACAGTGCCACGTTGGGTTATTTTGCCAGTAATTGATTCACAGGAAGTAACATTTATTCTCACATTTTAATACATCTTATATTTCCCCTAACTTCATAATTTTCAGTTTGGGTTTACTGTTTTGTATAATAACTCTAACGTCACTGTTTACCAATACTTATCAAATTGTTTTAAGACATATTTGGGTTAGATTAGTATTTTTGGTTCAACTAATCCCAAATTATTATTATTATTATTATTTATCTCTGTTTCTTTCATTGTCTTTAATTTTTCTCAAGAAGTTAACACGTCACTTTTTTTTTCCTCTCAATTAAGTTTTAGAGTTACTTTCGTTTGACTAACACCCGAAATGTTGTTTCAGGACACACTGGATGAAGACCAAGTTCAGGGTATGTCTGGGGCCGGCAACCTAGAGGCCCTCTACACACACACACACAACACACACGTCTAACATAGTCATATACAACTAACACACACACACACACACACACACACACACACACACACACACACACGTCTAACATAGTCATATACAACTAACACACACACACACACACACACACACACACACACACACATCATACCAAACTCAAATAAACAATAACCTAGCCAGCGTGTTCATCCAGCCCTTGAAGACATAGTATGATCGTGCCTCCTTTTCAGTGTCCGTAGCTTGTGTTATTCCCGCGAACTCATAGTGTACTTGTTTATATTGTCTATGTCTCCCAAGTACCGTCATCCACCTCCATAGTTATGCCCTAAATGCCACGTTAAGAAGTATGGGAGTATGATGCCTCTAACATACCTCGCCACTTGAGTCAATTGTTAACTCATCATCCTTACTTAGTGATGGAAATGTTTATGTTTAAGGTGTTAAGAATTCTGTGTCTCCATAGTGAACGAAGATGATTTGTTGTCTCTTGTGTGTTAGTTTGTGCCCCTCCTCCTGCCCTCTTAAGCTAGTTGCATTATGTCAAAGGTATTTACGAGTCGACCTGTGAGGGCCTGGATGTACTGTACGTGTGTTCACAGTTGAGGTGAGATAGGCTAAGAATCTCTGTGTGTTTTTGGTTGTCGGGATGTTTGCCTTGCGATATCACCGTCTTCGTCAAACATCTCGGCAAACTTCTGGAGGAATTTTTGTGCCATTAATGAACAATTTTTGATATCTCTATATTTACTCTATCAAGAATCTTTTGTCTGTTATTATGTAGTCTTGACACACTAACACAAGTCTCGTCTTACAGCCCTCCAGAAGGCCTTCAACTCCTTCGACACTGATGATAAAGGCTTCATCACACCGGATACCGTGGGCGTTATCCTCAGGATGATGGGCGTCAAGATCTCCGATAGACATTTACAAGAGGTCATCTCCGAGACTGACGAGGACGGTAAGTCACGTTCAAGTTCAAATAATTTATTCACAATTATCAATAGAGATTTAGACCTTAAAATAGATGTACAGTAAGTTCAATTACTCACAGTGACTCAGAGATGATTAGATCTGTTCCTAAAATCAGATAAAACTTAACGTGACGGAGAAGAGTGACTTTACCTTGAACCTCAGAGTAACAGAACTTAAGTTTATGTTCCCCAAAGTTCGATGGTTCAGTCCCAGATCGACACACTCCGACTTAAAACTCGAGACCTCATGTAAAACTTGAACCTCGAGGCCGTGTTGACATTACTAGAGAGGCAGGGGAAGGGACACTTAAGACGCCTTATCAGGATCCCTTTCAGAGGTCCTCATAATGTGAAAGTATTCTATTCTCGTCAACACCTAAAACCATTACTATAATGACGAAGGTAAATACGTTTATAATAGACTTTTGACGAGATTTCAAGACATAAATTTACACTAAATGTATTGTCTTATCCTATAACAAAACCGTTTTAAAAAAGTATCTAATTAAATATATATAAAAATATCTCCACACTTAACCTAATCTAACCCAAAACGTAACCTAACCATTTCTGTTCACTATAAAAAACAAAAAACAAAACACAAACGTCTAATTTTTCTCTCTGAATCTTTGAAAAATTTACCAACTTCACCATTTCATCTACTATACTGTACTCAGCTTAATCATAGGGTCTAATGTTGTCACAGACGGCCCAGCTTATGTTTACTCATTGCCCGTTACTCATCATCATCATCAAAGGAGAGTGTCTAGCTCTCTGTCTCACCTCCACAAGTTTCATACCTGACAGCCACAACAACGCTGTCACTCAACCTCCTCGTAAAACTGAAGCCTTTCGCACTAGACCTCCTCAGTCTCCCAAACCTCCACTGAGTTATGGCCCTACCTGGAGCCTGAACAAGGGGCAGACGTAACTTAGTTAACATAAACGCCTTCGAAATCACACACACACACACACGAGAATCTGTTACCTCACTCTCGAAACGTAATCATCACACTGTTACTCACACTTAAGCCACTCTACCCCGTCCTCAGGCTCCGGAGAGATTGAGTTCGAGGAGTTCGCTGCGCTGGCTGCTAAATTCCTGAGCGAGGAGGACGAGGAGGCGTTGAAGAAGGAGCTGAAGGAGGCTTTCCGTATCTATGACAGAGGCGGTAAGTGTCTCTCCAACTACTACAGAGATTCCACATTTACTACATATATTACACACGTATGATGCAAACAGACACACATCCATCGAAATATTATACAAACACATCAAAGTAAAATACAATAAAATCATATTAAGTCCATTTATTAGTTTTTTCAATATATAATTTCAAAAGGGTATGTATTTAGTTTGTTTCTGAAGCAACCTTTTCATTTTCTGTTGAGTCATTAGTTAGCTTGGCTCCCCTGTAAAAAACTATGACTAATTTGGTATCTAATATAAGAAAGAAATAAGGAATAATATTATTAGATTAAGTAAACGTCCATAGACTTCACTATCCCATAATTTAGAGGAGAAATTTGTGAATACTATAGACTCTATAGAGTGTCATCTCCCTGGGTCCACTATAACCATAGAAAACAACCCTTTGTTAATGGGTAACTATGAAAATCCTACAAAAAACTCCCTTACACTAAACATGGACATCCTCCTAGACTTCACCCAATGTTTTATGGGTTCCAATTGAGTTTTATTCCTCCCTGTTCTTATCCTTGATGGTTTTTATACGTCTATGATTATATTTTAAAAAAATAATAAATTTATATCATCAGGAAATGTAACCTAAGCAGCTTCAAATAAATACCTCCCCCGCCTTCAGGTAACGGTTACATCACTGTCCACACCCTGAAGGAGATCCTGCGCGAACTCGACAACAAACTGACGGAGGATAACCTAGATAGTATCATTGAGGAGGTGGACGAGGACGGCTCCGGCACCATCGACTTTAACGGTGAGATAGAGAGAGAGAGAGAGAGAGATAGGCAAAAAGACAGACAGACAGACAGACAGACAGACATAAAGAGAGAGAGGTATTGAGATACAGAAGTTAACATCAACTTTTACTATCGACCTCAAATTAGCCTTCGTATTGTCTCTACATTTTAATAATTTCAATTCTTCTCTTTTGTCAACATTCTCCTCTTTTCCTAAGTGGGTTTATTTTGAACTCTTTGTTTTTTTTCAGAGTTTATGAAGATGATGAACGGTTAAAGTGAGGTGAAGAAGTCTTTAATTACCATGGCTGACAGTCTGCCCTCACCCCCCTCCCCTTCACTCTCTCATGTTCCATATTCTCTCATTTATCTCATTATTTCTGTATATTGGTTGAGGTTTGTGTTGAGAGTTAATTTGGTTTAGTAGTGTTACGCCTACCTGAAGGAAACCTGAAGAAGACCTGAAGGAAACCTGAAGGAGACCTGAAGGAAACCTGAAGGAGACCTGAGGAAAACCTGAAGAAGATCTGAAGGAGACCTGAAGGAGACGCACTGGGCCCTAGGTCTTCTTCTCTTACTCGGGGAAAATAAAAGGAGCATATTTTGGTGTCTTCGTCTTTCTGAAGTATAGATAAGTTGTTTCTGGTCACACACACACACACACACACACACACACACACACACACACAACACCTGAGTAGCCGCTATTAATTAACTCTACCTTATTGTTGAAGTCTGACCACACCTGTCGCCCCCATCAACCCGCTGTAGCTCTTGAAGCGTACACTAACTAAGACACACCCAGCCAGCTCGCTAGTTTTAGTACGCTTAGAAACACACACACACACACACACACACACACACACACACACACACGGCTCGCTTTATTTACGCTCTGCTTCCTTAATTATATTAGTGATTGATTTAGAGTTTGGTCCTATGGGATAAGTTCACTCTTTCATTATTAACATCTTTAGTGTATTACATTATCTGGTGCTCTGTTGAATAGTGTATTACGTTGTTGCATACGATATTATTTTGCTGCTGTATTGATAACATTGTTGCATATTTATTTGGATATTATTGTACTGTGTCACATATTTTACTGCATAATTCGATAGTTTGTTGCACTTGTCTAGTGAATAAATATTATTTTAGCTGAATAACATCTTAATTTGTTGTATGATATATGTCTGATGTATTAATTACTTATTGTATACCATATGTCTCTTGTAGGAAGCATTAAGAAGTCTCACGAGGCATAAGACACTCGTTTGATCTCATAAAAACCTCAAAAAAATAATATACCTTATATATACACGTATACATGTATAGATATTCACGCCAGTTATATGAGAGACAATTATACATACATATGGTTGTCATTATATTCGAGAACGTCAAAATAAATGTAACTCTCTGAGATCATCCTGGTAAAAAAAAAAAAAAATTGTGATAATGAGCTTTGTAAAATGCTTTTTTTTTCCAGTAGAAAGTAAGGTTTGTTTATTTATTTTGTTGGTCTTTGTAAAGGTTAGAGTGTATATAAGATTTTGTTTCTTTTATATTCTTATTCTTTTATTGTTTTTCTTAATTTTTTGGTGGACATATTTTTGTTCACTTTTTCTTGAGAATGGCTGGTTTGTGAGTTTATTTCAAGTATTATTGTTGTTGCTTCAAATGTTTATCACCTATCGCTTCTCTCTGTCGCTCGCTTTCTGTTTAGTTCCATCTGCATCTGTCGTATTTATTCAATTTATTTATCTTATAATATTGAAACAACTTATCTTCTTATCGCGGCTCTTATCAACAACTTTCTATGCCTCTCTCTGTCTCTCCTTCACATCATAACCATTTATGTCATCTCATTCACATCACTGTAATAACGTATTTGCACTTCCCTTCCTCTTACCGGAAAGAAGTGAGGGTATTGCAATCGACATGTGTGTGAGTGAGTCAGTGAGTTTGCTAGGATTGGGTCGATAGCTCTGGGTCTGGCTCCTCTGGGGGAATATCTCTCTCATCTTTTGGTAGTTTTTGTGAGAAGTAATTTTGCTATCGTGATCAAGATTCCAATATCGACTTTTAATTTCATGGCCATGTTATCAGGGCAGATTTACAGTGGCCACGTGTCACCAAGCTGCTGGGTAAATCTTGGCCATAATTGGTTCTAGCCAAGTTCACAGTGGCCAGGTCATAACAGCAGACTACATTGTTATTCACGGACAGCTGTGTATGTAAGCTGGTTCATTATATGTAATAAATTATTCTAAAAAAGTTAATTTTATTCTCCTTTCTGTATTTTATCTATGTATGGAAATCTGGAGGTCCAGAGGTCTAAAGGTTTATAAATACACAACAGAAAAACAATCAAAAACAAATAAATTAAAACTACAGATGGTAGTTGGTGGAGCAGAGAAAACCAACAAAGAGCACACAGTAAGGGAACACCTCATAACACCATCTGTGAGGGAGTTACTACACCACGTCAGGCCCCTCATAACACCATCTGTGAGGGAATTACTACACCACGTCAGGCCCCTCATAACACCATCTGTGAGGGAATTACTACACCACGTCAGGTCCCTCATAACACCATCTGTGAGGGAATTACTACCACGTGAGGCCCCTCATAACACCATCTGTGAGGTAATTACTACACCACGTGAGGCCCCTCATAACACCATCTGTGAGGTAATTACACACGTGAGGTCCCTCATAACACCATCTGTGAGGTAATTACTACACCACGTGAGGTCCCTCATAACACCATCTGTGAGGGAATTACTACACCACGTGAGGCCCCTCATAACACCATCTGTGAGGTAATTACTACACCACGTGAGGTCCCTCATAACACCATCTGAGGGAACTACTACACCACGTGAGTTCCTCCTAACACCATCTGGGAGGGAGTTACTACACTACGAGTTTGCTGTTCAACACCTACATTAATCTGTATGTTCACTGTATGTTCCTTTACCTTTCTCTAATGAAGGCTTTTGTTAAACCACCAATGTATGTAATAAGTCATTTATGTCCAATGTATATTTTCAGCCTTCGGGCTGCAGAACTTTTTTCAATAAACCGTCAATTATTATTATTATTATTATTATTTTTATTATTATTATTATTATTATGTACAGTGGATCATCCGTCTGAACTCTTGGTGCGTCAGACATGAAGCTTAGACAGACAGACGCACATTAATACTATTGAAGTCATATACGTGAGATGTATTCTTAAGCAATTTCCAATCATAAATCTTCAAGTACCAGCCATTTAAAGCATATCTATCAGCTCTTTCTCACACAGTGTTACCAGATCAACTGTCTTATATAATAGGTCAGCTCGGGATGAACTTCTGCTACCTAGTGTACACCAAACCTGACTCTGAGAAGAAACAGAAAACCTTGGTAAAGTTTTTAATGTTTTACACTATAATTTTTATTGTAATGTATATAAAGTATCCTTACACTAGCTGAGTGATTGACGTGTCGAGAAGGAACTTAATGATGGCGTCCGTCGGGTGAGTACAGACTAGGTTGAGCAGTTGAGAGACGAGGCCAAGTTGAAGTAGCTTGTGGAGGGGAACGAAAGTAATTGTGGGTTACTAAAGATAATATGCCAGACATTACAATAAAGTTAATTTTTAATAGAAAAAATAGCCCAGGAAATAATGATTGCTGAAGAGACCATAATAACGTATCTGTAGAGTGTAGCAGGTGTAAGGTGTTTTTCCTATAGGTTTTAGAAACACATTGTGACCTGAAACACAGTAACGTATGTGTCAAGGGAGACGAGCACAAAGTCACCTTGACTGACTTTGGTATTAGTCGACCACTCGTGCAATAAATGTTGTTGATAATTTTCAGTAGCTGTTACACTCACGCCTCTGAAGTGTAAACAAAGGGGACGGCATCAGTAGCGAGTGATGTATTTAGTATAGGGGCAATGTGGACTAAACATCTGTTATGGAACAGTGTCTACCACTTGTCTCATGCAGTGAAACGGTCGCTTGTACAGGCACAGAGTGACGACCAGGCTGTTAGGTCGTCAAACTCAGAGATGATTAGTTTACTGAAAAGACGCCTTTGGTATACAAGAGAAAATTTCACCCAAACTATCGAGTGAACCAACGAAAGAAAGTTACGTTTTCTACCCCACAGAACAACCGCGCCAAAGAAAACGAAGGTTAGTTCCGGGCCCCGCAGAGCTAGAGTCTCTACGCAGAGCCACAGGGAAAAAAGCTCATCCTAGACACCGTCTTCAAAACCTGACAGAAAAAAAAAACCCCAAGAAGACGGATTTATTTTCAGACATCAAGACGAAGGTGAAGTAGCAGTGTCAGCTCTAGGCTCTTAGGGGCTCTGGGAACTTACGTGTTGTACTTGTATCATATTGTCAACCCATACCACAGTGCATGAGAAACAGTATAACCCAACTAACTGGGCCTCTATCCTTGTTACAGCACCGCCTCTATGGCTTTGATACGCCCTACCCACCTTGTCTCTAACTACGATTTCAAGGAGATGTTCTTCGCCATCGTCCATCACTGAGTGGCGGCTGAAAACATATTGGAGTCAGCCTTAATGGTCAATATATTCAATGTTATGTCTCATACTTTAGTGACTATTGTACTGGTAGAGTGTGAAGACTCTTTAACTATGTCTTACCTGTAGTTGTACCTGAATCTTTGCTTGTATCTAAACTTGTATATGTATTTAAAACTGCTCTGCTTGTAACTATGCCGTACTTGTAACTGTGTCGTACTTGTAACTATGCCGTACTTGTAACTGTGCCGTACTTGTAACTATGCCTTACTTGTAACTGTGCCGTACTTGTAACTATGCCGTACTTGTAACTGTGCCGTACTTGTAACTATGCCGTACTTGTAACTATGCCTTACTTGTAACTGTGCCGTATTTGTAACTATGCCGTACTTGTAACTGTGCCGTGCTTGTAACTATGCCGTATTTGTAACTATGCCTTACTTGTAACTATGCCTTAATTGTAACTGTGCCGTACTTGTAACTATGCCGTACATGTAACTGTGCCGTACTTGTAACTATGCCGTACTTGTAACTGTGCCGTACTTGTAACTATGCCGTACTTGTAACTATGCCGTACTTGTAACTACTTGTAACTATGCCGTACTTGTAACTGTGCCGTACTTGTAACTATGCCGTACTTGTAACTATGCCTTACTTGTAACTATGCCGTACTTGTAACTATGCCACTTGTAACTGTGCGTACTTGTAACTATGCCGTACTTGTAACTATGCTGCCGTACTTGTAACTATGCCGTACTTGTAACTATGCCGTACTTGTAACTGTGCCGTACTTGTAACTATGCCGTACTTGTAACTATGCCGTACTTGTAACTGTGCCGTACTTGTAACTGTGCCGCACTTGTAACTATGCCGTACTTGTAACTATGCCGTACTTGTAACTATGCCTTACTTGTAACTATGCCTTACTTGTAACTGTGCTGTACTTGTAACTATGCCATACTTGTAACTATGCCGTACTTGTAACTAGGCCGTACATGTACCTATGCGGTACTTGTAACTAGGCCGTACTTGTAACTATGCCGTACTTGTAACTATGCGGTACTTGTAACTAGGCCGTATTTGTAACTCTCCTGTACTTGTAACTCTCCTGTACTTGGAACTGTATTTGTAACTCTAAAATACTTGTAATTTCATTGTACTCTGAACGGAACCACACATGTACTCTTAATTGTAACCGCAACTGTACTCTTACTTATTTATGAGTCTGAATTAAGAAACTTGAGTACCCAGGTAGTGTTGTTCCCTGAGATGATCATCAGTAACCCGAGAGTGCCAACGAACTGTAAGGTCGTCAGGTGTGAGAGGTGGGGGCGGGGGTGGGGGAAGGGAGGTGTGGGGAGGTGGGGGTGGTTGGAGATGTGACGGTAGTGAGGGGGTGGTGATGTGGGGGTGTTGGGGGGAGAAGAGGAGAGGTGGGGATGGGGATGGTGGCAGGGGGAGGTGTGGGAGGTGGGGGGTGGTTGGAGATGTGACGGTAGTGAGGGGGTGTTGGGGGGGAAGGAGGAGAGAGGGAGGGAAGAAGAAAAGGAAGGAAGAAGGGAGGGATAGATAGTTAGAAACGTACTGTAGGTAGAGGCCTTGTAGATTGGAGGGAAGAGTGGAAAAGAGAACAGGGGGGTAGGAGGGAGAGAGGGGAGGGAGAGGGGAGATGTCAGCATGAGGAGGTGTGAACCAGCTTCGTCAGGAATCTCCCCCTTCTGGTAGGCTATGCTGGCTTAAAAGACAGAGAGGAGAGAGAGGAGTGTCTCAAAGGTGTCTGTATCTCAGTAGTGTACACACCAGTCCTCCCCAGCAGCGGCCCTCACACACCATACCTCTCACCTGTAGTAATGGTAAGTGGGATACCTTTGCACCTCACCTTCCCTCGACTCTCTCTGTGTACTGCCATGGTCGAATTCTACACCCCATCTTTTAGTACACTTGATGTATATTTTCACTACAGTACATCAATCATACAGTACATGGACCTGTTTGTTATACATACGTAGTAAAATATGATCATTGTTCACTACAGTAAACATCTTAACACGTCCCAGACCATAACATCACGATTATTTTATAGTAAATCATCATACACCAGCTGTGACATGCTGCGTTACCACCAGCTGTGACATGCTGCGTTACCACCAGCTGTGAGATGCTGTGTTACCACCAGCTGTGAGGTGCTGAGGTTGTGTTACCACCAGCTGTGAGGTATTGAGGTTGTGTTACCACCAGCTGTGAGGTATTGAGGCTGTGTTACCACCAGCTGTGAGGTGCTGAGGTTGTGTTACCACCAGCTGTGAGGTGCTGAGGTTGTGTTACCACCAGCTGTGAGGTAGTGAGGCTGTGTTACCACCAGCTGTGAGGTGCTGAGGTTGTGTTACCACCAGCTGTGAGGTATTGTGAGGTGCTGAGGTTGTTACCACCAGCTGTGAGGTTGTGCCACCAGCTGTGAGTGCTGAGGCTGTTACCACCAGCTGTGAGGTATTGAGGCTGTGTTACCACCAGCTGTGAGGTGCTGGATTGTGTTACCACCAGCTGTGAGGTAGGCTGTGTTAGCTGTGAGGTGCTGAGGTGTGTACCACCAGCTGTGAGGTGCTGAGGTTGTGTTACCACCAGCTGTGAGTGCTGAGGCTGTGTTACCACCAGCTGTGAGGTGCTGAGGTTGTGTTACCACCAGCTGTGAGGTGCTGAGGTTGTGTTACCACCAGCTGTGAGTGAGCGAGTGAGTGATACAGTCACTCAGAGATAGTATTCAAATACCTGTCTAACGAGGGTAAATATAGACTACTGAGGAAGGCTTTACTCTTAGGTTTTGTGGGTTAGGGCGTGTGAGCACTACCTGAAAAAGTGGGGTTTTCCTCAGGTGAGTACTTCCCCCCACCTGCCTTTAATGGACACAACTATTTTTAAAAAGCAGAAGGCATACGTGAGGCTCCACGAAAGACTGTCGCTGTGAGAACTGAGAGGTGAGGACAGGAAGAGCCCTTGTTCCACTATGTCGAGAGTCTGAACATTGATCTATAAAGACTCATAACTTAATCAACATTTAAGTTATCGTGAAAAAATGTCAATGGAATTAAATGTCAATGGAATTAAAATTATCTATGTAAAGTAGTTTTTTGTGGTATAGAAAAAACAATAGAGGTGTTGTGGACGCTACATCAAACAAACACAGATGAAGACGCCATTAGTCCCCTCCCACCGAACAAAAACAATATACCAGGGTGTTTCTTTGTACAAACCAGTGCGTACAGGCTTAAGCATCAGGCCCCTTGCCAGCAGCACCTCACAGAACAAACCACTCGCCTGGCCTCTGTGACCCACGGAACAGGAAGTCATACTACGAGAGCTTGAACTGAGACAGAAACAGCGAAGCTCTTTGTGTGGCAACCTTGTGTTATTGTCTAGCCAAATGACGCAAGATACAAGAGCCAAACTAAGGCGCTCAATGGTACCAGATCACCCGACTGTATTTAGCACACCTGATATAATTCAATAAAACACAGCAACAATAATAATAATAATAATAATAATAATAATAATAATAATAATAATAATAATAATAATAATAATAATAATAATAATAATAATAATAATAATAATAATAATAATAATAATAATAATAATAGTAGTAAAATAAATACGTGGAAGTTATTGACAAATATTCCAAAGGTATGTGAACAAATTTACCTCTCATCTGATTCGTATTATGTCAAGGGAGGCGGAAGTGGAGGTCCTTGCCAAGTGCCTCACAGGTAGCCAACTCCCAGGTGTCAAGGAGTAACACGCGGCCATATGATTATAACTTTTTCACAGGTAGATTATTAGTAGATTCTAATTATCTCTTTGGCTTGTAATAAGTTTAAACCTTTTTAGAAAGTTTACCTTTGTTTGAAGGACTTGGCGATGTTATATTAATTCACACACACACACACACACACACACACACACACACACACACACACACACACACACACACACACACACACACACACACACACACACACACACACACACACACACACACACACATACTACTACAGTCTAACAGTCTCTATACAGTCACCACTCTTGTAGTAACATACCATTTATTTATATTACATTTCTATAAGTTAATAATTCAACTTCTTATTATTTAAATTTTTTGTCACTTTAGTTCATCTTAATAGACCAATATTTTTTTTAACAAGTTTTTTAATTTATATTTTCTTTATTTAATGTTGTTGTTTTTAGTTGTTTTTTCTATTTAGTTGTATCAGTTTTGAGTTAAATTAGATGAACCTTAGCCTTAATATCTGACAGCTTCTTTATTTATTGTTCTCGAGTGATATTTAGTATTCTAGAGTGTGTTCTTTAGTGTTCTACAGAGTGTTATTGCTTTCAGTCTGTCATTTATTACTACTAAAACGTTTATAACATCTCTTCGCTTATCATTACAGGATTCTCTAGACGCAGAACAGCTGTCTGGTATGTATACCACCCCCTACACACACACATACACACACACACACACACACACACACACACACACACACATACCTATAGTATTCAACGCATCTTTAAACAAACACCCTTAGTTATTACATATTTTTTGATACACCTCAACTCTCACTAAGCATCCCTACCTTACTATATATTGTAATTTATCAATGTATATTATAACTTATTCCTGTATATAATTCTTCCTCTATGTACTTTCATCTCGTCTTCTGTTTGATCTGAGGAAATTGAGTTTTCTTATAATGTCTTATATTTTTTATTTATTTGTTATATAATTTTATAGTTGTATTTTCCACATTGTATATACAGTATCCTTTGAACACACACACACACACACACACACACACACACACACACCCACACACACACACACACACACACACCCACACACACACACACACACATGATCTCCGCATGATTTAGTGTACAGGAGTGACGTCATATTTTCCCTACAGCCCTCCAGAAGGCCTTCGACTCCTTCGACACTGATAGCAAGGGCTTCATCACCCCGGAGACCGTGGGCGTTATCCTCAGGATGATGGGCGTCAAGATCTCTGAGAAGAACCTTCAGGAGGTCATCTCTGAGACTGACGAGGACGGTAAGTCGAGGAGGACGTAGTGAAGATGATTCTCGTGATATATGCAAATAATACTGTAGTGATTTAACGACCCGCGGCTGTACGTGAATCAACGGGAAAGTCTTTAGAAATATCATTTAAAACTTCAAACAAAGCCTCCTCCCTCGTCATATTTTTACCCTGACTATGTCACACTCAACCCTGCCACTCCTCCTCCAGGTTCCGGTGAGTTGGAGTTCGAGGAGTTCGTGGAGTTGGCCGCTAAGTTCCTGATTGAGGAGGACGAGGAGGCGCTGAAGGCCGAGCTAAGAGAGGCCTTCCGTGTGTACGACAAAGGCGGTGAGTTTACTAAAGGCTTGAAAAGAAATGTCTTGTCCTCTCTAGTAAATCATTCACAACAGACCTTCACCAAAATTTCATCAACACGTCATTTCATTCTGATAAAGGTTACGTTACACTTTACCTGAGCCTGTGTCCTATTCCTCCTTCAGGTAACGGCTACATCACCACCGATGTCCTGAAGGAGATCCTGAGAGAGTTGGACAACAGGTTGACTGAGGAGGATCTTGACAGCATCATTGAGGAGGTGGACGAAGACGGCTCCGGCACCCTCGACTTTGATGGTGAGAGAGAGAGAGAGACTGAGAGAGAGAGAGACTGAGAGAGAGAGTGAGATATTGAGAGAGAGTGTGTGAGAAAGAAAGAGAAAGAGTGAGTGAGAGAGAGAGTACGGTTGACTTAACCCCTTGAGCACGATGATTTAACCCTTTGAGTGTAAGACCATCGTAACTAGGTGACTGTGTACGTCACAGCACTGAAAGGGTTACCACATCGTTCTCAGTCTACTCAGGGTTTTAAGTCATCGTCCTCAAGGGGTTTAGTCATCATATTCAAGTTGTCATTAAATTCACTAAATTATTATTTTTTTCTTTTTTTTCAGAATTTATGCAGATGATGAACGGCTAAAAGAGAGAAAGAGAGAGACGGCCAATTCACTCACTTACTCACATTCTTCTCTCGATCACCCTTACTCACCTCTTCATAACTTCCACTCATTATTTTTACACTTTCACTCGCTAGTTTATCTTAACTTTTGCATATTTTCATTCATGGCTTTCACTCCGAGTCACTTACGTTCCTCACTCTCCTACTCATTCTCCTCCATCTCAGAATGTACAGGAACGGCATCACACACACACTTAACACTTAATACTTTACAGTTTATTAGAGATATGTTTAGTTAGTACTTAATTAACCCTTTCACAGCGGGAGGTTACCCTGAGCCGAAAAGAATCGTTTGGTGATACTAGAATAAAATGGCAATTGAGTGAAACGCAGCGAAACGGTTAATGAAAAAAAAGCGTATAATTGTTGTCGTTGTTATGATATCGGGGCATAGTTGATCATATTTAGTAATTGTGTAGCTCTCTCTCTAACTCCACCGGGTAGATCATTAGACATCATTATCGCTCGCAGCTGCTCCTATGTTTACCTGTGCCAATTGCAAACTTGTTAGATTAACCAATACTTTCTAGTGTGATCTAACGTTTCTTGCTAACTTCACTATTACTTATTTTTATTTTATTTATTTATTGCTGTAAATCGCTTATCGCTAAGTTTATTAATGCTATTTTGAGCAGTTTTCCATTGTGGCTGAAACCTTTTCTTTCCTTGGTTAATTAATAATATTTTATACGATAATTGTCTAGTACAGTACAGTCAGTTGTTGCTATTTTGTGCTATAAATCTTTTCTCGCTAACTTCACTATTGCTCTGTTGTGCTATAAATCACTTCTTGCTAACTTAGGGTAATACTATTTTTTGGTGAATCTCTCTATTAGTAAAATTACACTCACTCGCTTTTGTTAATATTTCGTGTACATTAATCCAGCGGTTTTTGTTAAGTTAATATTGGTATTTAGTGATTCTGAGTTAAGTTATTTCTGATTCGTGTGTTTGTTAGGTATTTAAGTGGCTTTTTTATATTATTATTTTGTTTGTTTTCTGTTTTGTTTGGATAGTGAGAGTGGGTAGGTTAGGTTATCTCTCTCTCTCTCTCTCTCATCTTCTCTCCTTTCATTGTCGACACGTAAGAACATCAGAACATAAGAATGGAGGAAACTGCAGCGGGCCTATTGGCCCATACTGGGCAGTCCCGTTTACACCCAACCCCTATTGCTCATATAAGCATCCAACCTATGTTTGAAGCAATTCAGCGTATTCGAGTTAATGATGATATTTGGTAACTTGTTCCATTCATCCACTACTCTGTTTCTAAACCAGTGTTTACCTATTTCACGCCTAAATCTAAATTTGTCTAATTTAAAACCATTGTTACGAGTTCGCTCCTGGTTGGATAGTTTGAGTACCTTTGTTTTGTCCCCTTTGTTTAGCCCTGACTTCCACTTATACACCTCTATCAGGTCGCCCCTCGCTCTACGTCTCTCGAGGGAGTGCAAATTCAGATGCTTTAACCTGTCTCTATACTCAAGGTTCCTAATGCCCGGGATTAGTCTTGTCATTCTCCTCTGAATTCTTTCCAAGGATTCTATATCCATTCTGTAATACGGTGACCAGAACTGAACTGCGTAATCCAGGTGTGGTCTCACAAGAGCAAGATACAGTTTTAGGATGACCTCGTCTTGTAACTAACACTCCTTTGTATGAACCCAAGTACTTTATTAGCCTTGTTACGAGCAAAAACACATTGTTTACTTGGCTTAAGGTTCCTTCTTATCATTACTCCTAAATCTCTCTCGCAGTCGGATTTCTCTATGGCATCGTTGTTCATCTGGTATCTGGTTTCCCTGTTTACATCTCCTATACTGAGTACTTTACATTTGTCGACGTTGAATTTCATCTGCCATTTTTCACCAACAAACTCAGCCTGTATCACCACCATCACCACCACCACCAGTACAACCACCATCCTAACCACGACCACAACCCTCACCACCTTCACCACCACTTCCACTACCACTATCACCGTAATTACCAACCACTACTACCACCATTATCACCACCACCACCTCCACTACCACCATCACCACCATTACCACCACATCATCACAACTTAAGCCTCATTTTACCTTCACTGGACTTTATGATCAAATGTCACGTTTATCCTCTAATGTAGAGTTACTAAATCTGTCTTAAATCTGACTTACTGATTAAAATCTCTCAGTGGTTGGATTTTTATTAACGGATTTATTGTAACCAAAATCTGCCAGAAGTCGGATTTATATTCATTAAATCAGGCTGTGGTCATAGTGTCACTCCATGTAGAAAAGACCGTGACCTCGTGACCTTTCGTGACCTATATGTCTCACCTGATGTCACCTGTTGTATTCACCTGTGACGATTTAATAAACAAGATAAGAAAGTTGGGTATTTTTATTCTATCTTTTATCTCTTTGGTTTAATTGATCTGATATTTTGATATAAATAAAAAAAATCATCATGAGAGTGAGATTACCTGAAGATTAACCCCCCAGTTTATTTTACCTGAGGATTAAACAACAAAATGATGCTAGCTGGGGGAGTTGAGTTAAGTTAGGTTAGGTTTTTCCTTTAGCATACAGTACACGTGGGGCTATTTCAGGCAGGGGACTAATATGGCTAGACCCCAGGAGACCGGTAGGAAAAAACAGACCCCCTTAAAAAAAATAGAAATAAAATAAATAAATAAAAACAAGCGAGAAATATTTACTAAATTTTACTCAGAATCAACATTACTAAAACTCCCCCCCCCACCCTGACCCCCCCTCACCACCCCCCCTCCCCATCACCCTCCACCCTCGTTAGTTTTTCTTTGTTGCGAGGGAGTTTCTTTACCTGTGAGAGAGACAAGGGGGCCTCCGGTACCTGAATTAGCCCCTAGGCCCCCGCAGAGACTAAGGTTAACCCCGGTAGTGAGGGGGGGGGGGTACCGGTATACGACTAGACTGGGGGCCATCCTACCATCATACCCCTCCTCTACCGGGGCTCCCTTCTCTGCCCTCCTCTCCTACTTCCCTTCCTCCCTCCATCCCTCCTCTATCCTCCCTTCGTCCCTCCCTATCCTCCCTCTCTCCTCTACCTCCCTACTCTCCCTCCTGTACCTTTCCTTCCTCTTTCCTCCCTCCTCTCTACCTTCACTATCCCCCCCCTTCTTACCTACTCGCCTTACCTATTCTCACCTTAAAATAGCTTCCCTCCCTCGATGTAGGCCACCTCTCTCTACCCAACACACCATCTACATTACCTCTACATCACATAGAATATAAATTCATAGACATTTCACGATTTTGAATGTATATTTATCATTTTCTTCCATTTAATTGCAAGGATAAAGTTACTTCTTTAAACGAACTGAAATTTTTGTTGATGTGAGGAAGGAAGGAAGGAAGGAAGGAGAGAAAGAAGGAAGTAAAGAAGGAAGGAATGCAGACAGACAGAAGGATCTTTCGTTAACACTACTCCTGTGAGAATCTTGTGGTGTAAAGTACATTACATTGAAAAAAAAAATATATATATATATAAACTTTACCATCACCCCAGAAACTTGATACACCTTCCAGAACACAACTCCAAGTATTAAACAAACAATTCGTACTATTTCTTTTTTTTTTCTTTCTAGTCAAATGAGAAACCTAAAAAGTGTGGACGCAACTAACTGTATACAGGTAGGCGAGTGTTGTCAGCTTCCAAGTCAATAAAATTTTAAGTGCATTTCCGCTGATACACCAAGAACTGTCGACGAGTTTATTCTGAGATGTTCTGGCTTCATGGCTTCGTTTGGCTTAGTCTGGTTTGGCTTGGTTGTGTGGGCGAGTGAACACCTGAATCTAAGCATAAACAGATAATTAGCATGTTTATTACGTCGTTCACCTGGTCTAATTACTTACTCATCGTGTGTGTGTGTGTGTGGTGTGTGTGTGTGTGTGTGGTGTGTGTGTGTGTGTGTGTGTGTGTATGTGTGGTGTGTGTGTGTGTGTGTGTGTGTGTGTGTGTGTGTGTGTGTGTGTGTGTGTGTGTGTGTGTGTGTGTGTGTGTGTATGTGTGTGTGTGTGTGTGTGTGTGTGTGTGTGTGTGTGTGTGTGTGTGTGTGTGTGTGTGTGTGTGTGTGTGTGTGTGGTGTGTGTGGTGTGTGGTGTGTGTGTGTGTGTGTGTGTGTGTGTGTGTGTGTGTGTGTGTGTGTGTGTGTGATGAAATAATGTTGACCTGTATGACGATTTAATTGACTGAATATCTATCTATCTATCTATCTATCTATCTATCTATCTATCTATCTATCTATCTAAGAGGCTGCTTGATCTTACTACCTCCTCCAAGACTACTTTCTAAGACCTCTTCACAAAGTCTTTTAAAAATATATAAACTTAAAGCATAATAATAAAAATAATAATAATAATAATAATAATAATAATAATAATAATAATAATAATAATAATAATGATAATAATAATAATAATAATAATAATAATAATAACAACAATAATAATAATAATAATAATAATAATAATAATAATAATAATAATAATAATAATAATAATAATAATAATAATAATAATAATAATAATAATAATAATAATAATATGATTAATAATAATACAAATTTCTAGCGTTTAAATACCATCTTAATTCTACCCTCTCAAGATATCGTGCCGCTGCTATCATAAAGTAACCTCCCTTTGGTTATCATATTACCTTACTAGTTTCTTTTAAGTGATATCAGTTACATATAGTCCTTTGTGAAACAGTTACCCGTGTTATATATTATGCTTCTAACGTACGGGTCATGTAGTAGAGAATACGTTGTAGTGTATGTTACGTACGGGTTACATCATAGAGAAAAAGGTATTCTGCAAATGTATATACTATACTTTCTACATACGGGTTATATACTAGAGATTAATTTGTATTATATGGTGCCTTATGGACAGGTTAATGAGACGTGGAACACCTGGGTGAGCTAGAGGTGGTAATGTAAACACCTTAATGTACAAAGTGTAAGTAAGAGAGTCAGGGAGGAAATAATTATAATGTGTTGTGCTATTGTTTCTTGCCGCGACACGATGTAATGGTGGCAAGTTTGTTGAAGGTTGGGGTTGGGTTAGGTTAGGTTAGGTTAGGTTAGGTTAGGTTAGGTTAGGTTAGGTTAGGTTAGGTTATATTACAGTTGGTTCCGTCAGGCTTGGCTAGGATAGGATAGGATAGGTTAGGTTAGGATAGGTTTGGTTAGGTTAGGTTCGCGTTAGGCAATTCAAGGTTACGTTAGGATAGGTTAGGTTATATTCGGTTCCCTTAGATTAGCATTATGGTTTGTTAATCTCAAGGTTAAATAAACAGTGGAGGTGGGGGGTGGCTAATCTTCAGGTGATCTTCCCTTATCTCCCAACATATTAAAAACATCAAGTATACATTTTCCATAGACTGGCGACTGTAAATCTCAACAACAGTCTCACAGGGCGTCTCTATCTCTCTCTGTCAGTATATATCTCTGTCTCAACCTAAGAGATAAAGGAGTGGTCGGGAGGCCTCACCTGCTCAGCTGTCAGTGTGGTTGACTAAGGGAGCCACCGTCACTGAACCTTGTGTTTATGTGTTACGGATGGTGTGAGTAAATGACTCCCTCTCTCTCTCTCTCTCTCTCTCTCTCTCTCTCTCTCTCTCTCTCACAAGCACTGAAGGAAAAAAATCATTCAAAAAGTATTTCAATGGCAGAAAAGTCATGTTGGAATCACCAGGTTGGACAGAGAAAGAGCGTCAGCCGCGACACAAGAGGCTCTGGGCAGATGGCCTCACCCCCACGTGCTTCTGCTCAGACCAATATAGACACCCAGTGGAAAGCGGCTATATAGTACTATGTTACACCGTGGGAGGGCAGGGGGAGGGAAGGGAGGAGGGTTGGGTGGGTGAGGGAAGGGAGGGGTATGGAGGGATGGGGGGTGAGTGAAGGGAGGGGATGGGAAAGGGTGGAAGGGGGTAAGTGGGGGAAGGAGGGAGTGTGTAAGTACAAAGCAACAGGGGTATAGTGGAGGTACAGGGGTGGGAGGTAGTGATGATGGTGAGGGGGAGGAGGAAGGGGTGATGGAGAAGATGGGGGAGGGTGGAGGTGAGAGTATTGTCCTTAGGGGTGAGGGGGAGTAGTGGAAGAATGTAAGGAAGGGATGCGTGGGGGTTAGAAGAGGAAAAAATGAGAATGTGGGAATGGAGGTGGAGGAGGTGAGGGGTAAGAATAAGAATAATGTAACTAGCACAGATGTGGAGGGGGGGGAGGGTGTGAGAGGAAGGCTGGGCAGGTAAGGAGGGGGAGTATGTCATGTTGGGGATCTCTGTCAGGCAAAAATAAAAGGCGGTTGTGAGGGCATAGGAGGTCCCACTGGCTCAACGAACACCAGTCGCCTCTGTACCTTCGTCTGTAGCTGACCTGCCGCCGTCCACCCCTTCAACACACATCAACATGGTAAGTACAACACCTGACAGCATCACCTCCTGCTCCTTGCTAAACTAAGTGATCAACATAACATGAAGGCAAAAGGTAGTTAGTTTACCGTCGAGATAACAAAGATATACCACGAAAACTTAATTACTGTGTATATAACAGATTTTTTTTAAGGGTTAATTAAACTATACCCTAATATAATCGGTATAATTCATCTCTTTCTTCTTTCACTTAAATAATTCATAACTTACATTCATTGTTGTTGTTGAAAGAAGTTGTCATGTAGTAACAGTTTCCTCCTCAATGTAGCAACAAGTGAGAGAGAGAGAGAGAGAGAGAGAGAGAGAGAGAGAAAGAGAGAGAGAGAGAGAGAGAGTGAGACACACTGAACTTAACACGTGAATCTTAGAACCCTAGCCTGTGTAATGGTGTTGTGGTGGGTGTAGTGGTGGTGATGGTGGTGGACTGGTGGTAGTGTTGCTGGTGATTGCAGTGGTGGTGATGAAGGTATTGGCTGTAGTGATGTTTGTGTTTATTAGGACACACTAGGGAAGGTTATCAGAGTGTTGACGTTAAAGTTAATTACTAATATAGATAAAAATGCCGTCGATTTTCACACTTAACTAATTTGGGATCACATGAAAATTACCCTCTAGCTTATATCACCTGAAGATTAACCTCACCTAACCTAACCTAACCTAACCTCACCTAACCTAACCTCACCTAACCTAACCTCACCTGACCTCACCTCACCTCACCTAACCTAACCTAACCTCACCTAACCTCACCTAACCTAACCTCACCTAACCTAACCTCACCTAACCTCACCTAACCTAACCTAACCTAATGCTCACGTAGTGTTAGAGTATTTAATCATCAGTTAAAATAAGTTAGGGTGTCTAATCTTCAGGTGATCCCAAACACATTCTTATTACTTACCTGGTCTTTATTAATCAACTAGAGGACATTGTTGACTTATTATTATCTTTATTTAATTTATGTTTTATTTTTTCTTTATTTTATTATTTTATTATATTTTCACACGTATATACGATTTGCTCTCAGTCATTATGCAGTATATTTCAGGGTATAATATTTTGTATCTTTAACTTCAAACTTAATATATTTTATAACTCTGGATTGTTATTAATATTTATTTTTATTTAACTGTTTAATGATACTTGTGTATTATATTTTGTCTGACATTAACCTATTATTATTATTATTATTATCATTATTATTATTATTATTATTATTATTTGTAGTAGTAGCAGTAGTAGTAGTAGTAGTAGCAGTAGTAGTAGTAGTAGTAGTAGTAGTAGTAGTAGTAGTAGTAGACCATGAGGCTACAGTCACTGAATGCCGCATAGATCTGCGGCTCAACTAATTTAACACAGGTAGGATAGCTACTTATGCATTAGGATATTTAATATTAAGGTAATTAAATGGTGGCGAAGGTGTGGCTATTGGGGGAGGCTGGAGGCCAATTTAAAAAAAAAAAGAAAAGTAGTAGTAGTAGTAGTAGTAGTAGTAGTAGTAGTAGTATCGTCTTCCTTACTCCCTGTTGTAGTGTGTAATACAGAGTATCACCATTCACACCACAACTACCTTTACAGGATATGCTGGATGAAGAACAGATTGGGGGTATGTATCACCTGAAGGCGGCTATGTAGTGCATGTTGTGGCCCTGGCCCTGGTACCCGACGTCCCTCCCCCGCCTAGGTCCTCACACACACACACACACACACACACAACAATGCGATCCAACTAAGACATCATTTACTGTAGATGATGATATAAGTGGGTCAGTATCTTACGTGAGTCCCCCCTACCAAGTTTTCACAGTATTGGTTCTCTCTGTTGAACCTTCCCAAAATCGCCATGAGTGACCAACTGAGATATTATGTTCCTTATCCCCTAAGGTCTACTATGTCCTCCAGGCCATATTAGCCCACACTATCACAGTTGAATATCCTTGTCTTGCTCTGTGTACACCTTAGCCATCACCCCCATCTACAGTAGTTCCCCCTTACACCAGTTATCGTTTTCTATTCGTACGTTTGTTGTCCGAGTAGGATATATAAACAAACTCATTCGTTATTTTTTCCCCTAGAGTTTGACCTGAAGATTATGAACCTCCAAGATATAAAGTTTCTAAAGAAATATGTTTCGTGAACCTTTTTTGCTGTGGATGAACCATTTGGAGGTGTTGTGAACCTCCTTCTTGTAAATGAACCAGTGAACCTCCTTCTTGCACTAAGCATGGTGGGCTACATCCTCCTCCTCCTCCTCCCAGATTTTGATTCATTCATCACTAAGATCATCACCTCGAAGCGTCTTAAACTGATGAAGAAAATGTGATGCACCTCATGACCTCATCTCATATGTTATTCTCTGTCCTATTCACCATCTACTTTCCTCACTTCTCATCTGTGCGTCTCATCTACATCCTCACATTGTTTTACTTCACCCATCACTGTTTGTCTTGTTCGTGGCAACACTTACAGGTATGTATATATGTATTACAGCAACACACTGCAACACACTAACGCTATACACTCGTCTTACAGCCCTCCAGAAGGCCTTCGACTCCTTCGACACTGATAGCAAGGGCTTCATCACCCCGGAGACCGTTGGCGTTATCCTCAGGATGATGGGCGTCAAGATCTCTGAGAAGAACCTTCAGGAGGTTATCGCCGAGACTGACGAGGACGGTAAGTGGCGACTGACGAGGACAGTAAGTGGCGACTAGTCAAAATAGTTGCAAAATTTGTGTCTATATCATGATGTTATATCAAACCACAGTTATACTGATAATGATAATGAATTTGAGAAACATAATCTGATACAAATATGTCAACCACCTCACATGCGTGGTGGGCTGTCTGGTGCATGTCCCTTCACCACCCTGTTGGCAAGACGCCTCACTATCTCTAGGAGCTAGTCACTTCCGCCTCCTGTATAATACTTCTATGTTTGTTCACTTGTTTCTTTAAAATGATGATTCCTTTATCTCGAAGTCTGAGACTGTAACGTTTGTGATGGATAAGTTATTGTCTGAAAAGACAATATCTAGCCTTTGACTTTGTTTTTAAAATAACGGTAAAGATTCGGAAAAAGTCGACCACGGAAACTACTAACAAAAATAGGGTTTTATAGAGTATTTTGTTGTGCTTCAAGCGAATCTTACCCTCATTTCCGTCACAAATGCGCTGTCATTGATATATGAACCCACATTTCTAACAACACTGGTTGCATAAAGTGGGCAAGGCCTCGAAAAAGAGGGAAATTCTGGGGTAAAAACACAAAAAAAAAAACTGACGAAACGAACCGTAATGAAACCTAACCCGAGAAACCAGAAGGATCTGCCTAACCTGGAACCCCGGTGCGTAAAAATTTGCCTTAGCAGATGTCAAGGTAGGAGGAAGTGGTGGAGTATTGTCTCATGAACGTCGTGTCAGGCTTGGACCATGTACCGAGTGAAATATTGTCGGAAACGTTCCTTCTTATTGCAGGCACGAAGCACCCAACTCTTGATATACTGCCACAATAATTCTATATTTTGCGTATGAGTGCGTGTAGAAGGATCCACTAAACTTTCACTATGGTTGACAGTTCTGTGGGTGTAACCAATGTCACCAAGGGTACTGTACGCCCTCCAAAGGTCAGCATGAATGATGGTACTCGCTTTTACAAACTGCTGAATTGGCGGTGTGGGAGTATCAGCACTACGGCCAGGCAATGGTAGTATGAATTTTCTGTTTGGAGACAGTTTCAACGCCCTCTAACACCCACACTCTTCTCTCTTCACGGCCACGATTGTATTTTGATTTTCCAAATTTACTTTCGCCTATTTCAACTACAACACCAGGCCCCCTATGGGTTCTTTGATATGCAACCAGTGTTCACAGACCTCAACACAGAAGTTTTTCCAATTTACGACAGTTTCAAATGATATATCCTGATAACTGCACTACAAAATCACAAGTTCTTTCGCACTGATAGATGTGTTTTATCCAGATATGTGCCCTTAAAACACAAAAACACACAAGCCACAGTGAGGTGATTTCTTTGTCTTGGCAACCTTTCGTCTTTTCGCACAAAACCAAAGATAACGACAGTTCCAACCGCACTTTCCGCACTTCACACAGGTTGGCAAAATAACAAGAGCCATAAAAATGTTAATGGCAGCCGGATCGTTTTCAAATACACAATGAATGGTTTGCCAAGCTCAGGAGGAGGAGGAGGAGCAGAAATATCACGTGACACGAGAGAGTAACGCTGATTAGCTGGGCATAGTCGCATGACACCAAGACTCACGGTGATTGGCAGAACATACATGGAATCAGTGTCTCCCGCCAAAGTTTAATTTCTTGTGTGATAACAAAAGGTCCAAAATACTCGAAAAAATATAAATTTGCGACAGAAACGCAGTAGAATAAACTATTTTGGTGTTTTTTTTCTTTGTCTCCCTATTTAAATAATAATATGAAGTTCCGCGGTCGACCCTCATGAATTCTTAGCAACGTCAGACTTAACAACATATTTTCATAATGATGCAAAACTGGGATGGTCGAGAGGATCAACATGCACTAAGACCAGTCATCTCCGCGAGGTGGCGCTGTATCTCACTAACAGAAAATATCTCTCCTTCTCTCCTGTTGCCTGTTGGTGCTGCCTGCCTGCCTACCTATCTGCCTGCCTGTCCCATCTCTCCACATCCACGCCTGGCTTGTGTCCTCCCTCAAACACACGTCACTGGGTCATCGTCATCCCTGGAACACTGACCCACCTCATCGTCGTCTCCATCATGTACGATGTCATCCATGGCTGTGATGTGTACCGTCCGTGTTGCTCCTCGACTCCCTCTGGCGATTCTCAACCTTCAACAATTGCTTCCTTTACTCGATATACATTAACCTTGTACTTTCTCCTCGTGACCTGATCCCTGACACTAAACCTTACCCTCGATACCTGAACTCATCCACTGTGCCCTCATCCTCGACCTGCCATTCCTCCTCCTCCAGGTTCCGGTGAGTTGGAGTTCGAGGAGTTCGTGGAGTTGGCCGCTAAGTTCCTGATTGAGGAGGACGAGGAGGCGCTGAAGGCCGAGCTAAGAGAGGCCTTCCGTGTGTACGACAAAGGCGGTGAGTTTACTAAAGGCTTGAAAAGAAATGTCTTGTCCTCTCTAGTAAATCATTCACAACAGACCTTCACCAAAATTTCATCAACAAGTCATTTCATTCTGATAAAGGTTACGTTACACTTTACCTGAGCCTGTGTCCTATTCCTCCTTCAGGTAACGGCTACATCACCACCGATGTCCTGAAGGAGATCCTGAGAGAGCTGGACAACAGGTTGACTGAGGAGGATCTTGACAGCATCATTGAGGAGGTGGACGAAGACGGCTCCGGCACCCTCGACTTTGATGGTGAGAGGACAGGAGTGTGACGGACAGGAGACAGTAGTGTGACGGACAGGGGACAGTAGTGTGACGAACAGGAGACAGGAGTGTGACGGACAGGGGACAGTAGTGTGACGAACAGGGGACAGTAGTGTGACGAAGAGGAGACAGGAGTATGACGGACAGGAGACAGTAGTGTGATGGACAGGGGACAGGTGTGTGACGGACAGAAAGGTGACAGAGAAGGCACAGGTACGATATAGAGGGGGTAGAGGTGCGGGAGGGAGGTGTTATCCAAGGCTGTGTTGTGTACCGTCCGTGTGGTAAAGAAATGGACAGAGGTGCGACATAGAGGGGAGAGCGTTATGACAGGTGCGACAGAAAGAGGACAAGGGTGGGACAGAGAAGGGAAAGGAGAAATATGGAAGAGGATAACGACCAATAAGACCAAAGACAATGAAGATGAACAGAGACAAAAAATATATTGGAATAACTCACTCACTCACTCACTCACTCGCTCGCTCACTCACTCACTCACTCACTCACTCACTCACTCGCTCACTCACTCACTCACTCACTCACTCACCAAGATACACAACTAACAGGCAAAACACCATCAGCTGTACAAAAACTACACGCAAAAAAATATCTGACTTCTAGAACTAAAACAGTAAACTAAATTGGTGTAAGTTTAAAGAATTTATTTCAATTCTGTACATGATAAAAAGAATTAATGACTATGGATTTATTTTGAGTGATGAAATATAAATGAACTGTAATCTTTATTTTCCATTAGTTTTATGTGATATATATTGAAGTATATGGATAGTAGTTGATAATGAAATATATTTGAATTATATGTTCGTGGTATGGAAAGGATCTATGAGAAGTGGAGGTATTGAAGGTTGTGGAGGTTAAGGTGGTGGAGGTGGAGGTCTAATCACGTGACCCACCTCCTCCTCGACTGATGGTGGAGGTAGTGGAGGTGGAGGTAGAGGTCTAATCACGTGACTCACCTCCTCCTCGACTGATGGTGGAGGTAGTGGAGGTGGAGGTAGAGGTCTGATCATGCATCTCACCTCCTCCTCGATTGATGGTGGAGGTTGTGGAGGTGGAGGTAGAGGTCTAATCACGTGACTCACCTCCTCCTTGACTGATGGTGGAGGTAGTGGAGGTGGAGGTAGGGGTCTGATCATGCATCTCACCTCCTCCTCGACTGATGGTGGAGGTTATGGAGGTGGAGGTAGAGGTCTGATCATGCATCTCACCTCCTCCTCGACTAGAGTAATCATTGTATCAACTTCTCATTTCAGAGTTCATGGATATGATGAACGGTTGAGATTATTCTTCCTTCTCGCTGACTGAGGCCGCCGCGTTATTCATTTGTTTTTTTATCATTCCTATTCTCTCATTCACTTGTTTTCTTAACTTATTTTTTTACGTTTCTCATTCATCTATAGTATTTTGTTATTGTTAATCGTTCTTGTTAATTAATGAAGCGGGTTTTTTTCTCAGTTGCTTTTGTTTATTTTGTTTATGTTTTCGTTCTGTGGCTTTTGTTAAATTTTCCACAGTTGTTTGTTATTTTTTTATGTGCTTATCCCATAGAGCAAGATGCTGAGACACTGATATTTCTGCTTATTCCTGAGACAGTTCGCTGAGACTATGTTTACATCTTGAGACTTTTAGACAATCATTGAGGCTTTTTTTAATCTGCTTATCCCTAAGAAATTGTTTAGAACTTCATTTTCTGCTGCTGAAGGAAAGTCGCAAAATTATTTCTGCTTTTTTTAATGTACCTGAAACTATTTTTTTTTACAGGACAGTATTACAAAAGTTGCTGTTGTTTGAGGCAGTTGTTATAGCTTGTCACTATTGTTTTGTTTTTATTTTACATCTAAGACTCTTCCTCCTTCCTCTACTTCCTCATCTCTCTTCTTCCCCCTCCCTCTTCTTCCTTCTCTCTCTTCTTCCTCCTCCCTCTTCGCCTTTCTTCCTCTCCTACAACCTTTTTAAAGTTGCTAAAGATCGAGAAGAACAGAATTTTAAGACTTTCTTTAGTTTGTACCTGAAACCTTCACCAAGTCATCTTCACCTATACATGAAGGTCTTAAGACGACACATAAGACTCTTTTTGGTTATTTGAGACGTTTATGACAACTCTCTGTAGTTTTTTCATCTTTATTGCATTCATCCTGTGTTTTTATGTATTTTCAGTTACTTTCGTGCAGGTGTTTGTTCCTCCTGTAGTGAATATAGCCCGCCAGTGTGTTTACAAAATGATACGACTTGGCCCGCCTGGCTATACGTAGATCTCCTTTTGTATTTTTATGTTCTGTAGTTGCCATTTACTTTCCTTATACTATAGTTATCATCAGTTTTAAACGTCTATATTTATTTTACGTAGGTTTTTAATTCCTCTTCTCTACATTTCCTGTATTTTATAAGTGCAATGCTCATTTGCTTGAGGCTTTTTTTATTATCATCAGTTGCTTGTATTTTCGTTCTTACATTTGTTTTGCGATGCTCAAATGTTTGTTATGAACTCCGTGTGCGTCCTGCGCTTCCCACGCTTTTTCGAGGTGTTTCTATACTTCTGCTGCTTCATATTTTTTTAGAATTTATTAATGTATCACTACACTTTTATCATTTAATAGATTTTTTTCTAAACTGTTATCATTTATTACGTGTTTCTAAACTTTTTTACACTTATATATGAATTTCAATACTTATTTCACTTATAAATGTATATCCATACTTCTTTCACTTATGATTTACTTCATCTATGGATTTCTAAGTACTGTATATCGCCTCTGGTCACGCTCTGGGGCCTGGGTGAAGACGCCCCCCTTCAGCGGTTAATCTCAGTTGATATAGAATAAACAACTATGAATACCAGTGGTTTTCCTTCACTCCTTTGAAAGATGTAGTTAATAAGAGAGACTGATGATCTGTGGTGCTCAGGTGGTGCTGAGGGAGGCCACACAGGTAACATGTAGTGCTGAGGGAGGCCACACAGGTAACATGTAGTGCTGAGGGAGGCCACACAGGTAACATGTAGTGCTGAGGGAGGCCACACAGGTAACAGATGGCACTGACTGCTGATTGAAATCACAGGTGGTCGTTACAATTACCAGGTGGTGATGATAACTGATCTAGGTCATTACAAAAGTGTCGTAATTACCTGGAAGTTATGGGGGGGGGGTCACTGATACTAGGTGATGATGGGACAATATCTGCCACGGGATGTCAGGTGTCAGGAAGAGATCAAAACAAATATCAGTGGGGAAGATTAACACTTATATCACCACAATAGACCTGATGCGTGGTCCAATGGTTATCTCTGAATGCTTCGGTATGGGTGAAGAGGTAGGCAGTCGATCAGTCCGGCACTGGCCAACACAGAGGCAACTACCACCTGCTCTCTCTCTTCTTTATCCCGCTACACGTGTGTTCCGCTGACCCGCCACCACCACTACCACAACTACGCCACGCCACAATAGTCTTCATGACCAGATGGAGGACTGTCTATATTATCCCTGTGTGTGGTTAGTGATGGGCAGGATAGAGGTCGTTGTGTACTAAGGTGGGTCATGTGATGGACTGAGGGTTGAAGGACTCTAATCTAGCCTCTGATCTTTGATGGTTATTGAAAGATAAACAACAACAATAAGGACCGGGTCATTATCTAAGGTTATTTAAGAAAAAAATTATCATATTCACCGTTTAAATAATTTGCTGAAAGACTGTAAGAAAACTCAACGCAATTGTCACATTAAGCACAGATATTCTGAGAGTAATATTTAATGTCAGTGAATACGAGAGAGGATTGTAGTGAGGTACAAGTGGTTACTGAACACGAACATATCACCAAATAGGAAGACAATAAGTCATGGTCTTCTGTCTGTGTCCCATAAATATAAAATTGTATCCACTCTGAACTTAATCCAGAAGAAGTAAAAAGTTTCCACTCTAACACATTAACTGCCTGAGGAACCAACGCATCTACATCAATGGGGATAATCACCTAACCCATATATACGGGTTCCCCTCTTTTCCACTTTATAAAATCATCTGTTATTACCGAAAGTATCGTAAGTTGAGTCCCTATAATGAAAGAGTCAACAATCAATTATTTACCTTAAGACATACTGTGGTAAAGGCTTTTCTAGTATGACTATGTAATACAGAGTAGTTTCTAACCAACGTTTTTTTATCTTCCTGGCGACACTAATATTGAAATATTCAGAGAGAGAAGAGTAGGTTAGGTGATAGAGGAGAGTCAGTTGGGTGGTAGTGGTCATAAACACGACTTCTGTAACTCTAACAACTTTTGATTTGCCTCAACGACAAGACACACGGAGAAAAAAAAATAATCAACGGACAATCATAAAAAACTAAATAAAACAAAATCACTAAAATTAACTACAGAACCCAAGATGAGAAGGCCACTGACTTTCCATCGGTTCTTCCTCTACCTCCTTCTCCTCTTCGTCTTCCTCTCCTCCACCTCTTCCTCTTCTACCTCAGCCTCCACCATCGTCGGAAAAGACTGCACCTGCCTCTCCCAGATGATCTATGACGTCATCATAACAAAAGCCTGGTCTACCGTCACCTTCGTCTACGCCCGTGAGGAAGGTGAGTCCAAGGGGGGGAGGGGGGTGTAAAGGTGTGTTGTGTACCTGTCTGTTATTATACAAGCCTCAGTAACACCTCCGTTTACCTGTCCGTTTGTTCGTCTGTCACTACGTTCAACTATCCACTCATCCGATAAGTTATCCATTCATTCATCGATCCATTTGATAATCTTTTTGTTTTCAATTATTTCAGATTATTTTCATTTTTCAATCGTTTTCAATATTAATTTTTTAAAGAAGACTTTGATAACACGTGACTAATGAAGGTATTGTACGTAGTAGCTCAAACAACTATCTGCATACTCTGTGGGAAATAATATGAGACCATGGACGATGAATTTTTGGTATATGAAGGCTGTCACTAGTCACACGTCAAACTTGGGAGCATATCGATCCCCTCCTGCACACATAGTTGTTTTAGCTACTGTACATATTATTACACATATCTTAAGACTGTTTGTGGTTTATCGTGGTTTATCGTTGTTTATCGTGGTTTATTGTGGTTTATTGTGGTTTATGAATGGCTTATGATTGGTTTTCTATTGAGTATAAACCTTTATTAACCCTCAGTAAAGCACAATAGATGAGACATATATTCTTGTTCTATATAGTTTCGTACACTGTAACATAATTCGTATATATATGGTTTAGTTTGTTTCGTACACGTACCTCAAGTGATTCAGTATGCGTGTTCAGTGTAAATAGAACTTGTATAATAATAATAACCTAACCTAACCTGACCTAACCTAACCTAACCTAACCTAACCTAACCTAACATGTTAATGACACACCTACCAGTCCCCCATACACCTTACCGACCACAGCTCCCAGGTGACGCTGTTAACCTCATTAGCAGGTGAGTAAATATTTGTATAGGGCTTTTTATTAACTGATTTAGTTCCCGATATAGTTAATGATAGGTCTATACCGGTCTCTCTCTCTCTCTCTCTCTCTCTCTCTCTCTCTCTCATCTCCCTACCCCGCCACTGTAAACACACCCACTATCTTATCACCTACTACAGCGCCTCCTTCATCCTTCACGTCACGCCTCCTTCATCCTTCACGTCACGCCTCCTTACATACAACACCCTGGGATCTATTTCGCCTTAGAACCATTGCCAATCCTTCATAGTTCTTTATGTACTGTTCAGGTGTAGAGAGAAATGGTGTAATAGAATTAATTATCAATCGTGACCATTGTTGTGTCTGGCTGTCTCATCATTTAGACGTGAATAATTTGTGATGGGTGTACCTTTTGTTACACACAGAATATAAAGTTGTATCCCCTGTAGTATTTGATAAAGCTGATGTAGTGTTTGTGTGTGTGTGGCCTCCTGAGACCTCCCGTGGCTTCTCGTGTCCTCCTGTGGCCTCTCGTGGTCTTCATGTGGCCTCCTGTGACTTCCCGTGGCCTCCTATGGCCTCCCGTGGCTTGCCGTGTTCTCCATGGTCCGTCTGAATTATGTATCCTATATTCGTTACTGCATACACCACTTCCGTTAGCCAGAAATAAGAGAAGTTTGGTTTGGTTAGGTTAGGTTAGATTTGGTTAGGTTAGGTTATGTTAGGTTAGGTTAGATTACGCAAAAACATCCACAGTTTACCTGGTGGACGACATGGACAAAATAGCGTTTTAAGCTCAATTGTTATTGACTACTGTTCTTATACATTACCACTAATTAGCATTACTTTACTTTATACATTATTCATGGTAGTATATCGTGCGTGAGGGGCGATAATCTCTCAACCTACCTGTACAGTATGTCTAAGTGAGGGTGGGGAGGAGAGGGGGAGAGGTAGAGAGAGTGGGAGGGTCGTCATTCAGCCGCTGGTCGAGTAAATTACCGCACAGTACTGAAGTTTTTTGTGAGTACTATCAGAGGAGTACATTCTCTCTCTCTCTCTCTCTCTCTCTCTCTCTCTCTCTCTCTCCTGTACTGACTATTGATTATCCATTGATGTTCGTAAATGCATTTCTCAGTCGTTTCTCAATGTCTTCGTTTATATTTCTACTAACGATAAAAGTTTCATTGATACAAGTTGCGGTAGACAGTGTTTATATCGATGTTTCATTATATTATTCCCTTACGATGTGTTGTTGTTACCTCCTGTCTGTCAGTTGTTTATTGTGTCGAGTGAAGTGAAATATTAATGTGTAGTGCAGAACGTCTCGGTGTTGTAGGGTTGTAAAGATCACCTTGTTGTGATTATAACTGGAGAGTTGTGAGACCCAGTGTGTTAACTTAAGAGAACTGAAGGTTAAGTTATAGTTAAAAACCTTCATTTAACGGATATCAATCTAATGGGTAGAGTTCGTTATGTACAGGGTTTCTATCTAATAAACCTTGATATAATGGACTTTATTTTTTAATATAGTCTGTTATATCGAGGTTTCGTATCTAGTGGATCTCGATATAATGGATTACAACCCTTTTTTCTCCATAGTTCGTTAAATAAAGGTCTCGCTGTGTCAGTGTAAACCCTGAGGACGTATTTTAAGGGAATTATTAGTTATGAGGTGTTTACTGCTGACACAAATGGCTCCTGATTGCACAAGGAGTAAAATCATGTCCAAATTTCTCTCCAATATGGGACAACGACCTACTTTATTTCAAGGTAGTTTGATAAGCAGGAGGTAATTTCAGATAAGATATAACAAGCACGAGGCAATACTAACATTCACCCTAGCGGGGAGAACAAAGTGGAGGTGTCTGAAGCGGCGCGGCAGGTAACTCAGCCACTAATGACGAAGGTGTTTACAGGTAGCTAAAGTGCACCGATTAACATAAATAGAGAGTTATTATCCCTTTGTTGATTATTTCCTTCTAATATTAACATCTTTTTTGTTAAATATGTTGCGCATTAACATTGATGAGAAAGTAACGCAAGACGACAGTATGGGAACTGTTTAGTGACTCATTCATGTCGTTTTTTCGTAGTCGTTGTATGAAGCAAGATGTTGAAAATGTTATTAAAGTTTCTAAGGATTTTCTGCCCAAAGGTGACGGTAGTGGAGAGTTGAGACAAGAGTGTGTAGTGGATTAGGTAGAATTTGTTGAGGATTTAAAGGTCATTTTGGTTTAGGTATTGTAGTTGGTCGAGGGGTTACTCTCTCTCTCTCTCTCTCTCTCTCTCTCTCTCTCAGGACAAAAAACTTCACCACGTAAGACACAAAGATAAATATCACACAACACGAACCACTTAGCTCTTGCATACACGGGACCTAACTACCCTACGAGGCCATTTAGTCCACGAATAGGTAGTTAGAATACCTATGAATAATAAGACAAAAAAGATATTGTCAAAAATTATACCTTCCCCCCAAAAAAATAAAAAACCTGAATCATTAAATCTTTCTTATGATTTACCTGGTACATTTGTACACTTTCAGGTCATTAGCTATTCTGTTTTATTGAAGGGTGAATGATGGTAGTTAGTATCATGGTTTACAAGTGAGGAGGATTCAGTGTAGTGCAATACCTTTTACGACGGATGATGAAGGTGTTGTGGGGCGAGAAGAACAGCTTAATGAGGGAAGGTGAGTGGAGGAGGGGAGAGAGAGGCGGAAGGACAGGGGAAGGGGAAGGGGCAAAAGACGTAGAGTGTGGTCCTGTTATGGAAGCTCCAGGAACTGATACTTAAATAATTGATTCATGCTAATACTTGTGACACTTGCCAGATGCTTCTGGTGTTATTGTACAGGGGTACCTAGTGACAGCACTAGGATCCCGCTTCCTTTATCAAGGAATAAACAATTGAAATTGAATTGAATTGATTCATGCTAATTACTTATACCTGTGTGTTAATTACTTTCTCTTCCTCTATTACACCTCCTAACACTTACACACTTTACTTTTTTTTTAACGTGGTCTCCAGCCTCCCCCAATAGCCACACCTTCGCCACCATTTTATTACCTTAATATTAAATATTCCAACACACAAGTACCTATCCTATCTTTACTACTACTACTTTGCTATCATTCGGATGTCACCTTCGTTGGTGAGTTATGAGGTGACTAAAGAGACCGATACGGGACCGACAATGCTGTTCACAGAAGTTGCACATGTGGGGGCTACATCTAGTGCGGGAGAGGCGGCGGCAGCGTCTTTCCGGCGTTGGCGCTTGTCTGCCTCGGTATGCAGTCGGGCTAACTCGAAATTATTGACACCTTTTTGTACACACACACACACACACACACACACACAGATGAAGAGTTAGGATCACCAAATCATATGTAAAAGTGTTAAAAGATCATCCTAAACTCCTCCTCCTCCTCCTCTTCCTCCTCTTCCTCCTCTTCCTTCTCACCTGCCTCTCTAATCACCCTCCTCCCTCAGGTGTAGTGAGTGATGGCGTGTGTGTGTTGAAGAGCGACTTGCTGCCTCGACTGTGGGCGGCTGGGGTGTTAGTGGCCACCCAATCCAAGGACCATTACCACCCCCTTGACCACCTCACCACCCTTAACTACGTCTTCTTCTACAGCAATAACACCTGGGAGTTACTCGACCAGGTGAGATAATTACTCTTAACTTTTTATTCGATGTTTTAATAGTAAGTCAGAATACCAAAAGGGTTATTGTGGCTGGGTGGATACATAACTCACCTCCCGTCCTAAGAGTAACTTGGTTCGTGTTCGAGATATCCCACCTCCTCATACAGCTTCGGCTTCATGACTTTTTTAAATACCTGACTTTGACTTCAGTTTTAGCCGCAAATCTGATAGTAGTAGTAACAGTAGTAGTAGTAGTAGTAGTAGTAGTAGTAGTGTTGTGTCTGTATTAACACGATATACCCTGGTGGGGAGGTCTGCAGGTGAGCGCTGGCGGGAAGCTGGACACGAGTCACTGGCTGGTGCTGCTGGAGAAGGAGGACCTGGCTCGCCTCCACTCCCACGCTCACCACCTCAACCTCTTCATTGACTCCACCTTCCTCCTGGCCGCCTTCAGCGACTGCCACGCCCAGGTAGGTCAGTGTAGGGTCAAGGGAGGCCACTGTAGGGTCAAGGTTGGTCACCATATGGTCAAGATAGGTTAATGTAGGGTCAATATTAGTCACTGTAGAGTCCATGAAAGTCATTGTAGGGTCAAGGTAGGTCACTGTATAGTTCAAGAAAGACACTGTAGGGTCATGGTAGGTCACTGTAGGGTCAAGGCAGGTCACTGTCGAGTCCAGGAGAGTCACTGGCAGATGTTCAACCCATGCTAAACACACATCAATGTTTAAGATTTATTCTACCTGAGCATACGCAGGTAAATAAGCCAATTATCTCACGTGTGGCTGAAACCTTTGTTGAGTGACGGTGTTTTGGGGGAACTGTAGAGTACTTTTTACCCCCGTGTCATTATTACTTGCTAACAGTATACACTCCTATCAGTACCTAGTCGGTGTTATATAAACCTGCGTGTGTATGGACAGAGGTACGCGGTCCTATTTTTACTTTTCAGGTTGAATTGACTTTAATTCTCTCTCTCTCTCTCTCTCTCTCTCTCTCTCTCTCTCTCTCTCTCTCATAATTCATATCTTGCTGGTGTTATAATGTTCAGCAATAACAACCATTACGTGTGGAGGTGCTGTACCTTAAATATTCATATAACCATTAGGAGAAATATGCCACGGAAGAAGAAGAACAACAGGAAGAACAAGAATAATAATAAGAAAAACAAGAACAAGAGCAAGAACAAGAACGAGAATTATAGTTAATAGTATAACATAGTCACACAAGCTACCACTCCCTCACAGCTTTTGTAAATTAAAAGAAAATACATTACGCTATCCTTAAAAGAGACAAGGAGATATAGAGATATATAGATACTTATATTTCAAGCCTCCGTGGCACAATTGGTTAGCGCGTTCGGCTGTTAACCGAAAGGTTGGTGGTTCGAGCCCACCCGGGGGCGAATGTTTTAGCAGGTACTCGGTAGTAGGCCGCTATCAAACAGGGAGGTACTGCAGCCTGGGAACATATTGGAACCATAATATGTTGTCTAATGGTAGACCCTGCTGCCATATGGCAACACGGAAATTGTGACCAAGTCCCAGGTTGCTGATCTGACTTTCTGCCTCATTTACACACAATTGCAGGGTCTCAATTGTTTCTCTAACTTTAACAACACAACATGTATATGTAGTTTCTCACTATTGATTTTTTCTTTAATAATAATAATAATTATAATAATATTATTATTTATTTTATTTTTAATTTATTATGATTTATTATTATTATTATTATTATTATTATTATTATTATCATCACATTTTCGTCCCCAGGCCCCGATGTGGGTCAGTGACCTGTGCCCGGGTGGGTTTTAAAGAGCCTCTCAGTCATCAAGGTATAGAGCGATGTTTATTTTGTAATTGTCTTTGTATTTCTTTAATGTTTTCCTGGCCAATCACAATTCCAGACCAATTACAACTCCTGACCAATCATAATTCTTGATCAATCACAACTCCTGACAATCACATCTCCTGACCAATCACAATCCATCACCAATCACAATTCCTGACCAATCACAACTCCTGACTAATCATAATCCATCACCAATCATAACTCCTGACCAATCACAATTTCTGCTCACCAACAACGACTCTTCCCTCCCACAGATCGAGAGTCTTTACCGCGTAGGGCCTAAGAGCGGGGTACTGGTGGAGGAGATGGGAGAGTGGAGTACTGCAGGAGGGTATGTTGGTGCCTACGGTGTTAACAAGTACGACAGGCGGATGGATTTCCAAGGCTATCCCATCCAGGGCATTGGTGTTGACGTATGTGTGTTATGTTCTTCCTGGTGAGGTGTTTTAGCTTTAACATACACCTAATTCCTTTGCAAATTAGCTGTTTTACTGAAGCTATAGTAGTTTTTTTCTCATTGTTTTGTTAATTGGATCAATAGTATCAATATATTTCTTTAAACTTGTAAAGTATAATTAATTCATCATCAAATATTAACCAGTAATTATATTCCTCATTTTACTACAGCAACATAACACATCATTCATTAAAAACAATCTAGGAGTTTGTTAAGTATTTTTCTCAGTGTAAAGTAATTAATTATCACCAACAGGTAGAAAACAGATAATTGTTAACAGGTAGATTAATTAGTTTTGGTCCTCGGTTCTTCCACAGGTGTTCGGTTTCTTCACTACTTATTTACCTGGTGGCGAACTGTCTGGCTACGTGGGCGACATCGTTACCATATTAGAGAGGAACCATAATTTCACGTGAGTCATATTGGCATCGTTGTTTTGTGAATTGTTGCCATGGTGTAAGTGGTGATTCCGTGGTGAGTTGCCACACACACACACACACATACACATACTTCTTGACCTTGAGAAAGTTGCAAGGTGGAGAGGTGAGGGAGGATGGGAGGAGGTGGTGGGAACAGTTAGTAGTACCCCCCTTACCCCACCCCTTCAGTACCCCCCCTTACCCCACCCCTTCAGTACCCCCCTTACCCCACCCCTTCAGTACCCCCCTTACTCCCACCCCCCTTCAGTACCCCCCCACCCCACCCCTTCAGTACCTCACCCCACCCCAGTACCCATCCTTACCCCACCCCTTCAGTACCCCCCTTACCCCACCCCTTCAGTACCCCCCACCCCAGTACCCCCTTACCCCACCCCTTCAGTACCCCCCCTTACCCCACCCCTTCAGTATCCCCCTTACCCTACCCCTTCAGTACCCCCCTTACATTACCCCTTATTACCTTATTATTATCTTCCTTCATTACTATTGTTTGACCTAACTTGACCTGATTTGACCCAGGCTGAGCTACAGGAAACTAGAGGGTTACGACTACGGCAAGCTGGTCCCAGGGTCGAAGAGTGAGTGGACTGGGATGGTGGGTGAGCTGCAGAGTGGCCGAGCTGACTTGACCGTCTCTGAACTGTCCATTACCCAGGAGCGTAGCGAGGTCATCACTTATACTCAACCTGTCTATATTATCAGGTAATTACTGTCTACTCTTAATGTTACCAGGTACTACTGTCACTAGGTTACTGTCATCATAACTGTCCACTGTCACCAGTTACTGTCACTAGATACAGCCATTATCCCTGTTACAATGTTCTACCACTGTTGCCAGATGAATGTCATTACCAGTATTACTAGTTACTGTTGTCATCACAATATCCCAACAATCTTAAGAGCTTTCAGTCATTAAGCCACGAATCTTTTAATCATTTAACAGACATAATATCGACGTGTCCTCTCCCCCCCCCCTTTCCTCCCCCAGCCGCAAGTTGTACGTCTCAACTCCTGAAGACTTCCAGAAGAAGCTCTTGGCCTACGCGACCCCGATGGACACGGCGTTGTACTTGTGTGTATTCGCCTCCGTGGGCGTCCTCTCCCTCGCTCTGTATTTTATTGAACGTCTTCGTCTGCGTCTAATCTCCTGTAAGGACGTCTCCATGAGCCTGACGGTGGCGGTGTGGAGTATGTTATCAGCGCTCCTGCAGCAAGGTTGGTGCCCCCCCCCCCCTACTTCCTTCAAAGCAACATACAGGGTATATTTAAGGCGCGTCAGAGTAGAAACATAATTAGATACTGTATCGTTCACTTTGTTGTTGCTGATGCTGTTAGACGGTTAGAAATGAGAGTTTCTGAAATACATCATCATATGTTATAGTTCTTTCATTAAAAACCAACTGTAGACGTGATATGTTTTGTATAATAATATTTGTACGAACAAAAAGAGTTGAGGAACATTAAAAAATAAAACAAACAAATTGTAAGGAGTATCCCGCTCACACGTGTGGGGGGTCGTCTGAGCACCTCCCTAACTCCTCCACACGGCCTCATCCTCCTCAGGGTGCGACACCTGCCCGTCCAGTGTGGCGGCACGGGCCATCTTCTGGCTGGGGTTCGTGGCCTCACTGATCGTGTACACCTCATACTCGGCCACACTAGTGTCTCACCTGGCCGTTGAGAGGCCGGCCGCCCTCCCCTTCTCTGACCTCCGCCAGCTCTCATATCAGACGGACTGGGACGCCGGAGTAAACAACAACGATCTGTTTCAGGTCACAGCGTCTGTGAGTAGTGTGTGTGTGTGTGTGTGTGTGTGTGTGTGGAGACAAAACCATACAACAAATACTCACTTGTCTGAACATTTTTATCCTGTGTTCGTCTGATATATTTCACAAACCATCCTTAAGTCTTTCACACAAGTCAAGGACCTTGTGTTTTGTTGCAGCAAACGTGTGTGGGATCACCGACGGACGAGTGTAGGATACTGAGGGACGTGTGGAACAGAGTGGTGATGAGGAGTCCCGGCAACATCGTTAACTCCTACAGTGAAGGACTCCAGAAGGTGCTCGAGGGTGAGGTCGACTGACAGCGGCAATAACTTCCTTTATGGTCTGGAAAAAAAATCCCAACAAATAAAAAACCCTGACCTTCCTTGACTCACCTTATGATGTAAACACAAGCGGCAGTTACTGTACATTTACCCTAACCTACTGTATTAACCTCCCATCTTATTTCACCTTACGATTAACCACTCTAACGCTAACCTAACCTAACCTAACCTAACCAAACTCCCCAGGTAGCGCTAGGGTGTTTAATCTTCAAGTGAGGGAGGGGCTAATCTAAAGGTGGGGGGGCTAATCATCACAGGAGGGCTACATGTGGGTGAGGGGCTAATCTTCAGGTGATACATATACTCAAGTACATACCTGCAGGTCAATACGTGTTCATTGGAGTCGACGTGACCACCAACTACTTCATCAGAGGACTACCAACTCAGGAGGCGTGTCTAGTGAAGGAGCTCCCTGGTAAGTACATCACGGGGGGCATCGCTATCGGCCTCCAGCACCACTCACCCTTCAGGAGGATCTTCGACTACAGGTGAGTCTTCCCCCTCCTGCAGTATCCCACTTTCTTATGTTCTTATGTAAATATATATAAATATCTGTACAATACATACATATACTCACAGTACATATACATACACACAAACACACATATACGTATCATTTAGTATTTTATTCAGTTATGTATTGCACGTATACAACACTAAAATTTACGTCTTTGGTTTTGAGTCGTGAAATGTGCATCACTACGCCATCTATTGAAAAATTTATGAACTGACCAGACTTTTAGCCAATAGAAAACTGCGACAGAAGGTTCAGCCAATCAAAACATAGTAATGGTATGCAGGAGGTGGTGTGTCACGTTAACTAGTAAACAAGAGTAACTACCTACCGAACTGCTTGTTTCGCGACATTCCTCAATTAACAACGTCATCTTCCAGGCACTGCGCATCTCTCTGGGCGCATTTGTTCTCTAATTGGCTGAATTTTCCCGAGCTATCATCAGATTGGCTGGAGAACTGATCAGTTCATATAGTCTTCAATAGATGGCGCGGAGATGTACTTTAATGGAGAATTTCAGAATTTTATAATACGATTTGATTGGGCGGGCAAGGTAGCAGGCTAACCAGCTCCTTTTGGTGAATTTGTCAATAAATGTTTTGAATTTGAATTTGAATACCATTTGATTTGAATTTATTTAAAAACAGATTCATAGAGCTACAAATACATATATATGAACATTTACAGAGAATAACACGTAAAATACTATAATAATACTTAATTCCAATATGGTTCTTGTATTTCCAAAATGTCGTGTTGTTAGGACGAATACTTATACAGTACTGGGTCAAGGTGTCCACAATGCACCCCTTGTGTAAAACTTTGGAGTAATAATTATTAATACAGTTTTATTTTTGTTACATATACGTTTATTACATGACAGAGTAACATTACATACTGTATACTTAGTTATTGTTACATAAGTTTAAAAACATGTTAAATTAATGCTACTTGTATGACAATTTTACTTAATCTATCTATCTACCTATCTATCTATCTATCTTCCCAGGCACCATTAGGGTATTTAATCATCATATGAAGTAAACTAATTTATCTATATCCTTCAGACGACCCCCCCCCAGAAAAAAACAATAATCAAAATATCAACTAAAATCACCAAAGATTATCATAAACTAACTAAAAATTCAACAAGTTAAGATATAAGATTTTGTGTTCCTCTTGTGTCGTTAGTCTACAGAAGATAAGAGAGATGGGGTTGATGAATCGTCTAGCACTGACTTGGTTATCCGCGGAGAGGTCTTGTTCGCTGGAGACAACAGTGACTGCCAAACTCTCTGATGTAGCGACACTCTTTATTCTTCTCTTGTTGGGTGTAGCAGCCAGCCTTATCGTCCTCGCTGGGGAGCTTATGGTATGGTTGATGTAATTGTATTCATGAGTGGTGTAGACAGTTTGGTGTATCTATGGTGGGTTTTATTTTGAAGTTATATGGATTTTTTTACCAACTACTCTTTATTATATTTACCTAAAGTCTCGTTTATTTACCTTATTTAGAGCCTTGTTTGTTTACATTACTAAGTTTAATTAATATACCCAGGTGTTCTTAACCTCACCTGCCTCGCGAGTCAGCCAGGTGGTGTGATGAACAGTAACGAGATATATATTGATTAGAGTATTATGCTGTGGTTTACCCTTGTCTTACCTCACGTCTCCGTTTATTATTGTTATTATTCTCTCTCTAGGTCTCACAAGTAAAGGAGAAGAATTACCGAAGACATAAGGTGGAAAGGAGGAAAGTTTGATTGTCCTTTTGGCTTCACATTTATCAAACTCCTTTTCAAGTTAAACGTGAGAGAGGAGGTTGGTTTTATGTCGCTAAATTCGCTCCAGTTTCGTCGATCTAAAAGGAACATGTGTAAATAGAGAATACTAAACATCTGTTGGAGGAATCACATGAGCTCCCTCTTCAGAAGCGAGTGATGAAGGTATCCGAGAGGGGTGTCGGACAGAACCCCATCGGATAAAACCCATCAGGCAAAAGCCCATCAGAATAAAACTCCGGACTAAACCCCTAAAAGACAATACCCATAGGACAGGAAAGTTAAAAAGAAAATTAGGATGGATATAGATGAACAGGTGTATCAATTACCAGCTCAGGTGTATAAGTACTAAACGCCTGATAATATTCCAATCTGTGAATACCTGAGCTGGCTAATTATCTTCTATACTGAGGTGTATGGTAGCCAAGTGTGACCCCATGAATGCACACCTGTTGCCTTTGATCAGAGGTCGGGAGCCAGGCCACCACAGTCAAGTTTAGTTCAAATTAGTGTAAATATTTATCATCTATAATCTATATTGACACTGTACCCGAACTCACATCTCCTGTCTAGTGTTGTGTAACATCTTCTGTAATTATTTGTATTTTATTCCTCTCTGAAATGAAGGGAATGTGTATATAAGATGAGTATTATGAATCATACGTCAGGCAGACACGTCATAAATATTACGTCAGTTGTGTCTCATGTTAGTAAATATTCTATTATTCAGGAAGTTTTATTTTTTTTTATTTTTTTTACGGGAATCAGCCCACCCAGGCACAGGTCACTGACCCACATCGGGGCCTGGGGGGTGAAAATGTAATAATAATAATAATAATGATAATAATAATAATAATAATAATAATAATAATAATAATAATAATAATAATAAATAACCATAAAGATATACAAATTGAAAAAAAAATTAGTGAGAAACAATATACACTACAGTATATATGTTGTGTTGTCAATAGTAAGAGAAACAATTGAGACCCTGCAATTTTGTGTAAATGAGGCAAAAAGTCAGATCAGCAACCTGGGACTTGGTCACAATTTTCGTGATGCCATATGGCAGCAGGGTCTACCATTAGACAACACATTATGCTTCCAATATCTTCGCAGGCGGTAGTACCGTAGTGGATTGCTCCCCTACAAACGCTGTTTGTCTCTGCATAGCTGACCCCAAGAATTCCCCTGTGTATGCCTCGTGGTCTAGGTCAACCAGCGCCGCCTGCGGAGCGGGATCAACTACTAAGCCACGCCATCCTCCACTATTTAAGACCTGACCTCGTGGTGATCTCTCTTTCTACCTACACCAACCAGCCAGCAACACCTCCTCCTCCTCCGCCTGCCTGGCGGTCCTCGCTCCCGCCGGCGAGCATGGCGACCCACAAGCTGTCCTCCTCCGAGCATCCTCACCAACCAGCTCTCTCTACATCACGCTTGTAACCATGCTGCCTTCCCAGCACCAAGCTGCATTGTACATCAAGAAGTGTAAATAAAAAAGAGTGCAGAGGTCTTATTGCAACTGTATCTTGCGCTAGTTAGGCCGCACCTCGATTATGCAGTTCAGTTCTGGTGCCCTTATTATAGAATGGATATAAATTCACTAGAGTCGGTGTAGCGAAGAATGACAAAAATGATTCCGGGACTTAGAAACCTTCCATATCAGGATAGGCTAAAGAAACTTAACTTGCATTCCCTAGAAAGACGAAGAGTGTGGGGAGATATGATAGAAGTATTTAAGTGGGTGAAAGGAATCAATAAAGGGGATATAGAAAAAGTTCTTATAATATCCGAGCAGCATAGGACTCGGAGCAACGGATTCAAGTTAGTTAAGTTTAGGTTTAGGAGGGAGATAGGAAGAAACTGGTTCACAAATAGGGTGGTGGACGAGTGGAACAAGCTTAGCAACTTTGTAGTAAGTGCGGGAACTCTGGAAAGTTTCAAAAGGAGGCTAGATAGATTCATGGATGATAGAGAGTGGTAGTAACTCTCGACAGGAGCTGCCATGCACAGGCCAACCGGCCTATTGCAGACTCCTTATTTTCTTATGTTCTTATGTTCATCCAATACAACATGTATACAGAGAGCACATTGTGAGTTTCCTTTCTCCAACCCATCCTGAGTGTGAACACCAAACAATTCATACTCCACAGTACCTCTCTGTTTGGTAGCTGCCTAATACCTACTACTACTAGTGAATTATTGTCTAGTTCCATTAATGATAATAAATATACTTTTTGTTGAAGTTTTGAATAAATATATTAAGATTTTACTTGTTTTTATTTTATTGATTTGTTCTAGAAGGAAGACGAGTAGTATGTATCGTCTTGAGTGTAACGATAGTTTTTCTGCATTTTGTACGAGCTTGTTTTGTTAAGTGTTGTGGTAGTGGCAGTAGGTCGAGGAGGAGTCATTAATCGTCTAGTCTTGTGCTCATCTCACCACAAAGAAGCATCTTTTCTTCATAATGTAATGTATAATATGTGATTAATATATAATATGATATAAGATTTGATATAAGTTAGTGTTTTGGTCAATAAATTGTTATGTCAATGGCGAGGGTTTAATATACTGCACACCTGAATTAACCTAATGAAGGATTCTCACCTGTGAAGGGGTGGATGATGAATGAACGATGAAAGTACAAATACAGACAGCTAGACGGACAAACAAACAGATAAACACACAGACAGAAACACACACACACACACACACACCTCATAGATTCATTTTACTAGACAAATTTATTTTACTTAACGCAGGAGAGAGAAAACTATCAGAATACATTGATTTTTTTTTATTATGACAATTCCTCGATGTTTTCAAGAAGAGAGAGAGAGAGAGAGAGAGTAATTATTAAAGGGCTTCATATTATTATTGAGTCCTATTGGTAACAAAAAAAAATATGGCATCACATTAAGATTAAACAACCTAACTCTTTGGATTAAGTTTTAAGTTAGGTTAGGTTAGGTTAGGTTGGGTTAGGTTAGGTTGGGTTAGGTTAGGTTGGGTTAGGTTAGGTTGGGTTAGGTTAGGTTAGGTTAGGTGTTTAATCATCAGGTGAAATACACTACGGTGGCTAATCTTAACTTGATTCAATATATATCCACAAATATTGATAATTATAATCAATCTTTCCTTATCTCTTATCAATTCCTTCAACATCAATTTAATTTACAATGTGGTTAACCCAGGAATCACATCCTACAATTTAATCCTTATTTACGATCATCTAAAACGGTAAGAAAATTATCCATAACTTACTCTACATTAACTGAGAATCATTAACCTTGATATAATAACCTTCAAAGTTATATAGAACTAATTATGGATCATGTAGGATTATATACAGCAACAGGTTATTATTTATGATTATATATAAATTATCCTGAATCGTTTAAGAACTTTATGGTAATCCAGACTCAAACTGTTGATGGTTTACCTCTGATTATGTCAACAAAACCTCCTAGTATAGTTCGAAATTATCCTCGAATTCTCATGAGGGTAATCCAGAGTCTCTGACATTTTACCAGAATTGAGACGAATTATCTAGAATTATCCAGAACGTCCGAGAATTTCCATTTGGTAAACTTAGAAGATGTTATCGACGGAACCATCTCTGAACTGTGTGTTTTCCCTGGCGAAGTAGCTGTTTATATTGTAGTAGCTCTCAGCGGCGTCACACGGGAGGGCGTTCTCGGGGAAGTTGCATGTTAGAGTCGACTGTTATGATAGAGAAAAACAATAGGTGAGATATATCAATAACGTGAGGAAAAGAAGTGACAGATAGTTATGTAAAGAGATAGAGAAGACAGGGATTAATAATGAGAGAGATAATTATTAAAGACGTAACGTCCTTATAGACAAAGGACGTAGGAACAAGTACACCAATAGCGTTTTATTTATCGCCCGACAAAAAACACTCTGGGGGAAACACATCTAAATTATTTCTACACTCAGCTATCAACTCATAAGGATCTTTCACCCAAGTATATGAATTAACGTCTCAGATAATCGAAGAAAAAAAATACACAGATACTCGTATATCCACCAACCTGATCAAAGATAGTTCCCTCGCCGCAGAAAAAGGAGTACATGCTTGTGACGGTGTTGCCTTCGGCGTCTACATAAGGGTAACAGACGTGGAAGATGGCACACCCGTTGGCCTGGTCAGCATAATAGCCGTATTGCCGATTAGTACAACTATAGAAACAAAAAAGAGAAAAGGTTATGTGAGATGAAAGAGTAGACTTGATAGGTAAAATATGGCGGGAGAGGAGGAACATAGGTAATGACATGTGTTTGTTTACAGCTGCTCACGGAAGATTAAATTCTTTCTCTTTTGGGTTAAACTCTCACAATTCAGTTCCTGTCTTGTTAAAATTCTATATTTCGTCAGAGGATCGACATTAGGATTTATCTCACATCATAGAGATTAAACAGAGGTATTGTTGTAGTCATCTAAGAGGTCGTCTCGAGAGGTAGAGGAAGGGGAGGAGGACTCACTCGAAGCCTGTGTTGATGCGCCCGACGATGACGGAGGCGTTGGAGGGTAGCTGGTACTCGAATGGGGTAGAATTTCTTTTAACGAGGCGGGGTAAGGCAGCGACCACTCCCACGACCACGCCTACCATCACGCCCACTGTCAGGAAGAAGGACGAGAAGAAAAATAATTCTGTCATGTGAACGAAAACTTATACTACAAAATATTCTACAAAACTCAGACGAAAACTACGAAATGTAAAGAATTCCACCTTACAATATCTACAGACACTGACAAACTGTATCAAGAAAATATAGATGTTATTTACTAAGTATAAACGTCTAACCAACATAAATATTCAGACTATGGCTGACTATAAACACCAAAAAGAATACACAAAACTTTTCCCATCCGTACCTAGAGCAACTGACTTAACCATCATGATAAAAAGAAGAGGAATGGAGTTAAGAAAGATGGAGATGAACGCGTGACTTTTTGTGACTGATGTCGGTGGGTGACTGCCTTGCCCTCCTGCCCTCATGTTGTTATATACCTGCAGCGGGGCAGGAAAAGGAGTGTTTTTTATTACAAGGTCGGTGAGCGAGAGGACGTTGGTATGTCCGTGAAGATGACATACGTGTAAATATTAGAAATATCTCATCTTCATTAGTCATGTGTGTAAATATAGTAAAAAAACAATAATTCTTTACGTAATTTTGGGGGTAATTTTTGGTTGGATAACTATGTCCTTTCACTATTAATGTAAATAAAACAACTACTGTTTATTTAACCATAATATTTACATAAATTTGAATGACATGATATAGAATTCGGTATTGAAATGACATAAATTGATTAGAGACAATATATGTATCGAAAGTATATGTCAGAGAGGTTATAGTGTAAAAAAAGTGAGGCAGAGACAAATAAAATAATGAAGCAAGATGTCAAGAGGAAGAGGAGAAATTAGAATGATGACAAGTATTTTTTTCCCTCCACCATTCACTCCTCTCTCCTTCTGTAATCATTCATTCCTTCCTTTTTCTTCATCTTTCTCTCCTATATATATACTTTCCTTCCCTTCTTTACCTCCCCTTCTTTTTCTTTATCGTCTTTTTATACTTCCCTACCTCCTTCCTGCCATCCCTTCCACCTTTCCTCCTTCTCTTGTCTCCCCTCCCTTACCTCCCTCTCCCCAGGTGAAGGCAGGGACCTCCACTCTCTCGCTGTTACTCTTCATGACCCGACGTGTTTGTTGACGTCTAAACCACTTTACCCTTCACCCACGAGATAAGGGTTTTACCTGAGCTTAATAAAACATTCTTACTTTGTTTCTGACGTCTAAGTGAAGAGTTACATGGAAGGAAGGAGACAAGGTAAACAGAACTTATTCTTCCTTCCCGCGATTCTCTCACCGAATTCATCTTCTTGTTTGCATTGTAATCTGTTTCTCCTACACCTTCCAGGTATTTATTCTATCACGGTGCACTTTCCGGGTCTTTCCTGTCCACTGGTTTGTTTACATGTTCTGAAAGGCCTCCGTGAGAGAACATTATACTAAGTGATCATTATTTGCCACTAACATCCCATCTGGTCTATTGTTTCAACTTGAAATAATTAGGAAATTCTTTAGATATGTTTAGTTAATTTATATTTTGTTTTAGCTTTGAATCAGTGGCGTTGGAGATGTTATTTGGATATTATTTTGTCTATTACAACACCCCTATTGGCCCTTCCATCTCCCCCCTCCTCCGTTGTTACTTTCGCCACAGTGTTACAGGTGAGAGAGTGTGTCGTAAGCCTGGAGGGAGTGTTGACCCCGCGCCTTCACGTGGTCTGAAGCGCCGATTGTCAATGATTCTAAGTTGGAAGTTACCCGGTACCTGAAGATGTGAGAACATTTCTAATTTAACATCATTTAAGCACTGATGTAAATATAACAGGACAAACATCTTCCACATTACATTAAGAGAGTTAAAGGTAGTAAGCAGAAACCAAACAGGGAGGTACTACCGCCTGGGAAGATATTGGAAGCATAATGTGTTGACTAATGGTAGACCCTGCTGCCGTATGTGACCAAGTCCCAGGTTGCTGATCTGACTTTCTGCCTCATTTACACACAATTGCAGGGTCTCAATTGTTTCTTTTACTTTGACAACACAACATACATATATTGTTTCCCACAATTTTTTTCTTTAAAGGTCTTTATTATTATTATCAAAGTGCTGTTATTATTATTGTTATCATTATGATTTCATTATTTTATTCTTAATTTTGTATTTTTATTATAAATTTTATTGACTATGAATTATTATTATTATTGTTATTATTATTATTATTATTATTGTTATTATTATCATTATTATTAGTATTATTATATTATTACTATTATTATTATCATTATTATTATTATTATTATTATTATTATTATTATTATTATTATTATTATTTTATTATTATTATTTTTATTATTATTATCATTATTATTATTATTATTATTATTATTATTATTATTATTATTATTATATTATTATTATTATTATCATTATCATTAGTATTATATTATTATTATTATTATTATTATTACTATCATTATTATCAATATTATTCTTTGTCTTGCTTACTTTTTTCCTCTCTTTTCCATCCTCCTCCTCCTTCTCCTCCTCGTCCTACTCCTTCCCCTCTTCTTCCTTCACCTTATTTTTTTTATTATATTGGGCACTCCCCTACATCCTTGTGTAAGGTGAAGCGCAGAAGCGTTTACAGCGCCCAACAGGGAAGCATGCTAAGTTCATGCTTGCCTTTATGTCTCACGAGTAAGGGCGTAGAAGCCTGAAGAGTCAATGGTTTATGTCATCAAGTTATTGGAAGCTCCAACAACTTGTCCCTGAATACGAATTCGCAACTTTCGATTTACACCAGGTACCTACTGTACTGCTAGGTGAACAGGGACTAATGGGGGGCTAGGAAGTATGTCCAAACAACTTCCACCGGCCCGGGAATTGAACCCGTGACATCTCGCTTGCGAAGGCAAAAGCAGTACCACTCTACCACCCCCCCTTCCATCACCTTCAACTACTTCCCTTCCTCCTCCTTCACCCCCTACTCCTCCTCCTCCTCCTCCTCCTCCTCCTACTCCTCCTCCTCTATCTCCTTCCCCTCCTCTTCCCCCTACTCCTCCTCCTCCTCCTCCTTCCCCTACTCCTCCTCCTCTTCCCTCACCTAACTCGTGACAACAAACCCTTACTCAACCACGTCAAAGGAAATATAATATATTGTGTTCCTTTTTTGCTCTTACGTGAAAAAAAAATATCTTTCTCATTATTTATTTGGCTATTGTATAACCAAATATGTCTAGGTTAGTTTAGGTTAGTTTAGGTTAGGTTAGGTTAGGTTAGGTTAGGTTAGGTTAGGTTAGGTGTGAGAGAGACAGAGAGATGGGGGAGTTGAGTGTGTGAGAGATGTGAGTATGTGTGAGAGGTGAACAACACAATTGGAGAGGTCAAGGTTTATGAATAGCATTAAATTACAAGGACATATTGGTGCACATGTGTGTGTGTGTGTTTGTGTGTGTGCGTGTCTTACATCAAGTCCTAATTCTACTCTCTTATACACTTACTGTATATGGGTGTACTTGGGTGTGTCCATAATAATATATAAGTACACTAAACATAACAATAAGTACATAGTGTCTTAAGGTATCGAATCTCCGGGTCACAGCATCATGATTGAGGTATTCGGAACACACACGTAAACAAGAACCAGTTCATCAAGTTAAAAAACAAAAACACTAATACACTCCCTGGCCTTGTAGGATCTAACGCCAAGAACAAGACGATCAAGGTAACTAAACATGTTCTGGGGAAAGGAATCACGAAGTTTATTGTTTTTCTTCGGGTTTTTCTTCTTCTTGTGACGTGAGGTTGTTGAGTTCAAGGTGGATTCACGAACGGTTCAAGTAAGGCAGAGACTAACACACGTGGCGACACATTGATACAGTCTTCCTGTGTTGTGTAATCAATGTGTGGTAGACGGTATGACTCTGAACACATAGCCACACACACACACACACACACTATACAGTCACATCACACCACATCTCACCACATAGCCACACCAGTACATCAACCATACTATATCAATCACACCACATCAACCACACATCCACATCACCCCATCAACCACACTATTTGCCACAACTTTAAACCATAACATCTGTCACACGTATACTAAGTGGGGAACACCTGCCTTAATGAGTTGTGTGAAAGGGGGGAGTGAGGAAGAGAAGAGAGGCAGGTGTTTGAGGAAGAGAGAGGATGAAAGAAATCTGAACAGGTGTGTGTGTAATAATAATAATAATAATAATTAACGGTTTATTGAAAAAATTCTGCAGCCCGAAGGCTGAAAATATACAGTGGACATAAATGACTTATTACATACATTGGTGGCTTAACAAAAGCCTTCATTAGAGAAAGGTGAAGGAACATACAGTGAACATACGGATTAATGTAGGTGTTGAACAGCAAACTCGTAGTGTAGTAACTCCCTCCCAGATGGTGTTATGAGGGACCTGGCGTGGTGTAGTAATTCCCTCGCAGATGGTGTTATGAGGGACCTCACGTGGTGTAGTAATTCCCTCACAGATGGTGTTATGAGGGACCTCACGTGGTGTAGTAATTACCTCACAGATGGTGTTATGAGGAGCACAGTAGTTCCCTCACAGATGGTGTTATGAGGGACTTGACGTGGTGTAGTAATTCCCTCACATATGGTGTTATGAGGGACATGTGGTGTAGTAATTCCCTCACAGATGGTGTTATATGAGTGAGGTGTGGTCTTAGGCCTTCCTATCGTAGACGGATTAACAACATCGCTGGTTGTTGTTGGGTCTCACGGGCCGTTATCACTGGGTACCTGGGACCTCACTGTGTGAAGGTTAACTTGGGTACGACTGTTACTGTTGAGTTGTTCTCACTGACTTAAGCACTGTTCACCACTGTTCACCTCTGTTTAACACTGGTTCCGTTCCTTTCCTAAATGAAATTGTAACTTCTGGCGAGAACTTGTTGATATTCCGGTGGGGTGGAGGGTTCAGGGGAGGGGGTTGGTATGGGCCAACTTAACAGTTGACCTGGCTGCTCCAAGAGGAGCGCCAGGCACGTCTTGACCCTTCAGTGTGTGTGTGTGTGTGTGTGTGTGTGTGTGTGTGTGTGTGTTCTAAGTATCCTTCTACATCAACAGGTGGAAGGAGCTCTGTGGGACTCCTCTGCTTCGACTTACATAAACTCATCTCTCGGCCAAGGTCGTTGTTTGAGACTGGTGGCGTCCGTCCAGACTTGCGGTTAGTTACGGAATCTTCGTGACCACACAAACTACGTCACGCATCTACTGTTGTTGATGGATGGTGGAGGTTGGTGAGGTGCGTCCATCTACACAACATCACCTGATGATTAACCACCCTAACCTAACCTAACCTAACTAACTTAACCTAACCAAACCTAACACAAACCAAACCTAACCTAACTCAACCTAACCTAAACTGACCCACAGGGAGTGAAACAACCAAGGGTGTCTAATCTTCAGGTAATCCCGGAGCAACAATGCCTTTACTCTTCATGCTGAACCAATTATAAAACCGAGTCACTTACCGGAACGAATACCTTTAATTATATAATGTTACGCTGTGTCACGTATCTAGTTAAGTCCTCTCGTATATGACTTCACATTCCTAAGAGTTCCATCACCGTAATAAAAGTTTCCTGGTGTTTAAACTACAAATAACACAATGGAATTAAAGCAAATTATCAGAACTGGGTATTGACATTTATGTAACAATAATAAATGGTTGGCAAGTATCGAGTTTGAGGAAGGGCCTGCAAGGTCAACAGGGGGAGGTGGGAGGGAAGAGGAGAAGGAGGGGGAAGGTGGGAGGGAAGGTGAAAAGAAGGGGGAAGGTGGGAGGGAAGGGGAAGAGGAGAGGGAAAGTGGGAGGGGAAAGGGGAGAAGGATGGGGAAGGGGAGAAGGAGGGGGATAGAAGGGAAGGAGGGTGGAAGAGAGGGACATTCTTTGCTCAAGTTGGTAAGCCTGTCTAGGACCCGACCTGGGGTACGGACTTAGGACACACATCTTTCACTTCACTCCTTCAAGGACATTCTTTAACCCACACGTATATCCTTAACTCATAGGATCACTTTAGAGTTTTTTGTTACAGTTAATATAATACAAGATAGGATTCTTTAATGTATCCTTCTTGTTTTTTTCAGAATCCTATCCATCCTATATAGCCTAGGAAGCAGTAGGCTCTCTCTCTCTCTCTCTTTCTCTCTCTCTCTACCTTGATCACAGAGCAGGATATGTTAAAAACAGCGATTGAAGAGAGAGAGAGAGAGAGAGAGAGAGAGATTCAGAGAAATTTGGAGAGGAGATTTCGTAGAGATTTCGAAGAAGCAGGGAGAGGGAAAAAGCTCATGTGACCACCCATCCCGCACCATCCCGCACCATCCCACACCATCCCACACCATCCCACACCATCCCACACCATCCCACACCATCCCACACCATCCCGCACCATCCCATTATCATAAATCATATAAGTTTAGTGGATTTATTCTGCACCAAATCAATTATTTCTTATGTGTCCGTCTGTTAGTTGTAATATTCGTGTGATTTTTACCTTAATTAATGTTTTGTGTTTACCTGTGTACACGTAATTGATTAATTATCTAATGAATGAAAATGATTATCTAAAAGGTATGTTATGACTGTGGGGATCTACGTTAGGTAAGGTTAGAGTGTATAAATACTGTATGTTAGTCAGCATACACTGTGTCAGGAAGAGATAAGACCTGGCGCACACACACACACACACACACACTACGGCAGTTGCTCTATTGATTCACAAGTTACCAGAATCAATATCATGTTGTGCCTCACCTTTAACACCTGTGGCTAATCGAATTAACCTGTATTTTCTAATTAAAACACAGACTTAACAGGTAATACGACTTTATCCTTATCATTCAAAAAGACAAAATATCATAGACGGTTTTTCCATTGTATACGTGATAGTCCTCTCCGCTGCCAAACGTACGATCACTTTAAATTTCAATGTTTCTTGTGATTCTTTCAATTGCTTTTTATTTGTTTCGTTTCTTTAATCTGGATTTGATATTGTTGACTTTAATTATGATTTAGAGGAATAAAATTATATATTTAACATTACTCAAGTGTAAATAAGAGCCCGGATATCCCCCTCCCAACCCTTACACTTATACCGTACGATAAGTTTGCCTGTAGAAGTCTCCACTGCGCGTGTGTGTGTGTTTGTATGTGTGTCTCCGTGTGCGTGTATGTCTGTGTATACCTGTGTGTGTGTTCCTTGACATAGCACGTGGATGCGGCGAGAAGGAGGCAGTAAGTGTGGTGGTAGTGGTGAACAAGCAGTGTGTCTGGTGTGGTGTTAGAGCAGACTGTACTGAGCTCAGTTCGGGACCTCACCTGACGAAGGGGTTAATTGACTCACCTGATAACATGGAATACACCGTCACGAAGGTAAGTGTTGCAAAGATTTCAGAAACCACGCGAAGATTAGCCCTCCTTTAGGTTATTTCACCTGAGACATTAACCTCCCTAACTTAACCTCCCTGGTAGCTTTAAATGTGGTTAATCATTAGGTAAAATAAGATGAAGTGTTTAATTTTCAAGTGATACGGCTTATCTTCTGTTGTACAGTATGTGTAGTGAAGATTATGTTGTATGTGTAGTGAATATTATGTTGTATGTGTAGTGAATATTATGTTGTATGTGTAGTGAATATTATGTTGTATGTGTAGTGAATATTATGTTGTATGTGTAGTAAATATTATGTTGTATGTGTAGTAAATATTATGTTGTATGTGTAGTGAATATTATGTTGTATGTGTAGTGAATATTATGTTGTATGTGTAGTGAATATTATGTTGTATGTGTAGTGAATATTATGTTGTGTGTGTAGTGAATATTATGTTGTATGTGTAGTGAATATTATGTTGTGTGTGTAGTGAATATTATGTTGTATGTGTAGTGAAGATTATGTTGTATGTGTAGTGAATATTATGTTGTATGTGTAGTGAATATTATGTTGTATGTGTAGTGAATATTATGTTGTGTGTGTAGTGAATATTATGTTGTATGTGTAGTGAATATTATGTTGTATGTGTAGTGAATATTATGTTGTATGTGTAGTGAATATTATGTTGTGTGTGTAGTGAATATTATGTTGTATGTGTAGTGAATATTATGTTGTGTGTGTAGTGAATATTATGTTGTATGTGTAGTGAATATTATGTTGTATGTATGTTGTAGTGAATATTATGTTGTATGTGTAGTGAATATTATGTTGTATGTGTAGTGAATATTATGTTGTGTGTGTAGTGAATATTATGTTGTATGTGTAGTGAATATTATATTGTATGTGTAGTGAATATTATGTTGTATGTGTAGTGAATATTATGTTGTATGTGTAGTGAATATTATGTTGTGTGTGTAGTGAATATTATGTTGTATGTGTAGTGAAGATTATGTTGTATGTGGAGTGAAGATTATGTTGTATGTGTAGTGAATATTATGTTGTATGTGTAGTGAATATTATGTTGTATGTGTAGTGAATATTATGTTGTATGTGTAGTGAATATTATGTTGTATGTGTAGTGAAGATTATGTTGTATGTGTAGTGAATATTATGTTGTAGTGAATATTATGTTGTATGTGAGTGAAGATTATGTTGTATGTGTAGTGAATATTATGTTGTATGTGTAGTGAATATTATGTTGTATGTGTAGTGAATATTATGTTGTATGTGTAGTGAATATTATGTTGTATGTGTAGTGAATATTATGTTGTATGTGTAGTGAAGATTATGTTGTATGTGTAGTGAATATTATGTTGTATGTGTAGTGAATAATGTTATAGAAATTAACACACACACAAGATATTAGTCCCCTTATATGCACAGACACACAGCTTTTGCACACATACATACACACACACAGACAGCAGAGAAAAATATTAAGAAAATAGGTGGTGTGTGAAGGTCATCATCATCATCATCATCATCATCATCATCATCATCATCATCATCATCATCATCATCATCATCATCATCATTATTATTATTATTATTATTATTATTATTGGTGTTGGTGTTAGTGCAGTTGTGAATGCATTTTAAGGAAAACAACTCCCCGCGTTCGTGTACTAAGAATCCGTATTCATTTATATTTTCTCCTTCAAAATCCGCTTACGTAACTCACAGACATCAACACCAGCCAGCCAGTCACTCACACGATACCATCAAGCTTTTGTATCTCTTGCGTTTAAGACAGACGGGAGACAGTAATAATCGGGAGAGAGAGAGAGAGAGAGATGATTGATACGGTAAACTATCTCTCACGTAGAAAAGAGATCACTGAGATGTTATTGTACCGTTTGGTGAGGCGAGGTGAATGGTGCAGCGTCATGCCATGGTGAGCGGGTTTGTACTGTGTTAGTGTAGCGGGAACACCTCATTCTTCTTATCCACCTCCTTCTTCTCCACCTTCTCCCCTCCTCCTTCTTCTTCATCTCCTTCTTCTTCTCTTCTTCTTCTTCTTCGTCTTCTGATTCTTCTTCTTCTTCTCCTAAAGATTCACATACATACATACATACATACATACATACATACATACATACATACATCTGCTTATTTTGTAAACTAACTGAAGAGAGAGAGAGAGGACAATTATCTCACCTGTCTACCTGGGAAACCCAATGTAGCCTCAGGTGAGAGATAGCCAAAAAAGCCAGACAACCAAGTGGCTTTCTCACCGTTGTGTCTCACTCGTGTGTGTGTGTGTGTGTGTGTGTGTGTGTGTGTGTGTGTGTGTGTGTGTGTGTGTAATACTACTACTAATAATAATAATTAACGGTTTATTGAAAGATCATGGCAGACGGAAGGCTGAAAATATACAGTTGCATAATTGGGGAATGGGTCTCTTGATTTACAAATAATATACAAATAACATAAGTGATACAAATATGATATATAATGACTAGGTGGGGAGAAGGTCATACTACAGGGCATTTCAACATTGTGACAGTGCAAAAAGGTAAGATTGAATGGAAGTGAACACACTGGTTGATTATAAGCTATTGATAATTTTTACAATGGTTGGGAATGGGCTGTTCTTATAGCGACCAGTTCGTGCTCATATGGGCTGAATGCGGTTGTGGTGTCGAACAGAAATTCTCGGACGAGGGATCTCGGGTGGTAGTAGGAGCCGGTTTCGAGGATGGTGCAGAAGCTTCTCACCAAATTTGCATATGAGGTTGTGGTGATGGTCAGAGAGAGCAGAGAGGATCAGTGTGTTGAGCGCTTCTTGATATGTGGAGTCAATGGGGGTGGTGGAGCGCTTTAGCTTCAGTTTGTCCAGACGTTTTGCTACTTCTAAGTCAGTGGGAAAGGGGGCTGGTAGGTAAGCAGGGAGATTAGTCGTGTCAAGCCGGGGGAGCGTCTGGCATATAGTTGTGAAATGGTTGTTTGATTGCTCATCTGCGTCAACATTAGTGAGATGGCTAAGGGAGGGGAGGGGGGTGTCTTATTGTTTAGTCCACAGAGTTCTTTAAGCTTACCATACCACTGACTGATGTTGGTCTGCTTCAGGTGTTGCAATTTGGTTGGGTAGTGAGACTTCTTTGCAGTGCGTATTTCGCGGATGACTTGGTTGCGAAGGGAGGTTATGGTCGGAATGGGCTTTTGTTTATGCCGACCTTGTCTACGGCTGCAACGCATGGAATATGTTCAGTGACTTGAGTCGCGCGATAACACTCCTACCAGGGTAACCGTTCCCATGCTTCCTTTAGAAGGTACATGGAGCTACGGGAGTAAGCAATTGGTGGACATCTGTTGATATCTGTTGTTGTGGACGGACGGAAGTGCTTGTCCGCAGTGGACATAACATCACTGGTGGCGCTTTGAGGGCCACTGACACTGGTAGACATTTGTTAATATTTGTCTAGTCGTAAACACCGCGGGTCCTTGTCTCTGGCACTTAAGTGGTCGCCGACACAGTACCCACGATATATGTAAACACCTCGGTGGTCCTTGTCACTGGCACTTTGAAGGTGACCGACAAAGTGCCCACTGTCTGGTATTACACTGCTGTGTTTTGGTGCTTTTTCCTTGGAATGCACTATCGCATCACTGTTTGATAACCAATCAATGCACTGATCACTTGAATGTCTTGTGTGTGTGTGTGTGTGTATGTGAGAGAGAGAGAGAGAGAGAGAGAGAGAGAATTCCCCCCTCAAACACTGAAGGTCATACTTGGAAGTCAAACTTAACGGTGTCGGCAAACTTGTTCAGCTTTGATCCTCGACGTGCGCGTAAGGTATCCCAAACCGGATATATATTTAGTCTCTCTCTCTCTCTCTGTCTCTCTCTCTCTCTCTGTCTCTCTCTCTGTGGCGTCGTTGAGGTGCAGAAGACTGGTTTCCAGACCCAAGTCTTGCTAAGTCCTTCTTGCGACCTCTGAACCTGTTAGAAGTCTGTCTGAATGTATGTCTATCATTATTTCTTTCTGTGTATGTCTGTGTGTCTGTCTGGACCTGTCTTTCAATCAATTTATCTATCAATTTCTCTCTAATTGTCTCTGTCTGTCTGTCTATCAACTTCTATTTTTGTCCATCTATCTCTCCTTACCTGTTTGTCTATTCATCTTTTTTCTCTATCTGTCTGTCTGTCTGTCTTTGGGGGGGTGGTGCTAATCTTCAATTGAACCGTTATATCGTTGTATGTCTTAACGTGTATTTCCCGTAAGAAGAATCCACCAACACACACACACTCACTGACCACACATCAAACACAAACAGTCTGTGTTGTTTTGTGTGTCGTGGTAAAATGCTTTGGTCATAACTGCTTTATTGAGAGAGTGTGAGAGATGGAGACAGAGAGATAGATACAGAGATAGAGTGAGAGATGGAGACTTAGAAAAAGAGAGAGACAGGTAGAAAAAAAGATGAAAACAGACAGACAGAAAAACAGAGAGAGATAGAGACAGAGAGAGAGAGAGAGAGAGAGAGAGAGAGAGAGAGAGAGAGAGACCCTCATCACAGGGTCAACAAACGTGGATAAACTCCTAAAAGACTCGTTGTAGCCCTTCCTGTAGACATCAAGGCTACATTAGACTCTCTTGACTTTCTATAGCCTCTTCACTGCATTATTCTTGCCTCCCTCCCATGGCGTTTCTCTGTCCTTTCCTGAGGTCGAGAGGCTGAAACCGCTACATCGGCCAATGAGGAAGATACAGACGCCTTCACTTATACCTGGTACAGTAGCTGGTTCGTTTCGTGAGATGTGGCAAGTCTGTGTTTGTTTACATCGTATTAAAACTTCAGGAATAGCCCCAAGGTACTTCGCAATAGTAGCCTGAAAAGGATGCTAGATAAACAAACACAGAGTTGCCACATCTCATAAAACGAACAGCCACTGTAATAGGTGTAAATGAAGGCGAGTGTACGTACCTCTCTCATTGGTTGTTGTCCTGGTTCCAGGTAAGTGACTCCAGACGTTTTAATGAGAACGATGCAGTATCTGTATCTTCAACTGATACATGAAGATAAGATGTTGATCAGAGAGCTGAGAGGGTCACTGAACAAGCTTAGCAACTTTGTAGTAAGTGCTGGAACTCTGGAAAGTTTCAAAAGGAGGCTAGATAGATTCATGGATGATAGAGAGTGGTAGTAACTCTCGACAGGAGCTGCCATGCACAGGCCAACCGGCCTATTGCAGACTCCCTATTTTCTTATGTTCTTATGTTCTTATGTTCTTATGTTCTTATAGATGGACTTAAGTACCACTACAGCACTCATTCAGGGACCTACAGATTCTACAGCATTGTCTCGTCTTACTGTAGGCAGTATTGTGACGGGTTAAGTGATCTTGATACTTAATAGAAAGGTTTTATACGTTGCTGTAGGACCTTCCTTATACTGTAGGGTGAAGGTCGCAAGGGTCAAGAATATATTGTCAACCAGTAGTTTCACGTGGCGTCATTGGGTGCAGCTGTACGTGATTGGTTGGTTGGTTGGTTGGTGGGACCATGGGCGGGGATACCCAAAAATGGGAGTTCTAGGAATCTGACAGGAAGACGTGAAGGGGCGAAACCCACACTGAACGCAGCTGTAGGTACGCTGTCTCCATTCTTTCCGGTAATGAAAGTGTCACGTTTAAGTTAGTTATATATTATGAATCAATCTTTTGCACCAAGGTCGAAAAAAGGTTATGGCTGTGTGTGTGTGTGTGTGTGTGTGTGTGTGTGTGTGTGTGTGTGTGGCGTTCAGAGAGGAGTTGTAGGTTACGTTTCTCAACAACATAGTCATCAAGGAGTTTAATTCTTAATTCAGTGGTCGTGCTCTGGAGGACTCACATTAAAGACAAATTGGGATGCTTTACTTCCTGGATAAAACGGTATGGTGAGGAGAGAAACAGACAGAAAGACAGAGAGAGAGAGAGAGAGACAGATAAGCAGACAGACAGACAGAGATAGGGTGTGTGAGATAGAGAAACAGACAGACAGATGGAGATAGCATGTGTGAGATAAACAGAAAAAACAGACAGACAGAGACAGAGAGAGAAAGGCGTCTAGGTAGTTGTCCTTCACGTAATAATTGCTAGATTATAATTCTCTTCTACATTTCTCGTAATCTCGATAGAGATGTGACCACACTCAGCAACTGCCACTACGAGAAACAAAAACAAGCAGGTCCTGGCGAGTAAAAGTGGTTACTCAAGACAAGGGGTAAAGCAGGACCAGGGAAGGGTAGGTTTAAATGTATACTATACAAACAGTAGGAGCGTTAGAAATAAAATAGACTTGCTGAGAGCGGTTGTATGTACCGAGAATGTAGACGTCATAGCAATCACCGAAACTTGGATGAATCTGGCGAGAAAGAACTTTTTATCAGTGTACCACATAGAAGGGTACAACCTTTTTCGCAAGGACAGGGGAGGTAGGAAGGGGGGAGGGGTCGCACTCTTCGTCAAGGATACATTAAAATGTTGTAATAATAATACAATAAAGGGCAGGATGCAAATGCACTACAGGAGGATTTAAATAAACTGCAGGAGTGGTCAGAAAAATGGCAAATGAAATTGAACACCAGCAAGTGCAGCGTACTTAATATTGGAAGAACGAATACTGTCAATGTATTCAGCCTTAACAACATCAACCTAGAGAAGTCGACTTGTGAAAGAGACTTAGGGGTACTTGTAAGCCCGGACCTACGGCCTAGAAAACAGTGCGTTAATGTTCGAAATAAGGCAAACAGAGTATTGGGTTTTATATCTAGAAGTGTAAGTAATAAGAGTGTAGAGGTCTTATTGCAACTATATCTTGCGCTAGTCAGGCCGCACCTCGATTATGCTGTTCAGTTCTGGTGCCCTTATTATAGAATGGATATCAATTCACTGGAGTCGATGCAGCGAAGAATGACGAAAATGATTACGTGACTTAGAAACCTTCCCTATCAAGATAGATTAAAGAAACTAATCTTGCATTCCCTAGAAAGACGAAGAGTGCGGGGAGATATGATAGAAGTATTTAAGTGGGTGAAAGGAATTAATAAAGGCGATATAGATAAAGTTCTTATAATATCCGAGCAGGATAGGACTCGGAGCAACGGATTCAAGTTGGATAAGTTTAGGTTTAGGAGGGAGATCGGAAGGAACTGGTTCAGAAATAGGGTGGTGGACGAGTGGAACAAGCTTAGCAACTTTGTAGTAAGTGATGGAACTCTAGAAAGTTTTAACAGGAGGCTAGATAGATTCTTGGATGATAGAGGGTGGTATTAACTCTCGAAAGGAGCTGCCGTATGTTCTTATAACCTATAGACCTTACACACACACACTATATATATCCCAGGTAGCAATAGTCTCTAATTAACAAGTGAACTAATCAATTCCGTTAATTACCTTCAAACTTCAGGTGATTCTTAAAAAATCTTATCTAAGCTTTATATCAATCTGTTTGTCTGTCTGTATGTCAGTGTTAACATTGTCTTATACGTTAAATGTCAAACTCCATATTTGGTAAATGACTCAGCCGCTACTGCTTCCACCAATCACAATAAAAAAAAAGTCGTCGAGTGTGAGAGTGGCCATTGAAAAACCGGTTTGATGATACGATATTGGTGATTATGATGTGGTTAGCAACTTGGTCAAGGTGAGGGAGTGAGGGCCGGCTTAAGGAGTGAAGGAGTGAGGTGTGGCCGGGTGAGGGTTTGAGTTTGATTGCCGCTTACAGCGGCTACTTTATTGTGCACCCAGCAATCATCCTGTGAGTGGTAGCGCAAAAGCATTACAGAGTAGAGTTAACAACGGGTCATAATAATTAACCCCCGTTGTCAGGGTGAGGAGTGAGATACAAGACATGTATTTCATCATAATTATTAACTTTAACCTTCACGACTCCAGTATGTTTCAAGGTAATGACTTTCGATTACCTGAAGATTAGGCACCCTGACCTAACCTAACCTAACCTAACCTAACCTAACCTAACCTAATTTGACTTCAGGTAGGAGTATGGTAGGGCCACACAGCTGAGTTTTCATAGTTACCTGTTTCTATTCTGGGAGGATTCGTGTGTGTGTGTGTGTGTGTGTGTGTGTGTGTGTGTGTGTGTGTGTGTGTGTGTGTGTGTGTGTGTGTGTGTGTGTGTGTGTGTGTGTGTGTGTGTGTGTGTGTGTGTGTGTGTGTGTGTGTGTGTGTGTGTGTGGTGTGTGTGTGTGTGTGTGTGTGTGTGTGTGTGTGTGTGTGTGTGTGTGTGTGTGTGTGTGTGTGTGTGTGTGTGTGTGTGTGTGTGTGTGTGTGTGTGTGTGTGTGTGTGTGTGTGTGTGTGTGTGTGTGTGTGTGTGTGTGTGTGTGTGTGTGTGTGTGTGTGTGTGTGTGTGTGTGTGTGTGTGTGTGTGTGTGTGTGTGTGTGTGTGTGTGTGTGTGTGTGTGTGTGTGTGTGTGTGTGTGTGTGTGTGTGTGTGTGTGTGTGTGTGTGTGTGTGTGTGTGTGTGTGTCGAAATCAGTAAATAATAGAAATCTACTCAATATGTTGACCTTTAAACGTGTGTACGTATGTATGTCAGGAAAACCAATATTAACACAACTCTGTAACTGTCTCTCCTATTTCTCCTTGTGAATGTCTATCTCTTGGTCTGTGTCTCTGTCTCTTATTTATCTATATTTTTAACCATTTACTTATTCTTTTCTATCTATCTCCTTATGTTCTATCCATTTATTGTTTTATCCTTCATTGTCTCTTAATATATTTGTATCTTCTTATTCACGTAAGATTCCATAGATCACCTGAAAAATAGACACCCCAGTTTATTTCACCTAAAGGTTACCTACAGTATGTTACCTGGGTGGGGTTAGGTTAGGTTAGATTAGGTTAGAATAATTAATCTTTAAAGTGAAATCAACCGGGGTTCCTAATCTTCACGTCATCAAAAAAAAAAAATCCCTCAATCTCTCATCCGCGTATCCATCAGTCAGATCACAATGGACTTATATGAGAAGGAATAACATAAAACATAACGTCACAATTTAATATCGAGGTTAATTTTCCCTTTTCTTAACATTCTGTCGTTATCTTAAATGAGGCATTTAGAGATAAGCTATATCACCCTATGGCAACACTGAGGAAAAATATGTGATAAAAATATAGGAGGAAAATGAGGAAAAAAATCTGCCATGAGAATGTATGTCTGGATGTCGTAGTTGAGATGAGTTGTAGTGACGGGATGTGTAGCTGATGTCAATGTTAAAATGAAGGATGATTTTATAAAGTGTTTCCTGCCGTGTGATGTAGTGAAATAATGAAAGATGTAGCTAGAGGGTTCAGTTAATTCGTAGTAGTAGTAGAAGTAGTTTTTGTTGTAGTAGTAGTAGTAGTAGTAGTAACAAACCCTCCCACATAATAAGTGTTGCGACCTTCAACAGACGACGGAGAGCGGGTCCTCGTGGCTGACGTGGGTGTCGCTGGGGGTGATGACCTACGTGTACGTGGTGGGGGAGCTGAGCCACTTCCTACTAGGGATCGTCTCTCGCCCCATGAGCCAGGAACTACACTATGGGGACCACGCCTGCCTCCCTAACCCACAAGTACCTGAGCAATCACCTGAGTGTCGCACCTTGAACAGTAGCAGGTGAGTGTGTGTGTGTGTGTGTGTGTGTGTGTGTGTGTGTGTGAGCTTATTCTATATATACTGTATATTCTTTTCAAACTTTTCCTCTTTTCATACAAAGTAATCGGAAACGAAAACACACACACACACACACACACACACACACATACTGCACAACACGATATAAACACAATTCCAACAACCTTGTCTCCTATCAAACAGCTCTGACAACACGTTGATTACTGAGGTGTTATCTACATAAGGATAACCCACATTCTCAAGATAACACTCAAGATGTGTTTCACGTGTCCATCGTTCCGTGTCTGGTGATGGATGTAGACACGGTGGTGAAACTATAGAGAGAAAGTCCCATGTCACGGAAGAGGAATTACGGTGTAAGAAGGGGGAGAGAAAGAGAAGGGAGAAGTTGATGGGGAGAAGTTGATGGGGTGAGATAAAGGTGAGAATGTGTGGCTCTATTTAGGATAGGGTGTTGGGGATAAGACCGGGAGGAGAGGGAGGGAGAGGAGAATGAAGGGAGCTATGTAACCGAAAAGAAGAGTTAGAAGGGAGAAGAGAGAGGAGGAAGGCGAGAGAGGAGAGGAATAATAAAGGAGAGTGAGGGAGAAGGAGAAACTGGGGAAGACACAATAACTGGATGGGTTGGTCTGTGTGTGTGTGTGTGTGTGTGTGTGTGTGTGTGTGTGTGTGTGTGTGTGTGTGTGTGTGTGTCAACAACTTATGAATATGGTATCATTGTCCTTCCCATCTCTCTGTCAGTCTGTCTATCTGTCTCTACACACACACACACACACACATACACACACACACACACACACACGCACATACACACACACAGAGACCAACCCATCCAATTATTGTATAGTAGTCTCAGGTGCTCAAGGCAACTAGACCGTCAAGTCCAGCCTCGACCCTCTTGACTCTTGAACTGAACTTAGTTATCGTGTCAATATTCCCAGACAGTCAGCGATGAGGCAGCAAGACTAGTCCAAGCAAGCAGATCCACACACACACACACACACACACACACACACACACACACACACACACACACACACACACACACACACTCGTTTCTCGTTATGTGAGGATCAAAACATACAGGTGTGTTCCTATTGACAAAGGTTCTAATTACGTAATGTGTGAGAGAAAGAGTGAGAGGGAGTAAAGGTGAGGGAGAGAGAGAGAGAAGGTGTGGCTAGGTGAGGGAAGATGGGGAGGACTGAAGGAGGGTAAAGGAGGGTGAGGTAGAATGAGGCTGACTTAGGTAAGGGAAATTAAATAATGAAGGTTAAGTGAGGGAGGATGATGAAGAGAGAGAGAGAGAGAGAGAGAAGGGGGAGTAGGGGTAGTAATAGTAGTAGCAATGGTAGTGGTAGGATAAGTAGTAGTAGTAGTAGTAGTAGTAGTTCTCTGTTTTAGCATATGTATAACACCTGTCCAATAACACCTGCTTTCCACCCTGACAGCAATGCAACACCTGTCTAGTAACACCTGTCCAATAACACCTGTCTAATAACACGCCCCCCCCCCCACCCTAACAGCTGCGGGAACCTGCTGGAGGAGGACAACAACACGACCTGTGTGTGGGACTACTCGGGCCTGGGGTTAGATTATCAGGTCCTCGCTGGTCCCGCCTTCGTCGCCGTCTTCACTACCGCTGGCGTCATCATCGGCTTCATCTCTGACAAGTTCAACAGGTGAGAGACACAACTAACAGGTAAGAGATACAAGTTCAACAGGTGAGAGACACAAACTCAACAGGTGTATCTTGATAAAATAGGAATAAGTCACCTGTCCTCTTTACCTTCCCTTTACCTGTATAAGGACGAAATGAGATATATTTCTTCTATAATTATCATCAAGATAAAACTAGTGTGTGTGTGTGTGTGTGTCCAGGAGGTCGTTGCACTCACTGTCTCTCCTACAGGAAGGTGGTGGTGACTGTTTGCTGCGGGGTGCTGACGTTGGCGACAGGGTTGACGGGGGCTGCCATGAACTATTGGCAACTGGTAATTCTCAGGATGACTACTAGCGCAGGGTAAGTCATGGGTACAGGGTGAATCATGGGTACAGGGTGAATCATGGGCGCAGGGTGAGTCATGGGCAACGGGGTGAACCATACGTTTCTCATGTGCTCCAAAAACATTCTTCGTCTTCCCCACCTACAGGGAGTCGGCTTTCACCCCCGCCTGCAGCAGTATGATCTCCGACATGTTCCACGAGGTAATCCAAACAGCTCCTTGTGTTGTGGTGTGATGTACAGTTCCTTGGTCACCTCCTCAATGTGATGTCTCCTTTATTATATCTTCCTTGATCCTGTTTACGTGTTTATAAGATTCGTTTTAGTAAAGTTAGTTTAGTGTACAGATGGTGTGAAATAACAGTTGATTCTTCTCTCTCCCTCTCCCCTTTCCCTCTCCTCTCACTATTCCTCTTCCTCTCTCCCTTTCCAAACATTTTCCCTCTCCCCTTCCCCTTCCTCCTCCTCTACCCTTCCCCTTCTCTCCTCCCCCCTCTCCACCCTTCCCCCTTACAGTCTCAACGCGCCCTGGCTCTGGGAATCTTCAACTGGGGTATCTACTTCGGATACGGCCTCTCCTACGCCGTCGGGAACTTCATCACAGCAGCTAACATCGTTGACATGGTACGTACTATAGACTACCTTACACACTGATGATATTTATCTTTCTAAACTAAAAATAAAACCTGAATATTTATCAACATCAGTGAGAGATTTTAGGTTAGTCTTTATCTTATCTCACTAACTCTCCTGTAGGGGTTGGGATCTAGAACATGACAGTGTAGTTGTTAAAGGAGGAAGATTGCCAGAGAAGTATTAGAGTGGACATGCAGGGAAGGCTTTACAGTAAAGGAAGAAGATTACCATAGATAAATGTGACAGCATAGGTATTCAGAGTACGATGGTGTGGTTGTGTTACAGGGGTGGCGATGGTCGTACATTGTGACGGGGATGATGGGTGTGGTGGCAACCCTGTTACTTTTCCTGGTGGTGAAGGAGCCACCCAGGGCCAGCCAGGCGGAGGTCACGCAACAGCCCCCAAGGATAACATCCATCAACGAGTTCAGTAAAGTCATTAAGGCGGATCCTGCAGATATTGACACGGAGTTTACGAAGATTTATAACTCTAAAAATGATGTGAGTTCCCCTACAGGTAGCCGGTTGACGGAGGGGCTACTGGGGGAGGAGTCTGGTCCCAAGGCAGTGGTCAAAGCACTCCTTCAGCCCGCCGTGTTAGTTCTGGCCCTCGCTGCTTGTATCAGACACACAGGTGAGAGAAATAGATGTTATTTAAGCCACTGAGACATATATTCATAACCTCGTTTTAGTACAGTGAACGAACTTTCATATTTATATCGTTCATTAAATAGAGACTTCACATCGAATAAACCCTCGATATAACGGACTCTCTTCTCCACATAGTCAACTAAAAAAGACATGTCACTTCAACGCACTTACCTAGGTACTCAAAAAGCCCACATGTCCTTAATTAACACTCCCCCTCACCTGCCCCTCACCTGCCCCTCACCTGCCCCTCACCTCCTCCAGCCGGGTTCTCGTGGGCGTACAACACCCAACTCTACTTCCTCACTTACTACCCCAACTTCAACATCGGACTCTGGGTAATGTGCGCTTCTATCGTGGGCGGGTCGCTGGGTGTGGCTGTGGGCGGCTTCGTCTCTGACCGTCTAGTGAAGAAGTTGGGCGTGAAAGCCAGGCTATACGTGCTGGCTGCAAGTCAGGTAAGACGCGGACCTGATTTATTGTGTGGTGTAAGCCCTCCATTTAACGGCCATTATTCTAAAGGGTATAATCCGTTATATGGAGGTATACCATCTAATAGACCTCGATATAATGGATGGTACTCTCCTATATAGTCCGTTCAATAAAGGTATCACTGTATTATATAGTGAAGTTGTCTTCCTGGTGTATAGTATAAGTATCCTGATTTACATTGTGATAGTAATGATAATGATGATGATAATGATGATGATAATGATGATGATGATGACATTTGTAATAGAGAAATAATAGTGAGAGAAGTATTGTACAAATCTCCTCCCCCTACTCATTCTCCTCCTGCTCCTCGTCCCTACTTCTCCTCTTCATTCTCCTCCTCCTCCTTTTACTCCTCCTATTTCCCCCTTGTCTTCCTCCTCCCTTGTTTATACTCGTCTTCCTCCTCCGTCAGCTGATAGCAACGCCCTTCGCTGCTGGAGTGCTGTACTTCCCTCCTCCAGGTTGCTTCTTCATCCTGCTGGGGTCCTACGTCTTCGGTGAGTGTAGGTACTGTGAGAGAGAGAGAGAGAGAGAGAGAGAGAGAGAGAGAGAGAGAGAGAGAGAGAGAGAGAGAGAGAGAAGTACACGTTTAGGTGTTGAGTGAGAACGAAAGAGAGAATAAGAGGGCAAAGGAACAGAGAGAGATGCAGACAGACAAAGTGTGAAAGAAAAAAGAGTGAAAGATGGAAACAGACAGATAGAAAGACAGATAAAATATGAAAGAGAAAAAGAGACGGACAGACAGTGAGACAGTTGTGGTCACTGCTTCCACACAAATCAACACGAGATTGAAAACCTACAATATATAATGCCTCTCGTATAATATATAATAAACTATATCAAATTGTCCTCATTCTGTGTAATATAATTCTCCTCCTTTTAAAATAATGATGACTTTATACTCGTGTTTATATGTTTTCATTTTCTTCCGTATTGTTTCTCTCTCTCTCTCTCTCTCTCTCTCTCTCTCTCTCTCTCTCTCTCTCTCTCTCCTCACACACCAACTCACTCCCCTCCGTCACCCTTAGCTGAGATGTGGTTTGGGGTGTTGTTCGCCGTGTTGCTGGAGCTGGTACCTAAAACAGTTCAGTCTACCTCCATCGCTGTGTTCCTCTTCGTTATGAACAACATCGGTGGGAATGTACCTGTCATTGTTGATCCTCTGTCCCACCTGTTGACCTACCGTGGCGCCCTCTACGTCATGTACCCGGGAATGTATTTAGTTAGTAAGTATATCTCTGTTTTATACGTTATTTGATAATTTTCTTTTTTTTTTACGTCTTATAAAAGTTTTTAATTGGATTTTTATTATTATTAATTATTTTATTTTTCCAGGCGCTCTGTTCTTCTTCCTGAGTAGTTTCTTCCTGTGAGAGTCGACATAGCAGAGACTCTAGAGAATAAGGACCCCAGTTTATTTCACCCGAGGATTAAACACCCAAACGCTAACCTAACCTAACGCTAACCTAGCCCAACCTAACCTAACCTAACCTAACCTAACTGTAACGCTAACCTAACGTCCCAAAGGTAGCGATAAGGTGTTAAACTATCAGGTGAAATAAGTTAGGGTGTTTAATCTTCAGGTAATGTTCGAATTACCATGTCTCGTCTCACCTGCCGCACCTGGAGAACACCTGCTGTCTTATTGATTCTAAGAGCCCACCTGCCTGCTGGCCCCATCACCTGTGCAAAGCGTTTTAATCGACTCCGGGAAACCAAGCACACGTCCGTAGCAAATATTGTATTGTGCAGCCACGGACAACAAGCACGTACAGCACGAACAATCGTACATACAGCCACAAGCTACAACAGCCACGGTAAACCTTGTGCAATCACGGACAGCCACTTGCAGCTACGTACACAATGCCACTGTAAAACTTACTACAGCTACAAACAAACACGCACAATCACGGACAACAGTTTAGCTGAGAAAACCCATAAAAGCCGCTAACAAGAAGCTTTGGCAACAGAGATAACCCTAAAGTTGTAAGCAACGTGCACCTATAGCCTCAGCTGTAGGATAAAGTGAAAGGTTGACAGTAAGATGTGGTGGTGTGGCGATGTGGTAGAGTGGTGGTAGGGTGTGGTGATGTCGTGCCGGGGTGTGACGGCGTGATGAGGGTGTGACGTGGCGGCGTGGTGTGGGAGTGTGGTGGTGACCGAATAATGTGATGAATTAACCCTTAATTATATAACCTCTGAGGGGTGAAGGAGCCTTAAGAATCCTGGGAACAAAATATATATAATAATCAAATAATCATATATATATATATACTGTATATAGACTGTGTGTGTGTGTGTGTGTGTGTGTGTGTGTGTCATGATAACTAGTTCGTCTATGAACAATATATTCTTTTACCTAATGTTATCTTGAGAATAAACTGGAAGGCACATAACGATGAGAAAGACATTATAAGACATACCCTACTCGTCCGTCTGACATAAAATGGACATGCTAATTAATTCTGCTATTCCCTTCTGAGAGATAAAGAGAAATGGTAGGGGTATTCTCTCTATATTGTGAGGCAGTAATATAGAGACATACTATTTCTCTCTTTGACCCGTGAGACATACATCTCATTCTACTCTTCCCTCGTGAGACATAACAGATAGGAACATAATTATCTTCTGTTCCCTGTGTGATTTCCTGCCTCCCCCCACCTCCCTGCCTGCTCCCCTGCTTCCCTTGCCTGCCCTTACCTCCCTGCCTACCTCCCTTACCTCCCTGTCAAAGCCCTCTACCTACCTTTCTTCCTCCCTGCCTCCCATGTACTCTTCCTCAGGGGCTTTTACTGTACAAGACGTCCTCTATAGTCTATGAATACTCCCATAGTCTCCCACTCAACCTCTGGTCGTGTAAATGAGTACTTAATAAAATAGGAAAATAAGTTCTGATTGGCTGCTGTCTTTATCAATCCGCATAATATATGAGTTTTAGTTGGTCTTTGGTGATGATGGTGCCTCTAGTGGGTTCAGTGCCCTCTTAGATCGGTGTCTTGAGATGGAACATGAAAGTCGCTGGTTACTGGAACACCTGTTTAAAGAGACATGACATGACATGACATGACATGACCTGACACCACGGAGTTGACGCAGAAGGGAAACTTTCCCTTCTGCGTCAACTCCGTCAGGTAGGTTGTGTTGTGGATGAGAGTTAGTGTTATTTGTCTTGTTTTGAACGTGTGTTGTGTTGTGTCTTCTCGTTCAAGTATTTGTTTACGTTTGTATAATGTGAGTCTTGTAAAAGGAGGAATTAAATTTTTTATTTGTTGAAATAAAACTAAATAACTGTTCGTGTTTGTTTTATTGTCATTTTTGTATTACCTCACTCTATTTACCCTCCGTGTATGTATATATAACTGTATGTGTACAGTGGGGTATGTGTACAGTATCATATGTGTACTGTTACGAACCCCGCCACCAATTGTCATGATCTACCTCTATCTATTGTCATGATCTACCTACCCAGCACCACGAGCAACGCCATCTATTGTCCTGATCTACCTACCCAGCACCACGAGCAACGCCATCTAGGGACGAAACACGAGTATGACTCGTCTTAGTTACCACTCCGGGGTTTCCCTTCTCCATATCCTGGTTGTTGCGTCACCTCCTACAAGTCTTCTTTGTCAGCTCGAGTTCGAGGAGAGAGCAGTTTACTCTGGGAAGTGACCACAGGATCACCTATCCTGGAAACCTACGGCACAGTGACTACCTACCGTCTTCTACAATACTCAGCCTTACTCGTCAGCCATCTCAGCTCCGCACTTAAGTATTTGTAATTTTATATTGTCTCCCCCACGTCCACTTGCTTCAAATTATTGTATGTTGTATAAATATGTATATACTGTTAATGTTTAGGTTAAGTATGGTTAAGGGTAAATTATAGAAAGCTGAATATTTTGTTAAGGAATTTATGGTACTTTATTATACACAACGAAAACTCGCATCCTTTGTCTACCCTTTTATAGTCCGATTGTCTTTGTTTTTTTTTGTTGTTGCCTGTTGGGATCTGGGTAGACTTTTAACTATATTCTATACCCCCAACTCGTAACAGTACAATAGTAAACATACACAGCAAAATAGACTCTCAGAAACATAATATTTTTTATTATCATAACATTACTTATCATCTAATGCAGGTACAGGAGATACCTTCTAAACATTACAGAACATATAGTATGGCATCCAGTGTGAATCAGTGTTAACAATGCTTTCATACAGCAGTGTTCAGTTGTCTGGTTGTGGGCGAGCTTGGTGCAGCCAAGTCTTCAAGGTCGGAGAGGGAGGGAATAACTATTACCCTGTGTTTGAGTTGAGGAACGAAGGGAACGAAGTTTGAGTTGAGGAACGAAGGAAATCCAAACGTAACGTACGGTAATTGGAAGACAAATGTGACAAGGTTATTGACAATGTCGCGTAACACAGTGAAACGAGACGAGTTCTCCATTTGACGTGACGATGTTTGGGAAAAGATATTACAAGAAATTAAACAGATCGACCAATGTATGTACTACAAAGTCATCTCTACAAGGCTTCGTAATTGCTACATGGGATATCTAATGCACCGAGGCTTCTTTCTGTACATGTAGAAGGCAACAGAATCGACACCGATGATAGTGTGTGTGAGATACATTGGTTAGCCCGTCAATATACATACTCTAATACACCAAAGAAAACGTTCCAGTATCGTCTTGATTTTAGAGGTAACTATACTAAAGTGCCAGTCGTTTGTGATACTGTAGTCACCTTTCAGTATATCTAATTTATTATACTGGAAGACTAAAATGGCAGTCCTATGTATCCTGAACTTAATAAAAAATTTAATCTTAGTTGGTCTAGTTTCATCACAGGAAGAAACAGAAGATCACTTGAGGTGTGTGGTAGTTTATATCACACTTGTTACACGCGGTTGCAGCGGTGAAAGGTGTACACTTCTGCTTGCTTTGAGTTAATTATCAAAAAGGGGCGTATCAAAAATGTATTATGCTTCATATATTGTGTAATACTGATCACACTTGATACCAATAAATTTCCAAATACATTCAGTTCAACTACGACAAAAATACTTCTGATTTTATTTTTACCTACAAGAAACTACAAAGTAATTATATGTTACTGTAACTATGGATTATATTTTTGTGTTTTTTCCTAGCTAGTACTTGTGGCTCTCCTAAAAGTAAGCCGCTATCCGAACCTAACCTAAGTAACAATTGCTGTACGATAGTTTGAAAGGAATGGATCGGAATTGAACACTACTGTCGGAGTTCGATGTTAACCTCCACTCCTCGCCACTATTACCACCACTCACTCCATCACCCGATAAATGCATTCCACTCAACTTTTACTCCGACCCCCCCCCCCCCAGGATCACCCTAAGAACCAGTATCTCACATACCACTGGGAAAAGAAAAAAAAATCATAACAGAAAAAAATAAACAACAGAAATAGAGAGAAAGGGAGATAAAAATATGGAATATAGAAAGAAATCCCACCTTACCTGCTCCCCTGAGATAGATGGAAGGAGCAGGCAACTCTGAATTCTTACTGTATGAGAAGATAAAACACGTATAAAAAGAACAAGAAGTGTTTTAAGATAGCGTGACAGTTATACAGTGATACGATTTTAATCCTTATAAATCTATAATAACGCATCAATGAGTTAAAATTAATTAATACGCTAAATATCAACCAGTTTAAGATTATTCTTGCTAGTGTTACCTGATTCTTTGTTTATCTTCTTCGTAAATTACAGGTACAGTAATTAGTAATGTCAGGTGAGTGGTCCTATATACCTGTACAATCATTATGTCCACGTTTGAGCAATTCCCTGTGGTTGTCATAGTAACAGGAATGATGCCAACTAGTGAATTATATCCGCTTAATTTTAATCTCTGTGTTTCCTCCTAAAAGAATAAATTACAGAACTAGAATTAATAAACGAAAAATAAAAACACCAAATTTAAGTTAATGATAAGGTTCTAATATTCATAAGCGATAAAATAAAGTAAAGAATATTTTTGTTATGGTTTGTGTTCGTTATCTGGTGGCGGTGTATTGCAGCAGTAGTTCCAGGTGTCACCTTACCTGTGTACGTGGTGGGCGGGAAGTTAGGTGCTGTGTTCCGCAGCCTAGTGTCACCATGGTAACCTCCAAGACGGCATATACCTCACCACAATTATTTTAAGACTGAAATACATCTAATCACTTATAGACAACCCTGAACTAACGGCGAATTCATCTAATATAACAGGTAACAAAATCATTATCTGTTTTGTTTTATGTCTGTATTTTTTCCAAGTGTTAAACACGATTTGCCTTTTCAAGTTTTGTATTTTTATTCTCACGGTGATGAGGAAAGTACTGTAGTGAGGTTATTATCAACACTGACCGCCACGTTGACAGATAGTGAGGGAACACTAATCTTCTCCCGTAATTTCCCCTTTTACTTCCGGGTTATGGTGTTAAATCAGTTCTCGCACTGCTATGACGACTGCTATTTATTGTTATTACTCGACACAGTTTTGTGAAGTTGTTTATTCTTCGTTCAGACAGAGACAGACAGACAGACAGACAGATGAAATTAAAAACATGTCCTCAGAGACCTACAAAACCTTAGAGGATTGGTAAAAACAGCCCCAGAACGTTTAGAGTGGAGGACTGGTCGCCAACCCCCAGGCGGTACTCTGCTTGTGAGAACCGGACATATAGCTGAGAGACTTATAAAGACTGAGGAACGAACACGAAACTTCAAATCACAGTGAACAGTACGGTGAAGTGTATCCCAGGGAGGCTACACCTGCTGCCCACTATTGATTGGTACAACTTGCAGCGTCAGGAGGAGGACTGCTGACGTCTTCTCTCTACAGTCTGCCACTCCCGGGAAAGTATTGCCTATGTTGACATTCCATACGTATGTCTTAACACTTAGTGCACCTTCGTCACCCTTCTGCCAACACCGACGTTACTTCAGGGTGCCACCTCAACTTTCTTATGTGGCTTATTATAAGTGGTTGGTGGCAGCTTAACCCTGAATATTAGTCCATATTTGTTAGGTGAAGTTACCAGTTTGGATATACAGTACACCTCTAGAATATTTTTTTTTTATGAATTTGCTTAAATAGAACATCTTGTTGATGACGTTGTAGCGAGTAAATTGGTTCGGTAAATACAGTATATTTATATTTCAACTTGAAAAGAAGTGAGCATGACGAGACTGAGGACATGGGTGGTGACGGCGCTGGTCGTGAACGGTGTCCTTCTGCTGTACAGTGTGAAGGTGTGGCAGGGCCGCCCCCCAACACACTCCATAGAGGACTCCAGCCTGCGGGAGGGGAACGAACCCCAGGTGAGACTCCATAGCGGCCTCGTCTCTGGAATGTGGGATCGAGCCCAGAAAGGCAGGATCTACTACTCCTTCCTAGGGATACCTTATGCCAAGCCGCCCCTGGGTCTCCTCAGGTTCAAGGTCAGTGTTGTGTCTGGTATATGGAGGTTCATATTTATTTGTGTCTGTCTGTCTGGCCACGCTTCCACCCTACAGAAGGATTTTTGGTGTAAATCAAGGAACTTTTTAAGAATTTCTGTACACTGTTAGTATTAACTCCTGGAAGAGATGAATATTGCTGGGCATCTAAAGCGATTTTGTTTACGTATCTGTGAACCTACCCTACCTACCCTACACTACCCTACCCTACCTACCCTACCCTACCCTACCCTACCCTACCCTAAACCTGGTGATATCTACTGATCTATACACCCTTCTTGCACCTCCCAGTATCAAAACCACTTCATAATATCAAACATTTCCCTGAAACTGAGAAATAAACTCCATATTTATCTCGGTAATTTCCTTGTGCAGTGAAGTGTGGTAGAATGAGTGTCTGTCCTTCAATGTCTTCTCTTCAGCTCTAGTAGTCAGGAGTCATTGTGTTTCTGAGACTGTGTGGACGTTTGCAGGACCCGGTACCAGCAGAGCCTTGGCAGGGAGTGAGAGATGGTACTAAGTATCCTTCTTGTTGTCCCAGTGTTCCTGTAGGGGTACAGCGGCATGGTAACAGAGGGATACAAGGGCAGGAGGATTGTCTTTATATCAACGTCTTCACACCTCCACTTCAGGTAACTTAGAGAATTTAAGAAGGTATGGTGTATAAAATCTTGAAACTTCGAATTTTCTTAGATTTGATCAATAAACAGTCCAGTAAATTTGACCCTGAGAATTACTGATGTGGATTAGGGATTTAAATATATCTGTCACTATAAAATAAAATGTTTCAGGATAATTAGGTGTTAGTAAAGTTGTTTATTTGTGTGTTAGTAAACTTTATGTAGTAAGAAATATTCCATTGTTGGCTTAATGGGTTTACACATTGCTTGTTATGCTAGAAAAATACTGATGTGTATATTGTTTCTTTTATTATTATTATTATTATTATTATTATTTCTCACACTCGATGGCGTTGATACTCAGAAGTCACAGAAGAAGCTGCCAGTGATGGTGTATATCCACGGGGGATCCTTCCTTGCCGGGGGCGCGAAGCATTACCAACCTCTGCCCCTCCTTCAACAGGACTTGGTGCTCGTCACTCTGCAGTACCGTCTGGGAGTCCTTGGTATGATTGTGCTCCTCATCGGTCCTTACGTCTGTTCTTCCGTGTAGTGCTGTAATCTGAAGCTCTCTACCTCCCACCTCCCTCACTTTCCTATTCCTGCCTCCATTTATCTCACTCATCTTACATCTCTCCTCTTCTTTCTCTTCACCTCCCTTCTCCCACCTCTCTTCACCTCCTCCTCCTCCTACCTCCCCTTTTCTCCCTTCTCCTACCTCTTCTTTTCTCCTTCCTCCTACCTCCTCCTACCACATTTCACCTCCCATCTCCTACCTCCTTTCTTCTCCTTCCTCCCCTTTTTTCGACTTCTCCTCTTACCTCCCTTCTTCTTCCTCCTCCCCCCCTCCTACCTCACCCATTTCCATCTTCGTCACTCGTTACTAAAAAATATCCTGACTACAGTGAATTCCTGCCTTAGATAAGTTTCCCATCTTACTCGTGTCCTACAGAGAATGTCAACACTCTTCTGAAAGCTTATCATGATTCCTGAGTTGAAATATTTACTTGAAACCAAACGCAGGAACTTTATGTTGGTTTTGTTGTCATAAAGAGTCGAGACTTTAATTATATTTATAGCAAAAAGGAACAATTTTATCCAAGTCGTTTTTTATTCCACTGATAAACAAAACTAACATATATTCCTGATGATGCACGAGGTTCTCCTTCTTCAGGATTTCTATCGACGGAGGACGAGGTACTGCCTGGGAACCTGGGGTTGAAGGACCAGACCCTCGCCTTGACCTGGGTGAGGGATAACATAGGTCACTTCGGTGGTGACAGTAAGAGAGTAACCATCTTCGGAGGCAGTGCTGGCGGGGCCTCTGTACAGCTGCTGATGTTCAACCCACACGCTGAAGGTGAGGTGGTGACAGAGTAGGTGGTGAGGGTGCGGTGCTTTGGCAGTACAGTAGGTGGATGGTGGTAATAGGATGATGTACTGCGAGTGCTTAATCTTCATGTGATCCCAGGAACTACAGCACAGCCCCACCAAGACGTAAATAATCATCCGCAGGTCTGTTCTCAAGGGCCATCATGCAGTCTGGCAGCGCCCTGAGTCCCTGGGCGGTGAGGACTGGGCATCGCGCTGTGGCCTACACGGTGGGAGGACGGCTAGGATGCCCGACCCCAGATCCCATCTCCAACAACAGCCTCCGGGACAATGAGCGACTGGTAGACTGCCTACAGAAGGCTCCCTTAGACGCGCTCGTCCCTTCCTTCATGGACTTCTCGGTAATTGATCTCTTGTTGTTGACATTATCAGTTATAGAGTTTATTTATTTAATTATTATTATTAACAATGATCAGTATGTAAGTGAAATTAAGTCACTGTTTCCATGGGGAGGTATGGGCGACGCTGCCGTGGGTGACGGTGCCTCGAGTGGACGGGGACTACCTACCTGAAGATCCTGCCATTCTCCTGAGGGAGGGCAAGTTCCACAAGGTGCCTCTCATCACCGGCGTCACCCAACACGATGGCTTGTTAATTACAGGAAGTGAGTCACACACAAATCTGATGAGTTGGGATAAAAAAAGTGATTGAATATCTTCTTGTGCCGTGAGTCATACCTCAGGTGGCCGGCCAAGAACACTCCTCTGGGCCAGCTGTATCAACAAGCGGCGTAGGTACTGTGCATGTAGAGGCGAGTCTGTTTAATTTAGGACAACTGCTGCAATTTTTTTTTAGTGGTGAATAAAAATGTTTGATGTAGAAAATATCAGGAAAGTTGTTTAGTATTTTTAGTATTATTACAATACTTAATTAACACAATATTACAAAATATTTCATGATAATACCGGTACTGAAGACTTTAAACTACCTACAGATCTCTACAACACTCCCAGCCTTCGAGAACAGTTGGTGAAGAACTTCGTTAATGTTGGTCCTGGGGCGGCCCTACTACTAGGGGAGGGAGACGAGCAGCCCCTCACCCTCGCCCGCCTCGCCTTCCATCACTACCTGGGAGGGATAAAGGCTGGTGACCATGACAAGGTTACCCTCACCCAGGTAACTGTCTGGATTGTAGTACATAAACCAATCCAAGTATAAACCCGAAAAACACAAATACTGATACACTGACAACACGAAACACCGATCTAAGACTTGAACTCCACACAGCTGTTTGGTGACCGGCTGTTTACTGTAGCTCATGACGAGACGTGGAGGTTCACCAGCCAGCACCAAGACCTACCAGTGTACACCTACGAGCTGAAGCCTTCCAACACCACCGGCAAAAAATGTGAGACGGGGGGGGGCGCCGCCTTTCTTACTTTGCGTTATCTTGAAGTAGTGTAGGTGATTCATAGGGAAATGTAATGGAATCTAGGTCGTGTGGGCTCTATGGTGAGGTAGTGTGTGTGTAGATTGTTGTACAGGTTTTGGATGTTGTGCAGGGGGTAGGTGGAGGTGGTATACAGGGGTAGGTGGAGGTGGTATACAGGGGTAGATGGAGGTGGTATACACGGGTAGGTGGGGGTGGTATACAGCGGTAGGTGGAGGTGGTATACAGGGAGTGAGCGGAGAATTGGTATACAGGGGTGGGCAATTGGTATACAGGGGTAGACAGGTGGTATACAGGGAGGTGGTATACAGGGTGAGCGGAGGTGGTATACAGGGGGGAGCCCGGAGACGGAATACAGGGTAGACGGAGGTGATATACAGGGGTAGGCGGAGGTGGTGGTATACAGGGGTGAGCGGAGGTGGTATACAGGGGTAGACGGAGGTGGTATACAGGGGTAGATGGAGGTGGTATACAGGGTAGACGGAGGTGATGCTCTGCAGGGCAGGTGGAGGTGGTGTGTTATACGGGGTGCAGGCGGGTGGATACAGGGGAGTAGATGGTCTCTGGGGTGAGCGGAGGTATCTGGGGAGTGGGCGGAGGTGGTATACAGGGTAGACGGAGGTGGTATACAGAAAGGGGTGAGCGGAGGTGGTGATATACAGGGGCTGGGTGGAGGTGGAATACAAAAAGGGGTAGGCGGAGGTGGTATACAGGGGTAGGTGGAGGTGGTATACAGGGGTAGGTGGAGGTGGTATACAGGGGTACGTGGAGGTGGTATACAGGGGTACGTGGAGGTGTTATACAGGGGTAGACGGAGGTGTTGTACAGAGGTAGGTTGTGGTGTTGTACAGGGATAGACGGAGGTGTTGTACAGAGGTAGGTTGTGGTGTTGTACAGGGATAGACAGAGGTGTTGTACAGAGGTAGGTGGTGGTGTTGTACAGAGGTAGGTTGTGGTGTTGTACAGGGATAGACGGAGGTGTTGTACAGAGGTAGGTGGAGGTGTTGTACAGAGGTGGGTGAAAATCATTGTGGTGAGCACACTCACTCCTCCGTGTGTTATGCAAAGTTCCACAGTGAGAGCTCAAGTACTAATTCCAGATACATTAGGATAACCTTAGTTCCCCAGGACAAGCACCTCGGTCACCTGATGGTCAAGATGTGGAGTAACTTCGCTGCCACCGGGTGAGTCCTCGCTCCTAGAGAATGCTGGTCTCTCTCTCTCTCTCTCTCTCTCTCTCTCTCTCACTTTGTGCCTGTAATATGTAATACATTTAGTGAGCATCTATAACACATTACGTCCCTACACTACATTCAACGCCCCAGACAAAGATACACTCACATAAGAAATGAATGTTTAAATCTCTGCTAAGATGTGTCAGATCGATGCTGCTTTTCATCCCACCAGTAAAGGAAAGGAAGTTACGCAGTACAAGTCAGTCATAGGGTCTTGCTTCAATAACTCACTCGTCAACGTTACAGGAACCCCACCCCTGACGACTCCCTGGGATTCGTGTGGTCTGCTGCAGCTTATCCTAGGAATGCAGCCCACCTCGCCCTCAACGCTTCACCTACTATGGAGAATGACACTAGGACAGAGGTGAGACATATAGCTTTAGTATATATAACAATGATTATTTTTTTTTAGTGTACTTGTCTAAATTAACCCCCCAAAACCATCCCCGTAGAATGTGATGTAGTTTTAGACAAATTGGTTCCTTGGTTAATATCATATAAAACTCTCCAAATGTGATTTTTATCTCGTATGTGGATCTCCCTTCATTTATAATTCACATGATATTGGATATTAATTAGTTAAATACGATAAATAAGGTAAATAAACGTAATATGGTACTCGTGGAAATCACCTTTCTGCCTCATATCGTAATACATTAAGTTATCCATCAAATCAAGCCGCAGCCGAACAGTTTTCTTTGGTTTGTTAAATTTCAACACCAACTTTAAAGACTTATTATTCGAAACATTACCATCTGTAATGTTTATAAGTTAAAGTTTAAGAGTAAGATAATTCTAAATAACATCTAACAACAAAAAATTTAACAATAGATATTTTTTTAATTTTATTGAAACTATTGTAGAATATTTTAGATAACTAATTTTTATTTTTTTTTTGTACACAATAGAAGCTAATAAAACTATCTGATTTCATAATGTTTCTCTCTCTCTCTCTCTCTCTCTGGTACAGGAGTTCTGGTCGTCTGCCCACCCTTAACAAGTTACTCCATCTGGAAAGAAAGAACACTGCACTCCATATTCTTTGACAACCTGAAGAACACTCCTAGCAACCAATTAGTGAACAAGAACACTCCCTAACAACCAATTAGTGAACAAGAACACTCCCTAGCAACCAATTAGTGAACAAGAACACCCCCTAGCAACCAATTAGTGAACAAGAACACTCCCTAGCAACCAATTAGTGAACAAGAACACTCCCTAGCAACCAATTAGTGAACAAGAACACTCCCTAGCAACCAATTAGTGCATAAACTACTCCAGCAATACTGTTAGATCAATAATTATACTGTAATACTTTCGTTAGTAGTAGCAGCAGTAGTAGTAGAAGTAATACTGAACTATATTTTTTTTATTATTCGTGTTTATCTTTTTTCATCATGTTAATATTCCCTCTCGGTGCCCCTCTCACTTACACCATCACCACTCCCTCACCCACTCCCCCACCTTCCCAAGTCTCTCTCCATCCACAAGACAATAACACAAATCACCTGCCTTATACCTGGTAATTAATCTGATCCTCCCTGGGAAGTAAGTTTCGTAAGTGTGTGTGTGTGTGTGTGTGTGTGTGTGTGTGTGTGTGTGTTTATTTATTTACATTCAAACGCTATACCTGTTCGTCTCACCTGTTAATTAATGATACACAACGCATATATACAGTATCATCTACCTTATACCAGTGATGAATACAACCTTTTCTATATAATACTTACACATTATATATTTATCAATATATATATATAGATAAGATTAAAGATTACACTTATCTTCCACCAATCATCTGAAGTCATTTTATTAGACTCTTAACAAGTGACACATCAGTTAAGCAAAAGTTTATTAATAAAAGTGTGATTTATTTTTTGATTTTGTTTACCTGTACTAAGTAATATAATTAAACATGATTCAAGGGGTAGACGTTACTTACCTGGGCTTTGTAAGTAATTGGCTGAGGGTAAACTTTACAACATGTACACAGAATAAATAGACAGTGTAAACAACAACAACAACAACCATAACAACCATAATAATAACAATTATAACTACAACAACAAGAATAACGACAATAACAGTAACAACAACAACAAGAGTATCGGTAAACTGGCCATAAGTTAAACCAGACAAGAAGAAAGAAACTGTACACTTAAGCCAGTTTGCCCTGACGTAGTGGAGTGTGTACCTGGGTGGAAACAGACTACGTGCAGTTTGTCACGAGGAGTCCTTGTAAGCGGTAAAGGAATCTCCATTGTCACTTTGGTCTTTGCTGTCCTCGGAAAGTCAGGGTGGTGATGGAGGAGGCAGCGATGGAGGGGGAGGCGATTGAATTGAATTAAAACAGTTTATTTAGCGTTAAAAATACAGATACAGAGTGGATAATAATAACAATATTAACATGACTGAGCCAGTTGAGAACCTGGGCTCTCCTGTAGGCACCTGATATATACTATACAATTATCTCAAGGAAGTATTATGTAACCTCTAGTATCATCTGGAATAGTACAATAGCATGGTGGTAATAGAACATATCATAAAGTTACCACGGTTATCACTTCAATATTTATTTATTTTATCAATTTTTTTTATTATAAGTATATACATAAATTACAGTAGAATTGAAAAACACAAGTATAATGGGGGAGCAGTACAACCTGGGTTGTACAGTAATAAGGTTGAACAAGTGGACAGAGCTTTCAGGATTATGTCTAGTTGGCAATTATGTTTATTGCAATGGTAATTACTTATTTATTTACATAATAATTTCCGATAAAACGGTTTTGATGGTACAATAGAAGCAGGTACTGTAAATATAGTAAGTGTTACAAGAAATATTAATACTGAGACAATAGATATTTTTTAAGAGATGATTTAAAGGAAGGGAGTGTTGGAGGGGGGAGGCGTTGGAGGGGGGAGGTAAGATGAATAAGTCAGGCTATACAGACATTCTTCCTCAACGGGTTTGATTACTGGAGGTGAGGAGGGGTTGGAGGGGTTGCACATAGAGAGGTTACTTGTCTAGAGTCTCTAGACAGTATGTGCTCCCGAGGTCAGGGAGAGGAGGGATGGGGTGGGGTGGGAGGGGGGAGGAGGGGTTGGATGGGGTGAGGTGGGGAGGGAACACAGTGGAACTAATACCCCCAACCTCCCACCTTGCCTCACCTTCCTTCTCAGCAATATCTACAGGAGTCTCGCCTCAAGCCCTACTTAACTCTAGTGTCTTTCAAAGTCAAAGGTCAAATCAAAGAACAAGACTTGCAGGCATTGTCCCCACCGGCCTCTGATTCACTTCCTCAGGGCGTCCCCTTTCTCCTTGAGAGGCGCGGGAAATCCTGGATCTGTGATGTTGGTGGCTGGAATCGGCTGGTGTTTATACCTTCAAGATCCGGGTAATGACGTCAGGAGTACGAGAGTTGACTTTGTTGTCAAAGCTTATATGAGGCTGAGCCACACCTGTAGTCGATGAGTCACTGTAGTTGATGACCCACACCTGAAGTCTATGAGCCACAAAATAACGTGAGTGAATTTATAATGACGTGATATATTGTCGTGTGAGTAGTAGTCAGTTGTGTTATCTGTGATAAATAGATAATCAAGATGTTCCTGAGTCACCGTTTGTGTTCCTGTTACTTTAATATGTTCCTAAGTGATGGCTTTTGTTACTTGTTAGGTATAGGAAGTAACAAGCTTGGGTTATTACGTATCTCTCGTTAAGTCATAAGAGTTTACAATGCACAAATAACTTTCTTTTTTTTTTAGTATATAAGAATAATAGTCACAGTTGTTTTTAGTTCCCATACTTCAGTTTGTTGAAATTTATCTGAAGATTCCTACACAGTGTTCTACAGGTCTTATGTGGGTGTAGTGGAGGAATTGGCAATACTGTATGATGACGGGTGAAGGACAAGAGGATTTAAGTGATCACGTGTACAGACTGAGTTACTGTTTGTTCTGTCCTCAGTTTCATGGCCAACCACTGATGATTAGGGTAACAGTTGCCTTTGTTCATGCACTCACACTATGTAAAAAGGAATCCAATGACACAGTATATACCAAAAAAATATTTTATTATAAATATATTATGGTATCTATAAATCATCTTTTTAAATAGGGATGATTTATATTATATACTATTTGGTTAGTTGGATGAATAGATATAGAGGTGAGTGGGTGGTGAGGGTGACGTGGGGATGGTGGAGGCGGCTTGATAAGGTTTCCCGCCTCATAACAGCAACTTAGCTTTATGGTGTGTTATGGCGCGATGATTGTGAAGTACTAAGACAACATACAGTTATATTTAGGAACACATGATTATAAGTACAGTATACGGTGTTGTCTGTACAGGAGGCTAACAGAGGTGCATGTCGACGAAGTGTTGTTTATTCTGGAACACCGGGCCCCATATGTCTGTCTTTTTGCTCTTCTTCACGCCCTCACTCTTGCTCTGGGTCAAGGTGATCATTTTGGCCTGAGGGTAAGTGATCATGTCCAACACTTTGAATGAGTCCTTCCTGTGGATAAGAACAAAAGAATATATTTAGTAAGTCCTTCTCTCTTGATGGTGTGTAAACATTGTAGGTTCGTCACACAAATAGACACATTCTATATTAACTGTGTTTACGTCGAAGTGATCATTAACTCACCTGGCCTGAGGATCACACCCGCTGCTGCTGGAGGAGTAACACACTTGATCCTGCACCATCTTGGTCGTGTTGTTTACTGCGACAGAAGATATAACAGTCACGCTCAGCTTATGTTTGTTTCTGCCTTCAGGATGTCACTCCCGAAAACGCTGTTGTTGTTGGACGTTATTTCACGAAATTGTCAAGTCAGTTAGTACCGAAGCTCAGTGACCTGGAGAGGGGGAGAGAGAACATAGTGAGTATATCTAATGGAAGTTTACTCTGGTATTTATTTCATAAGTTTAAAATATATCTCTTGAATCTCTTACATAATAGTAAATGTTTTTGTCACTTTATAATAACTTACAATAACTTTAGGTGAACATTTAAGATGACCACAATTAGGTGTGAACAGTTCTAACATCAGGTAGGGATACTCACCTCAAGACACGCTGTGACGCTGGGCGAGGACACTCAGTTCTAGAGTGTTACCACAGTTAGCCAGGCGACTACCACGCTCACTGGCTACGTTTGAGTGAAACCTGACGAGAGAAACAACATAGGTGAGATGCAACAAAGACAAATACTGATAAGATGTGTACAATAAAAGACAGGGGGGTGTCGAAACTTTGGAGTGTGACTGTACGTGTGGGCGGGAGGGGGGGGGGTGAGGTGTGTGGGCAGGAGTGTGTTTGTGTAACTTTTTCTAGCAAGTTTATGTTCATGAAAATTTGATAAAGTTATAAACCAAAATAATGTTGATCTTGTTGATTTAATGCATGTTATAAAAAAAACATTAAACTTAAAAAAAAAAAGAGAAAATAAGTCATCTTACCTGATCAATGACCAGTAGTAGTTCATTAACACAATGGATTGGTTAATGGGCTCTGCATGTACCGTTTGGGTCCCTGCGGGTCTTCAGCTACAGTATTCACAACGTGAACTTGATAAACGTGGATAAATGGGACAGTTGTCAAGGTTACGATGCTGGGAAGATGCGTTTAAGATGCTTGGTTGGGTGAGACTGACCCTTCGGAAGCAGACGGCAGCTTATATAGCGGAGGCGGGGCGGGGCGGGGCGGGGCGGGGGAGAGGGCCACAGAGAAGGTTGACACGGAGCAGTACGTGAGCCCCGACACGAACCGCCCTATTCACCCATGACGCGTCTCCCAAGTGATGACCCAGCGAGGTGTACAACATGACAAAGATAACACGAGAGGAGAAAATAATTTTTAGATCAAAACTGATTCATTTACCTTTTGTATCTACCTTTCTAGAGGTGTGTGGTAAGTGGTGATGACGTGGGCTGCTATGTGTTAACGTCATGTTCCGGTAAGTTTCCAGCTACTGACGTCAATGATGACGTTGGTGAGCCTGAAGACTCTGACCAACAGGTACACGTTACGTTGTTGGGAGAACCATACCTTGATGATTAAATGTAAACACTGAATTGTAATACAAATCAAATCAATATACGTAGTTGATTAAAACACAAGTAAATACACCAAGGGTTAAGTACAATGAATAAACAAACTCGTATACTATCAGTTAATAATGTTGATGACGTAGGTGATGTCCACATGTACTGTTCAGCTTCATCTCCAGATTTCATTATCACTGAATCATCTTCCGATTTAACTAGAAAAAGTGGTGATTTATTTACCTAACTTGGTCCAGATTTTCCACTTCGTATGAGAGCTAAGAATAAGTGTCATGACGTCATCTTGGTATCCTTTAGATGACCTGAAGATGAGGTCCTCCTAACTTATTCCACCTGAAGTGCTACCAAGGGGGGTAGGTTAAGTTTGCATTAGGCTAGGTTACCATTAGTTTAGGATAGGCAAGAATACGTAATGTTAGATTAGGTTAACATTAGTATAGTTAATCTTACGTAAAACGAGTCAAGAGGGAGGGGTTAATCTTCATGTGATACCCAACACCACAAAACCATTACCATAGAATCCAACACCATCATTAGATTCAAGAACTTCACTCTAGATAAAGTTAGGATCATTACTTTCATCCATACGCTGCATAAATTATCAACACAGGTAAATTATCGAAACAGGTAAATTATCGAAGCAGGTAACTTATCGACGCAGGTAACTTATCGACGCAGGTAACTTATCGAAGCAGGTAAATTATCGACACGGGTAAATTACCATCACAGGTTAATATGACCAAAAACAACATTACTATTTCCCAAGAGTTGGCGTGAAAACATAGATTTCCAGCATCATAATTAGCACCTGTGGATATTAACCCCCCCTCACCCCATACATACATACATACATACACCCTACCCCTACTTTGCTGTCACTCGGAATGGAGTATGACGATCATCCATTTATGATACAATGATACGAGTTATTAAGGATGTCATTGGTGAGTTTTGAGGTGACTACAGAAGCCGATACGGGACCGGCAGAGCCGTCCACAGATGCTGCATATGTGGAGGGCTACATCTAGAGCGGGAGGGGCAGCGGCAGCGTCTTTCCGGAGTTGGCGCTTGTCTGCCTCAGTTTGCCGTCCGGCTAACTCGAAAGTATTGACACCTTTTCGTGTGGTGCTCCTTTAAGCGTTATGGTGTGGAGTAATCGTCTCCCAGGTGAGGGGGTCGATTTGGCAAATTTTCAGGTTTGTCTTAAGACTATCCTTATACCTTTTAAGTTGTTAGGGTGACTGTATAATACACACATTCTTGTCCTTGTGCTGCTTCACCGTTTTTACTCATGTTTGTATTTTACTTCCTTATCCTCCTCTTTTTCCCACTTATCTTTCTATTCTCTCTGTCTCTTTCAGCATTACCGGTTTTCTCTGTCCCATTACTCTCTCTCTCTCTCGCTCACCTGTTCAAAATAGTCTCTTTACCTACCTGTTACTCCCTCTTTATCCATCTCTGTCTTCAACTGTTTTTATCTTTTATTTATTCTTATCTTGTATTTCATTTTGTTTCACTATTCTATTCATTTCAATCCAGTTCAAATAGTCGAGGAATGTTTAAATAACAATTAATATTCATTTAAATTTTATTCTAAACATTATTTGAACTTTACATGGTATACAGTATGGCCTTTTGACCACAATGAAAAAAAATACTTATATTCATATCCAAGTTGAAGGTCGATGTTTACATTAATGGATGACAATGATACTTAATTATGTAAACTATTGACGATATAATGAGTCTACTATGAGTTTTCTTTTATAATGTTTTCTTTACCATGATATACCAAAAGGATGAGTGTTAATGCCAACGATGATTTAATTATCAATTGAGTACGGTAATTTTGCTCCCATTGAGTACGATGACTTAACCCACTTGAGTACGATACCATCATACTCATCGTCTTCCAATAGGTTAAAACATCGACATCAAAAAATTAAATCATTATCCAGGAATTTGACATATTCCATAGATTACAATTTCTTGACATTTAATCACACAAACATGCATACGTATTTAAATAACTCTAGCATCGTGATTTTGAATAATGATTGGTAATTAATCGTGATTTATTGGCAAGCGAGGGTGATGACGAGGGGTGGAGCCTAGCAGAAGTGCATGTCGACGAAGTGTTGTTTATTCTGGAACACTGAACCCCACACATCTGTTGTCTTCTCGCTGTTAGTGTTGTTGTTCTTCTTGCTTCTCTTCACGCTTCCGTTCTGCCCGGTGCTGTTGTGTGTCTGGCCGTAATTCGTCATCTGCATAACCTTATAGGCAGATTTCCTGTTGAGAGAAGAAGTAACATTGTTTAGTTACGATCTCTTGTGTAAATTTGGATTCGAGTGAAATATTTATGTGTGTGTGTATGTGTGTGTGTTTTCCACTGCTTATACCTGGTCCTATACCTGGACTCTTGTTTATCAATTAAAGCTAACTTAGAATCGTGTCTGCCCTCAGCTTCCTATCTACATTGAACAAAACATTATTATGTCAGTAGATGCTTAGACAAGTCTCTCCCAATATATATCTAAACCATACAGTAAATATAGACAAACATGACAAGAGTTGATTTCTGTAATGTTTCTGATGTATATTATCAATTTATCTTTACAGGACACGTGTGATGGTCTGGCTGCCTGAGGAGACGAGAGTTATCACGGTGTTTGGGTTGAACAAGACACAGGCTGCTGACTCACCTGGCTTCCTGATCAGCGACGAAGTTGGCGGAGGTGTAAGACTGCTCATAAACCATCTTGGCGGTGAGTAGTTGAGTGATTGAGTGCTACAAGAGTCCCGCAGGTCAACAGTTGTCAGGAGTAAACAAAGGTTCTCTCGTAGGTTCAGACAGTTGATTGAAGACGTTGAGAATCTCTGGAATATTTATCAGTCACTCTTTTTAGTGCAGATGTTTTGTTAATGTGGCGTCAGGATTTCACTCCTGTGTGCGAAGATGTTGGACTTGATGGCTAAGAGGTTCTGGTAATAATAGTTGATCAAACAGTTCTTGTAGATGATGATGTGATCTCTGTGAGGGTCAAAAGAGTTCTGTTAACACCGACAACAGGGAGAACAGTGTTTACACATCTATAACACAGCGTAGTGAGAAGCAGTGTATTCCAGGACGAACAATGATAAGTACCTTAGTTACAAAGTTTGAGTCTGACCCTCTCTTAGGTCAGCTCAGGTCACCTCAGAGCTACCCTACATCACCTTAGAGATCTTGAGAATAACTCAAGAGTCAACACCAACTACCTGAGGTCAACTTGGGTCACCTTTAAGACTTACCTCAAGGCACGCTGTGACGCTGGGCGAGGACGCTTAGCTCTAGTTTATTACCACAGTTACCTAGGCGACTGCCAAGCTTACTGGCTAGATTCAAGTCCAGTCTGAGGAGGAGAAGAGAGAGATTAATTAGTGGTGACAAATTATAGTCATATTTGTAGCCAAGAACCTTAAACAATTACTATATTTTAAGACGTGGGATAAACAGGAACCTAACCTAACCTAACCTTAAATAATGACTATATTAACGAGCCGAAACAATATATAGATTTCCCGTAGAATTTTATATTGCACACCTGAAGGGAGAGGGCGTAGTGGCGGGAGAGGCATAGTGGAGGAGAGAGGGAGGCATAGTGGAGGAGGAAGGCATAGTGTAGGAGAGGGGCCAGAGTGTAAAGGGAGGCATAATGGAGGGGAAAAGGCATAGTGGAGGGAGAGAGGCATAGTGGAGGAGGAAGGCATAGTGTAGGAGAGGGGGGCAGAGTGTAGAGGGAGGCATAATGGAGGGAGGGAGGCATAGTGGAGGGAGGGGGCATAGTGGAGGAGAGGGGGCAGAGTGTAAAGGGAGGCATAATGGAGGGGAAAAGGCATAGTGGAGGGAGAGAGGCATAGTGGAGGAGGAAGGCATAGTGTAGGAGAGGGGGGCAGAGTGTAGAGGGAGGCATAATGGAGGGAGGGAGGCATAGTGGAGGGAGGGGGCATAGTGGAGGAGACAGGTAGGCATAATGAATAGGGTTAAACATAACCTTGTGCCGTCAACCACTGACCTTTAATAGGGTCAGAGTGTGTGTGTACGTGCGCGCGTGTGTATGCGCGTGTCTGTCTGTGTGCGTGTCTGTCTGAGTATGTGTCTGTCTGTATCTCGTCTGTCTGCCAATAAGAATATAATGACAAACTACTAAGAAGAAAGAACTAAGATTCACACGACCTCATTATAGCACGACTCTTACTCATTGTAGCACAACTCTTACTCATTATAGCACGACTCTTACTCATTATAGCACGACTCTTACTCATTATAGCACGACTCTTACTCTATACACTATAAAGGATAAACTTCCTCTTCCATAGCCATCACCTGACAATTAAACACCCTTTCTTATTTCACCTGAAGATTAATCACCCTAACGCTACACCTGATGATGGTAGGTAAAGGAGGGTAGGTTAGGTTAGGTTATTCTAGGGTGTCTAATTTTCAGGTGATGTAAAATATCGTTGAGTTATTGGTACTTTCGTGGAGTGATTTCTCTGACTACTTCAACGAGGGAAGGGAAAGGAAGACGGGGAGAGGGGGAGGTGTGAGGGTGAGTGAGGTACAGCGGCAAGGGAGCAGGGGAGGCGTTGTGGACAAAGGGAGAATAAAGGAAGGGATTAAGGATTGTTAAGGGATGAGAAGGAGATGGTGGGGGTCCAGGGAGGCAAGGGGGAGGGGAGTCTAGGGAGTAGGAGGGGAGGGAGAGTAGGAGGGAGGGGAGTCTAGGGAGGGTAGGAGGGAGGGAGGGAGTGGGGAGGTAGGGAGGGGAGGAGTCTAGGGAGGGTAGGAGGGGGGAGGGGGAGTCGAGGCATGAGGTGTTACGTGGTGACCCCGTGCTGGAAGACTTGTGGCCGCCTGGTGGTGAACCTGCCCCGCCCCAGGAGGTGCTGGTACCAAGGAGGGTGAAGAGGCCAGGGCGGGTGAGAGGGAGCGGTAAGGACGGAGAGAGAAAGGGAGGAGGGGAGAGGGGGGGAGGGAGAGAGAGAAAGCTGGAGAGAAAAAGAGAGAAAGGCGAAGAGAGCGAGATAAAGATAGTAAGAGAAAGGGAGGAAGGAAGTGGGGGGGGGGTAGGTAAAGGTGAGGCAGGTGAGGGTTGGTGGGGGCAGGATAGAGAGGGACGGCGAGTTGGCTAGACATGATGAAAAGCCACGCAGGTAACACGTGCACCAGGTGGGCTAGTGAGAGTTAACACCTGTGGCAACACCTGTCATTAAACCATGACTCACCAGAGTATAACACCTGAATTGATTACCACACACAAAGCCATAAAAGTAATCAATCAAGCACAGGTAACACGGCAGTATGTGACACGAAGCCTTTTTTTTTAATTTCAAGCATCCAAAATAAAATAAACATGAAAACTACCACCACACATTAAACAATTACAAACAAACAATATATTACCAAATTCACTTTAAATTGACACCCAGATCAAAAAAATAATTCCGTATTCCTAAAACAATAATGAAAATCTACGTTTGTTGATCAGAAACCAAGACAACAAAGACTTGGGTTTATTACTGAATGTTGTGAGACTTACCAACATGGCCCTAGTCTTTACCAACACGGCCCTAGTCTTTACCAACACGGCCCTAGTCTTTACCAACACGGCCCTAGTCTTTACCAACACGGCCCTAGTCTTTACCAACACGGTCCTAGTCTTTACCAACACGGCCCTAGTCTTTACCAACACGGCTCTTGTCTTTACCAACACGGCCCTAGTCTTTACCAACACGGCCTAGTCTTAACACGGCCTAGTCTTTACCAACACGGCCTAGTCTTTACCAACACGGCCTAGTCTTTACACAGTCTTCACCTAACACGACCCTAGTCTTTACCAACACGGTCCTAGTCTTTACCACGGTCACACCAACACGGCCCTAGTCTTTACCAACACGGCTCTTGTCTTTACCAACACGGCCCTAGTCTTTACCAACACGGCCCTAGTCTTTACCAACACGGCCCTAGTCTTTACCAACACGACCCTAGTCTCTGGTGAAATCGATGTGCTATTGTTTTTATGACGTGGCAACTGGTAAGAGGAATTCAAGTTGGTGGACAAGTTTGGCGAGACTTTGAGGGGTCAGGTGAGGGAGAGAAGAGAGAAAGAGAGAAAAAGAAGATAAAGAGAGAAAGAAAAGGGAGACTGAAAAGTTGAGAGATAGATAAGGGAAGAGAGTGAGAATGGAATGAAAAATGATGAGAAAAATAAGAAAGAGAGGAAGAAGAGGGAGAGAAAGATAAAATATAGTAGGAAAAGGAGAGAAAATAAGGAGAGAGAAAGAAAGAATGGGAAGAGAAAGATGAAACCAGAAGATAGAAAACTAACTCTCCTCCACCAACACCACACCCTCCAACACCACACCCTCCAACACCACACCCTCCAACACTCACACCCCACCACCACACTCCAACACCACACCTCCAACACCACACCCTCCCTCCAACACCACACCCTTCCAACACACAACACCACACCTCCACCACCCACCTCCACCACCCCACCTCCACCACCCCACCCTCCAACACCACACCCTCTAACACCACACCCTCCAACACCACACCGTCCTATCACATACAATCAAGGCTCAAAACGAATTAAATTACAAGGAAGACATCTGACTCAAGAATCACATTTGGCCACGTTAAAAAAGATGACAATTTTACACTAAAATTTAAAACGTTTCATGGGAGTAATTATGACCATGAGGGCAACGAGTAAATATTAAGATACGTTATAGGCGAAGAATGTATTTAGTTGACCGCAAATGATGATCTTATCTTGAGGTATGTGAACGAGTGAATGTAAAGTTATTTACTATAGGATGAGATATTAAGCTATAAGGTAGAGAATCAGTGAGATATATTGAGAGTATCTAACACTATTTATGCATGGAGTTGATTCTCATTTTGTTAGAGAGAGACAGACTTGGAAACATAAAAATAACAAATGTCAATGTTATAACTTCCAAGAAAATCAGTCACTTACTTCAGATGGTATGGAAGACCCGGTAAAATGCCTCTCTTCATCTATGACACTTAGAGGACGGCGAGGGAGTAGTGTGGCTGCTGCTGGGACGACGTCTGCTGCTCAAGTGGCGAGAACTGGCACGGGAGGCTGTTTATATACCCCCTCCCCCTCTACCACCAAGTGTCACCCCTACTACTACGAGGTCAACTAATTGTTGTGATAGATAATTGAAACCACTTAATAAGGACCTTGAAAGGCTATTAGTGTTTACATAACGATTACTAAACACCACTTGAGTTATGGGATCATTATACAGGCAGAACTGAGTCAGAAAACGTCAGTGTTAAAAAAAAAAAGGGCACATTTCTGCTTTTCCACTTTCGGACAGTGTGATCCCTGCCAACAGTATAACCTGGTTAGCTGTCAGTCTGGCGTTATCCCAGCGAGGTCATTTATTCCTGGGTCGTCTCTCTCTCTCTCTCTCTCTCTCTCTCTCTCTCTCTCTCAACCTACGAACCAAGATGTGATGTTTTACAGTATGTTGAAGTGTTTCCTGGAGGAGATGGGGGGGTTGATGTGTTGCTCTAAGTCTTGACCCTTGTAGGAGGCCACAACCAGTAGACCGGCCTAGGTGGTGGTGGTGGTGGTGGTGATGTTAGTGGTGATAGTGGTGGTGGGGATGGTGATAGTGGTGGTGGGGATGGTGATAGTGGTGGTGGGGATGGTGATAGTGGTGGTGGGGATGGTGATAGTGCTGATCATATTGTACAGCAGCTCAGCCGTATTAGGAGGAATAAAATTAATTATTATTTGGTGACCACGAGAGAGTCCTTGGTCTCGGAGTTCTCGTCTTGTATACAGTATAAGATTACCTAACATAACCTAACCTAACCTATAAGAGAGAGTTCCAGGGTGTGGTGTTGGAGGATTATTGACGAAAGGTGTGTGTTGGAGGATAGAGGGTTAGTGATGGAGGATCAATGTTGGAGCGTGTGATGGTGGTGGAGAAGGCAGCACCTGACACTCAAAAAAATATATTCATCGTTGGTGACCTTCAAACTTTTCCTCATATGTTGGACCCCCGATTTCTTCTGCGTAGGTGTGTGTGTGTGTGTGTCCTAGTAAGAGGTCAAGGCTACAGTGACTCCTCCTCCTCACTATCACACTCAGGCTTCATTTAAAACAAAGATATTAATGTTTGTTTACAATGCTAGACCAACAAGCAGAAGACGTCACTTGGCAACACAAATAGACCAGTAAAAGGTTAGGTTAGGTTAAGTTAGTAATGGACGGGCTCACATTTTTTTTTATTTTGATTCTTATTTATATTTACTAGTTGACTTTATTTATAAACTTTTATTGCTTGGTGAGTGGGTGAGACGCCAATGAGGAGAGCTGACAGAAGGACCATTTATGTTCACGTCTGGTAGGTAGGGCGAGCAAGCACGAGGAGAAGCGATAGGACATATATTATTAAATTTAGTAAGTGGGGATATGTTGTATTATCGAGACAGTCATTTATAAGCGTACAGTCATACAGTCATCAACAACGTCTCTCTCCCTGATTGAACCACCAACCCCGAGATTCAGAATAGTGAATGCGAAGCCATTATGGACAAACTAATCCATTCGTGTCTACTGCTTCGGGTTCACGAGTCTGAATTTCGGGGTTCGTGGCTCAGGAAGAGAGGCGACAGGACTTTTGTGGATGAGTGTACAATCATCGTGGGTGAGCGGGTAACTGGACATCCAGAGCGCGTGGACTAGTTCGCGCAGCAGGTAGTGGATGTGAAAAAGCTCCCGTGCGCGAAAGGTAAGGTTGAGTTTATAGTCACACCTGCCTATCGTCACGTACACCTTAGGAGATCACGTGTTGTAAGGTCAGGTAGGGTTAGTGTATCCAATTTCACGTAAGGTGGTTGATCAGGAGTGGAGAGTAGAGTGAATGTAGGGAGGCGATAGAGGTATGAGGCCCAGGTACAGATACAAGCATAAACACAGGCACAACATAAGGTACCTCAACATATAACCAAAACAGGTACTAGCCAATAGCCATCAGTAGGTTAGGTTAGTAGCCAGGCAGTCGTGAGTACGCCCAGGTCCTTCAACTAGTGACGTCAGTGCTGTCAGATAAGTCCAAGTGAGGTGGTGAGAGGGGGGGGTCACTGGTGAGGGGGGAGGTGGGTCACTGGTGAGGGGGGAGGGTACTGTCTGTATCTCGACAATGGTAGTGGACAGGATTGTGTTAGGGGACGGGGGGGGGATGTAACGAGGAATAGAGAGGAAAGGGAGGATGGAGGAGGGAAAGGAAGGGGTTGAGATAGAAGGGGGAAATAAAGAGGGAAGGAAATGGTGAAGGGATGGAGAGGAAAGGAAAGGGAGAGTGGAGAGGGACCGGAGGAGAGGGAAAGGAGTGGAGGGGTGGAAAGGAAAGGGAATGGGGGAGCTGAAAGGGAAGGAAAGTAAAAGAAGGGAAAACTGTTAAAAAAAATAGATATGAAAGAGGGAAGAAGCGTGTTGACGAAGAGAGGATGAAGAGGGAAGATAGATGCCACACACACACAGAGAGGGAGGGAGGGAGGGAGAAGAGGGAGGCAGTGGCGTTGGCACTTCATCTGAGGCCCCCACCCCCTTCCTCAGGCACTCTCCTACACCACTACCACCAACCCCTTCCCGTGAACTCAGCCTCGTCAGCAAGCACTATACACGTGACCTCATGCCCTTGTGATCTGAATCTCCCTAAAACCTGTTGATAACCGGGAAAAATATCTTGTGTATATCTATAATGACGGTAGATTGTATGGTTGACTCTGGTGCTGTAACGATGCTCTGTTTCGTGAGGGGAGGTGAGGGATGCTGTGGGGGGAGGTGAGGGATGCTGTGAGGGGAGGTGAGGGATGCTGTGGGGGGAGGTGAGGGATGCTGTGGGGGGAGGTGAGGGATGCTGTGAGGGGAGGTGAGGGATGCTGTGGGGGGAGGTGAGGGATGCTGTGAGGGGAGGTGAGGGATGCTGTGAGGGGAGGTGAGGGATGCTGTGGGGGGAGGTGAGAGATGCTGTGAGGGCATGAAGGAAGCAGACTGAGAGGACAACTTCCATTTAGATTAGAGAAACGACATAGATAGACACAAAGGAGTGAGATCAGGATAACTATACAAAACTCTCCTAAAAGCACTGATGGGGTTGTGGACGATAACAAGACTAAGGGAGAACAGGGAGGAAATGAGAGGGAGACCCGTAGTATGGAGGAGGAAGGGAGAGAATGGAGTGAATAGGGATAAGATGACACCTGTTGTTGCCATGGAGGTAATAAATCTTGTGTGGGATAATTACGTTACGTGAGAGGTGAAGGGGTGTTAGGAGACGACAGCTGGTTGTAGATGACTTAACCTCGACGTCAGGGGGCAGGAAGGGAGGGGGGTGGTGTAAGGCGGCGGTGGTGGTGACGGAGAAGAAGCTGAGGAAGAGGAAGATAGCTAAGAGTGGTAGAAGAGGTTAGAGTGCAGACAAAACCTTTGACATGACTTCTCTTTCTCCAGTCCTTGGAGATGAGGAGCAGGTTGTGATCATGGGGGGAGGGGGGGAGGGGAGGACGAGAGAGGTTAGTGGGGGAGAGGGAGGGTCTGAGGCAAGAGAGGAAGCCAAGAGGACCTTGTGCTGGATTCGTCGGCGTCAGGTAAACCAGTGATGGCATATGTAGAGCCGTGGCAGGTGGAAGGAAAGATTTGTCGGTAGTTGGCGAGGAGGGAGGGAGGTTGTTGAGGGGTGAGAGAGGTAAACCTTTGATGAAGTGAAGGAGCAGAAGTGTTGGCCAGCTGTAGGAAGCCAGTGGAGGTGGTAATGATCCCCAAAAGGTTTCGGTGGACGGCAGGGGAGCCAGACGTGGGTATCAAGGACGGGTTTTTCTCCAGGTAAAGTGTTCCGTTGCAGCGTGGGTCGCCAATCTCTCTCCTGAAGACTGATCTTACATTTGGAGGTGTCCTGAGGGAGTAAAAGGATCCTTCATGAACACGTCTAGTGATTCCTACACTGACAAGAGGCCGCAGAGCTGGACAGTTGATTGTGTTCACTGGAAGACTCACCCAGGAGTCAATGGTTTTCGGAGATACTACTCGAGGAAACACCAACTGGTAAAGACGAGAGGTTGGGGCACAAAAGAGTGCATCTTCGTCCACCATCTTGCTAGAGGTTGTCTGCTCCCCCCTCCCCTAACACCCAAGGAGCCTTACTATACGGTGTGCTATATCCGCCACGCCCGTAACAACTATGAGATCTACTTTTATTGGTTCACTTACATACAGTTTACACATGTCTCTGTACTGTACCCCAAGAAGTAATGACCTTCACTAGCTCACACCGTATATTTACTATTAGCTAGCTTAATGTATCTGTCACAACAAGTAGGAGTACACGAGTATTACAGTATTCAAGGTACAGTGTGTGGTTATGGCTCTATCTCACTGTAGCCATCACTGTAATCGTCTCTGTACTCATCCTCGTACTCCCAGGAGGTATTGTACTCGGGCTGGGTCAGGGAGTACGCAGTGAGGGGGGTCATTAGCCTTCCTTGGCAACACTGGCGCCAGAGTTGTCAGGTTCGCTTTACCTTTATTAATTAACCTTTACCTTTTGAAAGTTATAAGAAAATAGAGATTTACTTTCTTCTTCTTCTTTGCTGTCTCATTATTGTTTGTCGTTGATGCTATTGTTGTTGTTGTTTACAAAGAAACATCCATGGGAGTCGACATTCTTTTTCCTTGTATTCTTGTTTATCTTCTTGGTATTATTATTTGTTTCCTTCTTCCTCTTATTATCTTTTCTCCTTTATCTTCTAACTTTTCCTCTTATTTGTTTTCCCTTTTCTTAGGGGTTGGGGAGGGAGGGATGGATGGAAAGAGTGAGGGATGGAGAGAGAGAGGGAGGGAGGTATGAAGAGAGAGGGATAGAGAGAAAGTGGGGGATGGAGAGAGAGAGGGAGGGAGGTATGAAGAGAGAGGGATAGAGAGAAAGAGTGGGGGATGGAGAGAGAGAGGGAGGGAGGCATGAAGAGAGAGGGATAGAGAGAAAGAGTGGGGGATGGAGAGAGAGAGGGAGGGAGGTATGAAGAGAGAGGGATAGAGAGAAAGAGTGGGGGATGGAGAGAGAGAGGGAGGGAGGCATGAAGAGAGAGGGATA